AGTTGCAACATCGGAGGTTCGGTTAGATTCGTTGTCCGGAAACGGATAAACCTAGCAAGAATTCCTGGACCGTGAAAAAAATTTCTAACGGCACCAACAGCCAGCGAAGTTAGTTTAATCGAAAATGGTTAGCCACTTGCATTTGCTTTAGTCAATAAAAGGCCAAGCCATTTCCAAGTAAATTAAGAATGGTGCTCGCTGTATAATAAAAAAATTACGTTTTACATTTGCCCGTTAGAAAAGAATTGAATCAAATCTTCGCAATTAAACCTAACATGCACGGTTGTCCTTTTCTTGGTCAAGTGGTTGACACTCTCGCAGTCTTCTTCTTGTTTTGCTCAAGTCGGTACGGTACCATCGTCTATAATTTTCCCTCTTTTATGATACGAATTCGGCCGAAAATGTTTTTTTTATTAAGCATTTTTTTATAAAATATTTGTTAAAACTTTTTTTAGGCATTTCGAGTCATCAACAACAGCAACTAAACGAACTAAAAGAATTTTAATTGATGATAATAATGAGGAAATAAATTTGCAAGAAATAAATTGTAATGAATTTTCATCAGATAGAAACAATGAAATGAACAGTTTGGAAAAACTGAAAAATATTAAACCACCAATACCGAAAAAACCTACAAATTTAAATAATTCTTCTTCATCGGAACAAACTCCAGTAAAATCGAGAATTTCTCCTCCTCAAATACCGCCAAAACCTAAAATCGTTATGGATCATTCAACGAAAGATTCGTATGAATTTACGACCCCTAATGATTGCCATTCATCGCAGCGTGCGGATGAAGAGATTAACGATAGAAATTTATTAGTCAAAAGAACCGGAAATAGAGCTGAAGATAGAAGAAAGCCAAGTATTAAGCCGCCACCTCCACCGTCGGCCACCTTCACTTCGCCAGTGTCACTTTTATCAGCCCAATCACTGCCAGTTCCATCAGCGCTTTCGCCAGTAGTGCCACGAAACTCTCCTTCTCCTCCACCGTTGCCTTCTTCTTCTCCTCCACCACCACCACCACCGCCGCCATCACTGCCACCTTTTTTAAACGATTCCTTCATTGCTGGTGAAAATATTAATGAATCAGCTGAGTTACAAATGAAAATTTCGCGATTTCAAAATTATTTCACACTTGTTGATAAAATTCCAAGGTTGCACATTATATCCTTTCAGTTTTTTTCTTTTAATATTTCTCGTAAAATAAAAGTAACAGCGAACTAAAAGTGGTATTATTTTAGTTTTTTCAACTTTTTCACTGAAATATCGTTGTGATTTTTCAGCAGTTGTAATTAATTTTGAATCAAAATTAGCTGTTACTTTTATTAGCTTCGAATAATATAAAATCATTTTATATTGCTTACAAAACCATTTTGTTTACAAGAAAAGCTCAGTCTTCTCAAGAATATGAGATGATTTTGCAGTGCACCAACAATACGAATACCAACGCCTCCTCAGCTATCGCCCGATTATTCTATCGATGATGGCGTTTACGAAGAAATCGAACAATCTATTGTTTTTCATGTATTTTAGTTTTAATAGGCTTTTTTAAAAAATTTTCGCAAATTTTCGAATGTATTTGAAAGTTAATTTATGAAAATTATTAAGGAAAATAAGACTGTAAGGAAAGGAATTTTAAAAAATGGTCGATGAACATTTATGATTTAATGATAAAAATTTTTTAAATTTTTATTTTATGTTCAGAAAAAATTTAATTTCAGGACAATGCAACGAATGAAAATAATATTTCTCTGTATGTAAATGATTCTGATGAATTTAATACCTCAAATAAAAATCTTCAAGACAAACTGTGAGTTTTAATCTATTAAATTGTTTTAGAATTCCATTAATAATGATTATGTGGTTCACCATTTCTAATCAGGTTTACTGTCTATTAATGCATTGAAGGATATTTGCTGTAAAGTTGCATGGCGTTAAAAATGTAGGTAATTGGCACCACATGCATTTCTTTAATGAAAGTCCACTCATACACTGCATGCAGAAAAAAATAATTTCTAGCGAGATGATAATCTGAGGCTGTAATCACTCGCCTAATCTCTCTATCATGGAGTTCAATTCTAAAATTTTGAAATATATTTAAATTAAAATTTAAAGATTTTGTGGTGATGAAAAAGATGGAATTGATAGCAAATTTCAAACACCTTCAAATGGCCGACCAATTATCAATTGTGATAAGAAAGAGAAAAAAGTGGTTTGTCGCATATTGGATGAAATAAAATTTTAGTTGTGTAAAAAAGAATTTGTCGAAATAATCTTTTAAATTCGAAAATTTTATATAAGAAAGAAAATTTTTTTCCTCTCTTTCCCTTTTTGAAAATTTAAATTACAGATAATTAACGAAGTATGCGAAAGTAATAAAAAAATTGTAAAACGACCGATAAGTTCGCTCGAATTTGATAAATTGTTACGCATTAAATCTGACATTCAGTTAAATATTACTAAAAAGGTTATTCTTAAAAGTTACAATTATTAATAATATTTTAATAATCTTAAAAATGTAACTGAGTTCGAAAGGATCAAATGTATTCAGCCGAAAGCTGTCTTAAAACTGAAACGGTCAATTGTTGAAAATTCACTTATTGCTTCTATCTTCAAGTGCCTTCCTTTCCGATAAAAGGATCTTGGAAATGAATGAAGATGACCAAACGGGAATTGAAATGAAAATTTACTAGTATTCACAAATTGAAGATTATTATTATTAATTCTTATTAATTTCAATTTATGTGAGAAAAAATTTTTCTTATAGGTTGGACAGATAAAATTGAAAGTTTCGTCAGCTTCTCAAGAAAAACAAAGACGTCATAAAACCAAATCTATGTTTTATGTCGATCCAAATGATTTAAAAACTGATGATAATATATTTGCTCATATTGAATTTCCATTCGATGACGATGAACAGTGTATTTATGGTGATAATTGGTCATCTGATGATGATTTCGATGCTGATAATGATAACGATAATGGTGTTAACGACCATTGTGACGATAATTGTCATTCCTCAATCAAAGGTAGTTTCAAATTGTTTCTGAGTATTTTGCTTTCCACTTTCATTTTCCACTTGATTGAACAGAAAGAAATTCTATAGAATTTATTTTCATTCACCAAAGAAAATTGGAAAAAAAAAACGTTAGTGATTATGCCTCCGCCATAACAATCATAATTGCAATCTTTTCATTCATTTCGAAGAAAAAACGAGTTAAAATATTGAAGTTGAAATCAGAGATTACATCCGTAATTTTAAATTATTATTGGTATTTTTAACGTTGTAAAGTTTACTTTTGACAATTATGTCACGCATTTATGAATAATTTAGAATATAAATTATAAAATATAAAGTATAATCTTTCAAGTTTTTATTCTATAATTTCATGATTTACGCAATGATAAATTTAAAAAATGAGTCCTAAAGGAAAGAAAGAATCATTTCACGAGAGATATAATTTCTTAGATTTACTTACGTGCGCTTATTTTTTTAATTATATAACATCGTTGCAAAGTTTTTTATTTTTTTCAGTCGAAAGTAGTAAATATTTTAACGAAGAAGTGAAAGAATCGTCCATTTTGCATGAAATTGAAAAGGAACTCAACATTAAACTTGTTTCTCCCACTTTACCCGGTATATTTACTATATAATAATTGTAATCTCGATTTGTAAAAAAAAATTTCTTTTTAAATAAAATAAATTAAAGGCATTAAAGGCAAAGATTCTATAATAATATTTATTCAGATGAAAACTGAGCAAAACAACAGTTCCTCATTAGGCTTGGACCAAATAAATTTCGCTAGGGTGTCACTGGTGGTAGAAGTACCGGTGAGTACACTGGCACCACTTGGGTTTTTGAAAGATCTTTGCTCTTGTGAGGATTAGAACTTCGTCGTTGCTGCCAGCTGCGAAATGAGAATAACAACTCGATGAGCTGTTTAGCAATGTGAGCATATTGTTGAAACTAAGTCAGAAGGAGAAAACAATGCATTTATACTAAACAAGATCATGAATAATACCGCTTAATTCAATTTTAAAAATTGGATATTTTATTCCGTTTAGTTAAGCGACAATAAGCGACGATCGCGAGAAAAAATTAGCTAAATCTAGTAAGAATGCTATATTAATTTTTAAAGCAGTGTTAGTGAATATTTTAAGATGAAAGAAGACGAAAAACGAATGAGAAATCATTTTAATATGGTACTTTAGTATAAACAGGTTTCTTTATATTCACTGCATTATTCCTGCTACTATTTAAATCTAAAAATATATAATCGAATTTCATTCACATTCTAAATCAAATAATATAATATAATTAAGAACCAAATAATGTAATTAAGAAGATCGTATTTCTTTAATTTGAATTATCCAAATATTTTTATAAATATATTTTGAATTTTGGCTTATAAATAATAATACTGGAGTCAAAATTTAAGCTGTGCAAAAAATTTGAATTGTAACTTTTCATTTAATTCAATTGACCTATTAAATCATAAATATTTGAAAATATTTTAAGACATCGTACCGAAATCCGAATCGCCTCCGAGTAGCGATGAAATATCGCCGAGTGATCAAGTTTATCAGAATACTTCGTATGTATCTAAAATAAATAACGAAACAACAGGCGATCGCAAGACAATTGTACGTCAGATTATGTTTTACCACAAGTTATTATCGTTTTTAAACTTTTAATATTTTAAAAATATTTGTGAAGGTTTTTTCTAGTTTTTTCTTGTTTTCAATTCATTTTAAAAAATTCTAAGAATTTTTAGATTTCATCGAGTTTATCATCAGATAAAACTATTAGTTCTCCTCATAAAGAAAGTGTATCAGATTATGATGATAATGATGCTAGTCGCTCAATTTATACTCCGAGGTTACTTTTTTCGTTGTTATAATATAATTTAGCGAAGAAACTCCGCTGAACCTCAGTGCCACCGTTTTTTTGCTTTTTTTGTTATAAATTTAGCCATTTTAATTAAATAATTTAAGAATAATTCCCGAGGTACAACCATTATATCAAATTTATATGATGGAGCAGCAAGGCAATACGATTATTTTGGATGATGACGTTGATCAAGTGGTGATACTGAATCAGGCTAACAATGAAAACAAGGTTTTTATTTATTTTTGCGAAATATTTACCAATATATTTTCGACTGTAAAGAAAAAATATCCCCTTAGATTCAAATATCTCTTCGGTTGAAGTAATAGTAATCCACATGAAAATATCTCAAATGATTTGTTGAAAAATTCAGTTGAGGTATATATAGCTCATTTGAACCCGAATTTCAGATTTATGATTATGACTTAGGATTATGCAGTTCTACTTGAATAAAATTATTATCTAAGGAAGATTATATTAAGATAATAAGACGAAATTCTTCATCAGCGTCAGTGGATAGTGGTCGCGGTGGTGATTACTCGACTACAGTATCGCATATAACTTCAAATACATCGATGAGAAGAGATCGATTTATTGCTGCTAGTCATTATGGAAGTCAACGTTCTCTGTGGTGTGAGTTGCCTGAGGTATTCGTGAAATTTGAAAACATCCAAAACATGTCAATAATTCGGGAAGTTTTACTTTTTCTAGATTTTTCTGCAGAATTATTAGCATTGTTAATGCAAATTAAATTTTGGTATAAGTAGACATAAGTTTATTGCAGGTGAAGAATGCTGGTTTACTGGAAAAATTAGATGATAAAGCAAAAAAATTGCAAGAAGCATTCTTTGAAGTAATAACAAGTGAAGCATCGTATCTTCGTTCTTTAAATATTCTTATAACCCATTTTATGGCTGCTCCTGAATTGTTAGGTACATCTTTTACATCATTTTTCTTAATCTTTTGCTGCTTCATCATCCCAGCTGTTATTAAAAAACGTAAATGGAGCTTACGTGCTTCTATCGCCACGTGACTCCTTAACATCCAACCGAGTGAGCTCAACGAGAATTATCAACTTTCTTTGGAGTTAAACGGCGCTAGGGAGAGATTTCTAAATAATAAGAAGGAAAAGAAAACTAATGATGAAAATTTGCATATTCAATAAAAAATATTTGCAAAAAAAATAATAAAAATAAAAAACTATTTGTAAATATTTATACTCATAAAAATATATATAAAAATATAAAATATTTATATAATAAATTCCCAATTTGACGAAATTATTTTTTTAAGGATCCAAAGGGATTTCATCGGTTATATCAAATGTGGAACGCAAACATCTTTTCAGCAATATTTTTTCTGTTCGAGATTGTAGTGAAAGGTATTCATTTTATTTTTATTCAATAATTTGCTTTAATTCTGAAATATTTTTCGTTGAAAAAGCTTTTATTATTTAGATTATTATGTGACTTAGAGACACGATTAGAATCAAATTTATTGCTAACAGATGTTTGCGATATTCTATGTGATCATTTTATGGGTAATTTTGAACCTTATGTAAAATACTGTTCGAATCAAGTTTACCAGGATCGAACACTTAAAAAATTGAAGTTAGTTCCATGCTTAAAAGTTTGATACTTAAAATTCAAATTAATCTAACAATTTGTATATTTTGCATTAATATGCTTCAGTTAACGATAGGTTGCTTACTTTATCTGAGCCCAACTAAGCCTTTAACCAATCAGCTGATAACAGCAAAACCCTCGTAGTTTCGTAGTTCGCTCGATTTTGCTATGTGACCTGGCCATTGAGAGTGGAAGATATTAAGAAATATGCCTTTGACCACTTATGTCTAAGATATATCTTACGAGTCCGCCGAGCTGATAAAATCACATCCACTCTTGCTCAAATACTACTAATAGTACCATTGCAAAACGCCATCTTCGCTGGTTAGGGCACGTTCTTTGTCGCCCACCACAGAAATTGACATGTATTTCGTTGCTTGTTAAAACTTGTGACAGATGGTGTTAAGAGCGAGATAGTCCAATCAAGATCTGATACAGTCAGGAAAGATTTTGAATATACAGACAGACCAGCGACATATGGATTTAGCCGAGGGAAAAAGGAATGGCTTCTATTATTGTCAGAAATAGCGTCGGATCGAATAGCTTGGAGATGTCTTACCCTTGAAGCCAGCCAAGTATCTAATGGTGAGAGCTGTTAAAAGAAGAAGAAAAAGTTGATGAAGGATTTTTTTTTTCGATAAATTGCCTAGTTTCATGAGTTTTTTTGACAGATTTGAAAATTCGTCATTTATGTCATGTATACAACGGCTGGAAAGTGATCGTTTGTGTCAAGGTCTTGATATGCGTTCATTTTTAATGTTGCCAATGCAGCGAATCACTCGTTATCCTTTACTAGTTATTGCAATTCTAGAAAGGACACCACAAGATTCTCAACAAAATAAAAATGCTCATTCGGCATTGCATCTCGCTAATAAGGTCAATTTCGCGCACAGTTTTTTAATTTTAATTGTTACAAAGAAAAAAATCTTTATTTTGATAAATTTAGGTGGTAACGGATTGTAATGAGGGTGCACGACGCATGGAAAGAACTGAGCAATTACTCGATATTGAAAGACGACTTATTTATAAATCACCCGATTTAAAGTTTACTTTTTCTTGTTGAATTCCAATATTTCTTTTTTCGTTATTTATTATTTTATGAAAATTTTTCTTTAAAAACAATTCGAACTATATTTTTAAATATGAAATTTTTTTTTTTTAAATTTGCAACATTTATTACAAGTTTTAATTCGAGAAAACTGCTTTTTTCAAATTTCTAACAATGGAAAAAATTTTTTTAATTTCTTGTTTTTTTCGAATTGTTTTCTTGAAAATTTTTATATTTAACCTCCCAATTTCATTCATTAAATATCATTTAAATAACAAATTTTTAGGAGAATTGCGTTAGTGAAAAGTGGAAGATATTTAGTAAAACGCGGTATGTTAACACAGCTTTTAGAAAAACGCGCAAAAAATTTGTTGCACAGCAGCAAACAAAATTCCCGAAACATTTACATTTTCCTTTTTAGTGACATTATTATGATTACAAAGAAAAAAATGTTAGTTTATTCTTGCCAAATTGTTTGCAAAAATGTTTCTTTTTATTAAAATTACTGCTTTTTTTTTGAAAATCATTGATATTTTTATTTGCGTTTAATTTGTAATTTACTTAGTTTATTTTTAATTTATTTAGTTTAATTTATTTAAAGAATGACCCCGTTTTTTTATTATTTTTGGCAATCTTCTTTGCCCTCATGTCGGCTGAATGTTCTGTTGATTACTTGAATTTCTTACGATTCTCAGAATTCTTGGCATTGTCGTGACAAAGGATAATACTTGCATTAAAAAAATCTATATACCAATCTTTTTTTGGTCTTTTGGATCTTTTTTCTTCTTGTAATTGAAATAATTTATTAATTTAAATTTTTTTTTTAGTGATAAATTTATTTATTTACTGATTTTTTCACAGTATGATGCACTTTATTTTAAAAAATTTTTATTTTCATATAATTATATAATTTTTGTATAATTATATATATATAATTTTTTAGTAATGGTACATACATTTGTAAGGATTATTGTGCTCGTCGATATGTTGATATCGAACCGATTGAAGTTGACAATCCAAAGGTCTTTTTATATTAATTATTTTGATCGCAATTTTTAATTCTTATTTTTTTTCATAATTTTAGACTGAACTAAAGTACTTATGGTTTTTCTCTCTTCATTGCAACACAAAGAGTGTCATCTTTGGGTATATGCCTTGGCGTTCCGCGGAAATTCTTTGTATTTCTCTTAATCCTTTTCTAGTTCTTTTTTATACTCACCGAATCCCCATTATTTTTCCTTAATATTTTTCCACCCTTTTCCATTATCCAATTCTTAATTAATCTTCCACATTGAGTATCGTATAACACTGCGATAAAAGGGCGAAGTTTGATGGAATATAACAGAGGTGGCTGATGTTTAATGTAATAGACTATAACAAAGTGGATTAAAAGAATATAGAGTAATATTGTAGCAAAAAAATATATGGGGCTTTGGGAATTTTGAGGATTTAAAAGGTTTGAGAAGATTTTCTACAAAATTCGACTTTGATGTTGAGCAAGAAGTTCCAACATAACACAACAAAAGCCAAGATTTTACACCTTCGCAAATTTTTTCTATTTATACCTATATTTATATATTTATATCTAACCGAATATTTTTTTACAAAGTAATATTCCCTAAATTTTTAATAATTTTAGATCTCAAATTCTATAACTGTAAATAATTCGATAAAAATGTATTTATTTATATGTACACTAATGAATAATGCCAGAGGGCGTCAAATTGAATTATTATTGAATGCTGACTCTGAAAGTGATCGAGAACGATGGCTTTCTGCTTTAAGGCCACCAGCTGTTAGAATTTCTTCTTTGAACTCCATAATTCATATTTTCAAAAAAATTAATATCAGTGTAGGGGATAGCATGGCTCTTTTTCTAACAGATCTCACCATTACTGGTTAGGCTGGCTCCAACGGCTAAGACGCTTTCAAGCAGCGCGGTCTGATGCAATCGTTGACAATAATAGAAGCCATTCCTTTTTCCATCTTCTAAGTCCATATATTGCTGTATACGTTCAAAATCTTTTCAAAACCGTATCAGTTCAGGTATTGATTGGCTTACCTCGCTTTTGATGTTAACCATCATACGGTTTAGCATGTAACAAAATAGCAAACAAAAAGAACTACAAACTACATTATCATCGTATTCAAGATTTGTGATACGAAGCTCTGGGCTGATTTGGATACCTCTTGACTGTCGGCAAGCGGTGTCCATTACCCAGTCTATCGCATAGTTGAATATTTTAGGGGAAAAGACGCAGCCTTGACGGACGGAGTTCTTATTTCGAAGGAGATTTGTCATTTCCACATATACATATATTTGCGCCAACTAAAAAATGCCTTGTTGAATAAAATGCCTTTATGAGTCGAATGTTTTTCTTTGGAACACACCATCGCATCCCATCATCGTCCAAAGTACCGCTCTATCAACTGAATCAAAAGTAGGCGCAAAGTCGATGAAACACGAGAGTAGGTTGCAGATATCTAATCGATGTTCTAATACCCTTTTTAATATGAAATCTGGTTAGCCCAACCACACCCTTGCCTGGATCCAGCTTGATTAAGGCTCATCTTGCTATTTCGTGCTTCCATAAGTCTATTGAGCAAAAGGGAAGCAAATTTTCGCTGAGATGTCTAGTAGATTGATTTCTTGATGATTGTCGCAGTATGTTCTATTTCCTTTCTTGAACTGGGAGCAGAATTGCTTTGTTCCAATCATCTGATAATGTTTCTTTTTTCCATGCATTTGTTGAAGGTGCGTTATTAAGGACGATGGACAACATTTGAAGAATTCAGCCCGAAGACCATCTTCCCGGAGTCTTATTGGCCTTAAGCTTATGAATAACATTATAACATAACGCTACTGGTTTACTTTCTTCTGTCGTAGGCTCGCAATTGCAAACGTATGATTCAGCGAACGTATCAGCTATATCAGGGGCAACAGATAGCGCTTCATGATTAAGTTTGGTCTCAAAACCTTCAATTCTTTCCATCTTATGAGGCGATCCTTAATACTCAGACGCATCAATGCTATCCTTATCCATTTCAGATCATTTCTCGAGTCTTAATTGTACTTCTGTATTTCTAATTGCTTTAACATGACATGTCATGATTGTTTTATGAAGAAGGTGGAATAGTTTCCTATTATCGCCTAATCGAGTTGCAGTCTCCATTCTCGAGGCTATGTCACTCCAATAGTGATTTCTGTCCTACCATGCTACTCAGTGGGTCGTTGCTAAATTTGGAGCGCTGAGAATGAAGTTCGATCCTCCACACATATTTATCCAATGCGACAAGCCAGCGGAGCGAGTTTAGCCAATAATGGGGAGGACTCTTAAAAAAAAATTGATATAGGTATATTAATATTATTAAAATATGTTAATATATTGATACAGATCAACTTTATCCGCGAAGTGATAACAGGTTTTCTTTTAATTGGAGTTTATATTCGCAATTTAAATTTGTCAAGAGTATTTTTGAGTTTATGATTGTAAAGAAATCCCCCATTTATAGGATTTTTTTGTTTTTTGGCATTTCTGGTTTTGGATTCCGCTACTGGTTTACTTTCAAAGATATCATACAGATATTGAGTAATTAATGAGCAGTTTTTCATTTAACTTAATTTCGATGAAAATCAAACTATAGCAGCAAATTTAACTATAAATTTATAATCGAGCTACTAGTGAAGAAGCCTATTCGCCAAGGAGTCATTTAATGTTGGAACCACAATCCCTACCACTGCCCTTATTTCTTAATGGTATATTTACTCCTATCAATTGGAGTGAGACCCGCTATGCTTGATCTTAGTCGATGTAAAATTTGTACTTAGTCAAGGTTTACGGAACAAAATTGAAATTTAGATATTTATAAGTCATAAAGAAAAATAATAACATTGCTAAAAATAATCTTGACATTAAATTTATCGTTGAAAAATTATCAAATTATATATTTATAAATCGTATAATGATTTGTCTTATAAAATCGTTTAATTTTCTGAAAACCTTTCAGTGTTCAAATCCCGAAGAAAAAATATATGCAGACTGGGATTGTCCGCAAGCTATCACTGTTCATGATTATAAAGCTGGACAGGAAGATGAATTGTGTCTTACAAAAGGCGATCTTGTTAATATTCTTAGAAAAATGCCCGACGGTATTTTCCAATTCTGCATTTATCGTTTTCGTTATTTAGTTGACTGATTTCATTCGGTCATCTTGTGCAATCATGGTTTAGCCTCATCAAATTATAGGCGTTGAAAAATTATCAAATTATATTTATAAATCGTATAATTTTTATAAGCGCCAAATTTTTAATGCCATCTTTTCGTGTGGTACAAATTGTTGATAAGCTAGTATCATGGTTGAGAATAGATGAAAGAGATTGCCGATTGCGAATTGAAAAACATGTTATAGTTGGGCTAGGACTAAATCACAGTGGCTATTTATTATATTCACGACTATATACATCAATTATTTTTAGGTTGGTTTTATGGCGAAAGAGTAAATGATGGTGCTGGCGGTTGGTTTCCATCTTCATATGTTCAGCAGGTTATATTTCTTTTTTTGCGCTTCTGAAAAAGTTCCATTAAGTTCAATTTAAAATGATATTTCAGGTGTTAAATGATCATGTTCGAGCAAAACATTATCGACAACGATTAAGAGTTATCCAGGTATAAACTTTATTTTTCAAAATGGTAATTTTTTATGGAAAATCAGATTTCTTACAATAGTTTATGTTAAAACGTGAATTTTTTTTACAGGCTGCAGATTATCGGCTACAACAAGAACAATTAAAAGCTCAGCAGCAATCTTCATCATCGGTTCAACGAAGGCACCCTCATTTCATAAAACGTTTTCGACGTTTAAGCAATCCAAAATCAATTTTTTTATCGAATATTACTTAATAATTTTTATAGTATTTGACGGATGAATTGTTTATTTATTGTTGCATTACGCTGATTTATATTTTTTTTAATTTGCTTAAAATGGTTGTAATTATTCGTTGTGATATTTATTGTGTTTTGTTGTACTGTGTTCTTCTTATATTACGCTGCCGAATTTATTATTATTATTATTTCACTTATTCCCTTAATTTAATTTTTTTGCTTGTTTTCTAATTTTACATTTTTTTTCCTTTTTTTCTTGGTCTAATCATGTGGAACGGTCTGATTTAGTTGGTTTCATTGCCTAAAAAATGTTAAAAAATTTCCATCAAAGGAGCTGAATACCAAAAAATAGGCTAACCTTTTCCACCACCTAATTAGTATCTGGTTAGCCTGGGTTACACTAAACGTATCGAAACTAGACATAATGTAGTTCCTCACTTAAAACTCTTTCTATGCTTTTGCTTTGTGTTTTTTGTTGTTAATAGGAATCTCTTCAATAACTTTTTTAGAGATAATTAGATTGCTGCTAGGAAATGGAAATGGTAAAATTTTAAAAATTTTTATTTTCGATGATAAGGAAATATTAATGGTAAAATGCGATGAGGTTTGATTTAATAAACTTTTTTTTGCTTTTTTGCAGTGCTGGTTCGTCTTAGTGAATTATTGCTTTCATTCAAGTTATAAAGAGCCTTTTAAGCAATAAGCAAAAGTCCAAGTACCAAATCCATATGAACTTCACTTGCATCTTCCAAAACACCAAAAGATTTTTAAAAATTTTCCTCTAATAAAGATGGATTTTTGATATTTCGTTTTTTTTCATATAGCAGTACTATCGTTCTAAGATCATCGATACGATGCGATGCTATGTCGATCTGAAGGTAACTGAATCTACTCGATAAATCTCTTAAACACATGTATTACTGTCTAAACGTTTAAAATTTCTCTTGACTGGTTGGTATGCAGTGGCGAAGAATATGGCCCATCTCTGTGATAACATCTGTCGAGCATGCATTCCAACCAGGTAGACAAATTGGATATCCTCCTGCAATATTTATAATCCAGTCCATTGCTGAATTCAATATTGAACGAGGAAAGATGTACTAGTTCCAGTTTCGCAACCGTTCCTCATTGTTCAACTCGTCGAAACAAACAATTGCGCTCGTGCTTAATAAGCTGAATTGTCTTCTCTGGAGTTGTCACATGCCTCCCGAGGCGACAGTCTCTTTATTAAACATAAAATGAATGAAATAAATAACTATGGGCTGTGACGATAATTCAAGTGATACTGCGACAGCCTTCCAGCATAAAACTTTCGCAGATATCCTTTGGGTTGTTTTCTCAGTTGCCGTCACAGTTCATGCTTTTCTCAGAAAACAAGCGGAATTCGCTTTGCTCCATTCACATGGTATAACTTTTTCTGCCAACACTATTGAATATTCTAAAGAGAAAGTTGTGAAATGCTCCGAACATTTTTAACTAATTTTTAATGAAGGGAACCAAAAAAGTATGGAAACGCTTTGATACTAAAATATTTCGAAATTTAGGCTGGTAGGTCAACTGTGATACGAATTTTTCAGGATAAATGATGGTAAATGCGAATCAAAAATTATTTTTCTATTTTTTCTAAATTTAAGTGATTAAGAGAATTTAAAAAGATTGTTTCTCGCTGAGCGAATGATTTAGTAGAGTTTGCGGAAGAAGGATAGAACCATCTGCAAGTATTCCGCTGAAATAGATTTACAGAAATATTTCTTCATCCTTCTCTTCTTTAGTAATATCACCCACCGTTTTTAGTTTGCAGTCGATTCCTCTGAATTAGAAGGGAGAATTCTCCGACAGAAAATTAGAAGGGTTGGCGTACAAATGGTTCCTAACGCAACTCAGGTTTCTAATAACAAGTTAGTCGCACTAAGTGGTAAGAATTGAATCGATGATGATAAACCTTTAATCGAAAGTTTTAGCGAATATATGCGCTGTTGAGAGGAAATTTCGTGTATAGAATAAAGTAAAATATAAAATTAAATAAAATTTACAGTGAAACAATTTTTTTTTCCTTTAAAGCTTTTAAAATCAATTTTAATAATTTGACGGAATGCAATAACTGGTCACTCTTTAAACAAACGAATACTAAATTTGCGCATGGAAATGGTGGAGCGAAGCGATCAACGATTCTTCGATATCATCTTATCTGATTATCGAATTATTTTTATAGAATCCGTTTCATATGAAACTTTATTCAATCTTTTTTTTCTCTCCTCGGACATTGTTAATATCATTAATTATCATTAGTCTTCGAAGAGTTCTTCGTGCAATATCCGCTGATTTGGCTGGTTCCATTCCATTCACTGCGGGTAAAATAATTCCTAAGTTCCTAAGTCATCTCATATTCGATGTGATATTTGGCTGAAATTAATTATGGCCACTCGTTCCACTAAATCTTCTATTCATTATTATCACTTTAGCACTAAATATTTATTACTATGCAGATTTTATTTTTGCAATAGAAATATACATTCTTTCTATTTATAATTTCGCTGAAGATGAAATAAAATAGAATATTCGGTCTTTGGAATCATCAGTTAGCAACCTTCCAAAAAAAAATTTTCCAGATTTATCACTGGTCAATATGCAAGTCGTTCGAGTAATCTTATTCATAGTATATGTGCCATTATTTTGCGAACTGCAGTATACGTCACAAATATATCCTGATCCAAGGTTTGATGCTTTCTCATGCAAAATTGTGGTGCCTGGACCATTGTGTGATCCAGACGATATCATTAACTTTGGTGACAAAAATGCTTTGATTGATCGAATTAATGAGGTACACTTGATACAAAAAATTTTCGCAAATCCAGTGAAATCAAAATTTAATAAATAAAAATTAAACTTTCTTTCAACTCAGAATATTTTTAATATATCATATTTCCGGTATAAACTGCAAATATATTTCTATTTCAATTTCCACTTAACCTATTTATGATTTGAGCTTTTTAGATAAAATATTTATGAGTGAATTAACCTAATTTTTCAAAATAACTCGCATTTTAAACCAATAATTTTTAATAATAATATTTAGCTTGTTTCCTCAACAACATCGATTGAAAATTCTTCTCCAGCTTGCAAAAATCAGCCAAATAAGAATTTACAAATTATTGTTGCTGTCGTTGATAAAATTGGACAAATTTCCAATTTACCGGTTGATCTAGAAAAATTTGCAAATAATCTTAAGAGTCGATATCAAAATTTTCAAGTAATTCATTGGCTTTTATCAAATATGCAAGCTGGTCTGCTTTCAGATGAAATATATGACTTTATATTTCCCGGATAATAAATAACTGGAGTAGACCACAATCTCCGAATGAGTCTAACGAAAGGACTCAATCTAACAGCTCTAAACTAAACCAGATTAGGAGAAGAATAAGATGATTTTCTGTGATAACAATCAAATCATAGGATTTTTGAAAAAATTTTTGAAGAGAATTTAAGGATCCATCATATTGTGATCAGTTGGTTCTTATTGTCAATTCTCGAAGTGATCGCCAAGTGTATACAGTTGCTGGTAAAGATACTAAATTAAGTAAAGCTATTTTAAAAGCAGCTTTTGAAAATAGTATCGCAAATTTTAGGGTAAATTTTGCGAGTCATAATTTATTTTTTACTATTTGTGAAAACACTAAATAAGTCTCTTCTAGGAAAATTTTCTTCTTTTATAAACCATTTATTAGTTACATACTTGGTATGTTAAAAAATGTGGGGCCATGGGTCACAGATATGCGGACGATTTTCCAAATATACACTGTGAAATCCAAAAAGTACCATTTATTTATTTAAAGTGTTAATAGTCCGCATTAATAGGCTTTAAATAGCTTATTCATGAAAATAATTTGTATGAATTAGTTAATAAAATAATTTTAAAGGCAAATGAATATGCGAAAGGCCTTCGGGAAATGGTTGAATTTATTGTAAAATCATATATGATAATTCACAGCCAACCAATTTCACCAACGTTAAATATCGATGCAAGGTTCGCAAAATATTTGATTTCTAACATTTCAGCTTTGATGTATCTCCCGCTGAAATGCATAATAGGGATCCATAACGCGATGGAGAAGATGGATAGGGTGACGCTTTAGCAAGCCCCATGGAACATATGAAATGTGCTATATGTCCTTATCAGTCAGGCAAGCTAGCAGTTTTTTAACTCTAACTTTAACTTTTTTAACTTTTTTTATCTCTAATTGAGAGTAGAATAGCCGAGTGGTTATTGCGCACGTAATCGCCTCGATCGAAGTATTTTGACTTCGATAAACCGTACGATCCATCTGTTTTTGTGTCCAAATGGCCTCTTGGAAAGAATTTCTTATCATATCAATAGCCAGCAGAGTGAGCTAAATTGTGAATGCCAATCACATAATAAATCAGAAAAAAAGCTTTCCGCTTTTAATATTATGCTAATTAGTTGCCAAAAAATTTGAAAATTTTTAGTAAAACGACGAGAAATAATGATAATTTATTTTTGTCAACTGTTTCCTACGAAATATTCAATACGAAGGAGAATCAACAAACTATTTTCCCTAATAGTGAAATCATTGATAAAGACGATCAACTTTGGGTCGAAATTATGACACAAGTCAGTATTTCTATTAAACTATATTACGTTTTATTTATTGAAAATTTTATTTTTGTAGAAATTTTCTAGCGTTTCAATTTTAAACTTAGTTTGAGTTTATTTTAAATAAATTTTAATTTAACATGACAAAGAGAATTTTCATGTATTTTTTGAAATTTCTGAAATGGAAATCGAATAAGTAAAAGCGAAAGGCCAAAGTCAATAAATAACTGAACAAATTCAGGCTGTTGCACAGTGTGGAAATAATCAAGAAAGATTAAGTGGATACGTCCGAGCTGTTGTTGAAAGTTCGTGTTTTTTAGAATTTAATAACTCAGTAAAAACTGAAATTTCAGAGGAAAAATAAAAGAATTGGCCTCGGATTTGTTGAAAAAACTCGGACCCTCCCAGTTATCGACTTCTGAAATCCGTTTTTTGTGCTGCATTTCCAAAATATTTGTTTTTTACGATAATAACGCAAAATTTTGGAGAGAAAATAGATTCATACTCAATAATTATATTAGAAATATAAATTAATTAAATATATTGATTAATAATTTAATAGATTTGATAAAAACTCATTTCTGCACATTTATTTAAAAATGTGCAAAAATGAATTAAAACTTGAAAATAAATTTAAAATTTTAAGGAAAAATTTTTAGCTTTTCAATTATATAAAAATAAAATCTTAAGAAAATTAGAAAAATATCTGAATTTTTTTACATAAAAATTTTTTTATAATTCTCTATATTCTTACAATTTTTTGAATTGAATAAATTTTTCGCAGATATTCCTTTGTATAAAAAATCGGACTAATTTAACTGATAATTTTTGATTTTAAAAAATACAATTTTGCAGATGCAATGTCAATATCACTTCGTCTATTAACTGATAAACGTTACACGAAAATAGAAGAATATATTAATGATAAAATGTTGGAAGATGATGGAGCTTCATTAACGAAAATTCGGGAGGAAGCTTGGACGCAAGCAAAAAATAATTTCATCGACGATATTTATCGTAAATATTCATTAACAATAAGAACGAAAGCAATATATCGATGTCCAATTAAAAATTATTTTTTTAAGCAATTTATAACGAAATATTGATAGCATTTTAATTATTTTATATAGTTTTATTTAATTTCATTTAAACTGCATATCAATTGTGCGTTTATTCGAATAAAATTTTCAGTAATCCTCAGCTGTTTAATTTGCAGCAAAGGGTCTAAGCCCAGCAACAAGTAGAGTGGCTCAGTCGCCTAGTTGGCAGCAAAAAAAGAGAGTGACTCGGAGAATTTGTTGCACTCGCACTTTTGAAGAGAAGCAAGACAAAGTAGCAAAACAATTAAGGTGACGTTACGACCAGATTATGACAAAACAATTCAATGATATTTCAGGGTTTATACATATTTTGAAGATCTCCTCGCAAAATTTAAAAATAATTTTGACAAAAATGTGGAATTTTTTAATGAGAAATAAGTTTTGCAAGTTTTGTACCAAAGAATTTCATCGCATTTCAACTAAAATTTCATGCAAAAAAGTCTTAGCCATTAACGGATTTTGCACCAAAAATACACAATGACAGTATCGCAAAACGCGATGTTTTTCCAAAAGTTGTTATTTTAAAGCAGCGATTCCGACTCGGAAAATTTTATCCACTATTTTAATTAATTTTCATGTATTTCGTTAATGGAGGTCGATTCTTTAATACTTAAAAAGTTTCATAAAAAGCCTCAACTTTGAATTAATTTGTTTGCTAAGGGCACTCCAACTACTGAATACTGAATAAATTCGTTTTTTCTTAATATTGGGGCAACAATTAATTTCCATATTTTTTTGTTTATCACCTTATTTTTTCTTTTATTAAATTTGTTTTATTAAATAAATTAGAATTTGCTTAAAGGCATTTTATCAGCATACCCTGGCGCCAGCCTATGTATATGAGGAACTGACAGATTCCTTCGAAATAATAACTGGTGTCCGTCAGGTCTGCGTTCTTTCGCCTATTTTCAACTGTGCGATAGACTAGATAATGGGCATCGCTTATCGCTTATCGCTCAAGAGGTGTGCAAATCAGTCCAGAGCATAGCATAGCATCTTTGAAATCTAGAATGATGTAGTCCTTTTTGCTGACAGTTATGAGGAAATGCAAATAATATTAAAAAATGTGTCAACAACTGCAGCGAGAATTAGAAGAATTGGACTCAAAATCAATGTAAATAAAACGAAAATATTTTCGTCTTACATAAAAGATGCTAATAAAATACCTATTTTTATCAATTCATTGCCGGTTAAGGAAGTGTTGGACTTATCTTGGACCCATTCTAATACCAAATGGCCAGGCAAAAGATGAAATTGCAATATGGATAACGACAACCAGATATGTGTTTCCCGGTTTATGAAACCTTTATGAAACCGAAATCACCATGAAGATCCGCGTCAATATAGCTGCAATTCTTTCGAACTTGCTATATGGCTGCAAAACAATGAGAGTGGAAGATATTAAAAAGCTATCAGCCCTTATCCACTAATGTCTAAGATACAATTTACGGAGCAAACATAATCGCACGTGACTGTATTCACCTTCGCTCAAATACCACCTGCATTAACAATGTTATCATAGAGCGTCGTCTTCGCTGGTTAGGGCACGTCCACCATATGAGTTGACGCATATTTCGTTATTTGGTAAACCCTGTGATACTTGGCGTCAAAAGCGAGGAGGGCCAATCAAGACCTGGACTGATACAATCATAAAAAGATTCTGGACGAATAGAGGGGCCAGCGATATATGGACTTAAACGATGGAGAAAGGAATGGCTTCTATTGCTACTAGCGATGGCGTCGGACCGGGCAACTTGGAGATGAGTCTTAGTCCTTAGTCTTGTAGCGGAGCCAGTCTAACCAGTAATAGTGAGAGCTGTTAGAAGAAGAAGAATACTTCTTAAGATTTTTCCATTTTTTTTTAACTTTTTTAATATTTAATTTTCTTCTGCGTTTTTTCTTTTTGATGTTTTCGGTTGCTTAATTGTTGTTTAATTTAACCAATTACCCAAGTATGAAGATAAAATTCTAATCGTATGGCGCCATAAATTTTTCATAATGCCCGTTCAAACGAAATGAATAAAGAAATGAATAAAAAACAACTGCGTGGCCAGAATTTACATTAAAATTCCTTGCACCTATCCATTTTTTATAGATTGTGCGTCGCCATAGCGGGGCACGATGGAAATCTGAAAAATCCGCAAAGGGGTGTAATGATGTCTAATATGAGGCTAAAACAAGATTATTTATATGAATATTACTTATGAAATTGGTAGAACTTGGAACTGACGGGGCGTTAAGGGAATAGAAGAGATTTTAAAGCTGCACGAACTGCAAAGAAATTGTTAGGAAAATATGGTCTGATGTTGGCCTAAGACGATTTTAACGAGTTCCTGCTGTCGAAAAATAAGAATCATTGTCATTGACATTGAGGGAAACGGAGTTCTAGTGAACAGCATGACACCGACCAACGAGGACACTCCGGAAATTTGGGACTTCTTGGAGATAACGACGAGCCGTTTCTGCTGGACGCATCCATTATTGTCATCTAGGAAGTTACTATATAGCAGATTTTCATCGGATAATTGACCGCGTTTTGGGTGTCATGGGTCTCAGTTACTCTATAAATCAGCTTCAGCTGCAAATAATATCCGCGATATGTTTTTTTCTTCTGTTTTTTTTGTTTTGCGAGTTTTCTGAGAATTTCGTCAAAGTTGATAGTTGAGACGAATTATACTAATGAATGGGAAAGGGGATTATTGGTTTTATACGTGGAAAGAGGAGCAGTATCTTTCAAAAATCCGATGTTTATGACTTATCTGCACCACTGCACCAAAGTGATTCCTGAGAAGCCTCCTTCGACGAACCAAATTAGAAGGGATGAGCATTTTAGAAAAAAAGCGAAATTATCTTTACTTCGATTTGCTTTTTCTTCCTGGAAGCACTGCTCCGAGTGGCTGGGACGACCCATCCCCAATTCTGTCGCTAAGTGTTTTGCTTCTGTTGTTCTGCCATTAGTCTGCTATTAATTATTTGCTTGAAATTGTGGAATTGTGGTTTTAAGTGAATTTTTATGGTTTAAACACATTTTACATTTAACTAAAATAATTACCTTAAGAAAGGCTGCGTTTTAGATTTCCATCATAAAACACATTTAATAGTTTCTTAGCGCTATTCTGAATATTAAAAATCTTTGGTTTTATCATTCGACTTTTATTTTGAATTTTTATTTTTTGATGCTTCTCTTTTATTTTATCTACCGATCGTTATTGATTATTTTTATAAATTATATTGTCAGTTACATATAAATATTATTAGTTATATATGTTATCTTTCTTTATGAAATATATGAATATTAGCTTAGAAGAAAATTTTCAGTCGTTGTATTCAGTGAAGATGGCTCCAGTAATTTTAGTATCAAATCGTGAAGAAGATTCAATGAATACTGAACCATCACTGAGTGGTCGGCAGGTTATTGGAATTATATACCCACCACCAGACATCAGAAGTAAATGCAATTGATTTCTTTTTTTTAGTTTTCTGAGGAATTTAAAAGCCCCTGCTTTTCTTGGATCAATTTTAAGTAGTCTGATGGAAATTTTCCTTATAGCAATCGTGGATAAAACAGCAGCATTCGTCGCGCGAAATGGCGTTGATTTTGAGAATAAAATTCGTGAAAAAGAAGCTGCGAATCCAAGATTCAGTTTTCTTAATGCAACTGATCCATACAATGCTTATTATCAACATAAAGTTACTGAATTTCGTGAAGGTTTAGCAAGTGAACCTGTTATACATGTTTGTTCTTTTAATTCATTCTTTCCTTTCAATAAACCGCAAATTATTCATGAAGAAGTGAAAACTTTGCTCAAATTTTTGCAGTTCTTCATTTCTCTTGGTCCTTGTTTATTACTTATTTTTCAAGCAATAAATAATTTGCAGCGACCACAGATACCTGAGGCTGTAAAAGAACATGTCAAGCAAGCAGAATTTATACCTCGTAATCCTCCACCTCCTTTTGAATTCGATGCAGATCCAGCAACAATAAATGCTTTTGACCTGTTAGCTTTTCCATTGGTTTTGCGGTACTTTCTATTTCTAATATTTTGTTTATTTTGTACCGAACTTCTCAGGATCGCAGGCTTATTTTTATTTTTTAGTGATCTTATAAAACTTACTGCATTATTTGTGGCTCGTAATGGACGGCAGTTTTTAGCTGCATTGATGAACCGGGAAATAAGAAATTATCAATTTGATTTTTTAAGAGGACCGCATTCGAACTTTAATTATTTCACTCGACTTGTTGAGCAGTATACCAAGGCTAGTTTCACTGATCTGGTTTATCTATTTAAGAATTCAAAATTCAATAATTATCATGAAAATTAAAATCACATTGGTTGAAGTATTGTGATGTTTTAATTATTTTCTTTTAGGCCATTAAAACTACTTTCCAGCTACCTTTATTTGTTATTATTTCATATCTTTTAAGATTATCGTTCCTGCTACAGCGATTGTAGATGATTTAAAAGCTGAAGAAGGAAATACAAAAAAATTATTGGAAAATGTCAAATATCGTGTAGGTTGGGAGAAATATCAGCGAGCACAAAAAGAAAAAGAAGACGCAGAAGTTAGTTTAAAATTATTCTTAAAGGTTCTTCTTGTATCATCATCCATCATTTGTGACTAAATTGATTCCTTTGATTGTTAGAAGATTAGGAGGTTTTTTTCGACGGACATAGTATATCAAGTTATAAAAATAAAAATGAAATAATAATAGTTCCACAGCATTATTCGAATTTCACTTTTAATAGCGTATCTTCAATCTAGGAACAAGTACGATCTCTTAGCTAAACCCTGGGTTAGTTTCATGCATAGTTGAAGCAATCGATTATGCCTTCTTCGAATCTAAAAAATTTGCATATTTAAAGAAATGATTTTTTATTTGTCGTTTTATTTTCAGTTGGAAAGGGAGCGGCTTGCTTATGCACAAATAGATTGGCACGATTTTGTCGTTGTGCAGACTGTTGATTTTCCAACAAATGACGCAGGTTCATTTATAGGATAATTTTTTATGATATTTCTTGACTAAATTGATGAAAAAATATTAAAAATTTATCTGTGGTGAAAATTAAAAGTTTTGGTTGCATTATTTATTTAATTAACCAAATAATTAGAGAAATAATTAGAGAAGAATTTTGCAAATATATTTTGGTAAAGGATTCCTTGGGAATTTTTTTTATTTGAAGAATAATCTGGTTAGCTGTTAGTTCTTTTAATAGTTTAAAAGTTAAAATTCAATTTACAGCCACACTTCCTCCATTTTGTACGCCAAAGGATGTCGGTACCCGAATACTTATGCAGCAGCGACAAGTAAGCCTTAGTTTCCTTGATTTCTTGGTTTCAAAAAAATGTGTATTTCAGTAGTAATGTGTATTGCTGTTTTATAGCGGTAATGTATATTGCTATTTTAAACCATTTTTATTTCTGTTAAAGATTGCTTGATTTCAATCATTTGATTTTTTAGGAGGCAGCAGCCAAAGCAGCAGCTGAGCAAGCCGTCGAAATGGATGTCGAATCAGATTCAGATGACGAAAATAGAATTCGAAACGAGGTAATGTGGAAAATATACATTTTATTCTTCCATTGGCATTTTATTCCACAAGTTAATCGCATAGTAAGGGCTAAATAGATAAAAACCAATAATGATCGACTAAGAAATAAAATTATTGAATTTAGGTTGAAGAAGATGCTATAGATAATATTGAAGAGCCTCAGAAGAAAGCTCCTTATGAGGTTACTCAACCGATGCCTGCTCCACCTTCTGAAGAAACTGTATTGATACGCGAATATGATCCGAAGAAAGGTCATTTTATTATTTATCAGTGATAAAAAACCATTATTTTAGAAAAATTTTGTAAAATTCGTAAAATTTTTCAGCTGTAGCACAAAAGAAGACGGCTGATAAATGGATTATCTCGCCATTAACAGGCGAACGCATTCCTGCAGATAAGTTACAAGAACATATGCGATATAACACAGTGGATTCGCAATATAAAGAGCAAAGAGAAAGGTTTTTTTAAGTAAATATGTGATTAATTAAAAAAATAATAAGGTAAGTTTAAAGTTTCAAGCATAAAAGAATTATAGAGAATTATCTGATCGCAACGAGGAAGAGCCTGTATATGCTCCCGGAGCGGATATTAGTACTAATATTGGCAAATTCGCCGAGAGGCGTACAGATATTTTCGGTCATGGTGCAGAACAGACTATTATCGGCAAAAAGGTTATTTTGAGCCTTGATAATTTCTAAATCAATTTTTCTTATTCTAACTAATTTTATTTCGTTACAATTGATGCTATAAGCAAATATCTAGAAAATTGTATGGATTACATTTTAGCTAGGTGAAGAAGAAGAAGCACCTCGTGGTCCTGATCCAAAATTGATTTGGGATGGACAACAATCAACTATTGATCAGACTACTAAACTTGCTCAACAAAGTATCACATTAGGTAGGTATCATCTGGACTTTTTTCTTTTTTTTCTTTATAAATAATAAGAAAAGTTTACAGAATAATGTTTTGTAATAAGTTTTTTTTCAAATATTATTTATTGCTTATGATACTTTTTCTTTTCTTAAGAAATAAAATGAAAAATTTTCCTTAAATTTTGCAGGAAAAAAATTAATAAAAAATTTTATTTTTAAAATAAATTTTAGACCAACAAATTAATGAGATACACAAACAACATGGATATGTAGCTGATCCAAGCAAAGAACGCATTGGGCCTGGTCCAGTTCCTCCACCATCGACTCAGCCATCAATTCCTATTTCACAAGCACCTCCAGCTGCAAATTCTGTCCTACCCACGACTCCTACTACTGTCGTTTCTGCTACACCACCAACTCAGTCTGCACCTCGACCTCCAGTTCCACCTCCACCGAGAATGCCGGCCGCAGTTCCTGCTCCTCGATTGTCAGTGCCCGTTTCTGGAGCTCGACCAGCAGTGTCAATTCCTTCGTTGCCACCTATGCCACCTCGGCCACCAACTGCCGGAACACCACAAATCCCACAACCTCGACCTCCACCGCCAGGGTTTTATTTTTTCACTGTTTGATTTTTCCTTTCTTTATTTATTTGATTATATGTCATTTTTTCATATATTTTTCAGATTTTTTTCAAAATTTTTATCAGTTTATTTTTTATTTTGCTTTTGCAGTTTTCCTTCGATCCCTTTCCCCAGCGCAGCACCAATATCGATGACACCAATACCACAACCAGTCACGGTGCCAACATTGCCTCAAGCAGTTAATATACCACCAATCCGGGTTTGCTGTTTTTTAGAGTTTTTATTGCAGTGATTTTTTTGATTATTATGATTTGTTTATTTCTAGCCTCCAATTGCTGTACCAATAATACCGATGCCAACAATGCCCCAGGCTACACTTCCTCCTATTAACGGCATTCCAGCTGCTGTGCCTTCTGCTCCATGTGAAAATATACCACCACCTCCTGACTCTGATGGTCCACCGCCTATCAAAAAAGCTCGAACAGAAGATGAATTAGAAAGTGAAAGTGATTGGCTTTCTAAGGTGAATTTGTATGGCAATACTGATTGCTTTTTTTGCATTTTTTATTTCTTTTGACAGTTTTTATATATATGTAATATATATGTTTATATATTTATGTTTATATATTTTGAGGTTCGAATTTTGCTTTCTTTTTTATTAAACTAAACTATATACTGTATTGTTTTTTTTCTTTGTTTCGATATAATATATTATATTATATTATTATATATTATATTATTTATATTTAATTCACTTAAGGTTTCTGGGTCTATTGATGTTGGCGTGCAGACACCAGCTAATTCGACCAATCCGGAATGGAAATTGGATGGATCGATAATTAATGTTTCGATGGATGTCGCTGCACCGGTCTGTAACTTATGTTATTACGCATTTTTTTCATCAATTATTTTATTCCGTGAATTATTCTTATAAATTTATAAGCAGATAAAAATATTTTTAATAGAATAGCAGAGATATATATGAAAATCATGGACATTATTTCTAACAAATTTTTTATGACTATAATAAGTCTTTTATGTTATATTACTTTTTTTAGGTTTCCACTTTGAAGAGTGCTGTACAAGATATGACTGGGCTTCCTTGTTCGAAACAAAAACTTGTATTTGAGGTTCGAGTTTTGGTTTCTTTTCTATTAAACTATGTATCGTACGGTTTCTTTTTTCTTCTTTTGTTTCTCTTTAGTTTTTATTTTCTTACCTTTTAAAGTTTTTATACTTGTAGGGGTTCTTCCTAAAGGATGCGTGTTCTCTGGCGTATTATAATATGAAATCTGGATCAGTCGTGCAATTGCAAATCAAAGAACGTGGTGGAAAGAAAAAATAAATTCAATAAATAAAATACTTTTCCAACTTTTTGAAGAATTAATTAATTAATTATTAATTATTATAAGAATTAATTGTTTCATCAATTTTCGGTTTTAAAATTTCGACATAACTCAGCTTTATATTTTATTTACTTTTGGTGATCAATGGTATTTGATTTCCAAATTCATAGTTTTTTATTTACATTTAATAAAAATAAAAGCAAAGAACTGTTCGGTTATTGAGCCCATGAAATTCGTTTACCGCCAATAAAACAAAGTCTGTATGGCAAATAAATAAATTAGAGATGAAGCAGTAAAGAATCATCATGATAGCAGATATATATATATTATATAAATTACAAGTGTGGAACAGCGAAAATATAGTTATGCTCAAGAAGATTTGCTTAGCACATTCAAAATAGAGATTTTCTGTCGGAAAAACAGAATGAAGCAAAGCTGGTGTTTGGTTGTTGGTACAACATGTGATTAGTGTTGCCATAAATACCAATTTCAAAGTGAATATGGTACTGAACGAGTTAATCCATTTATATGAGATCTATTTTATCGTCTCTGAGAAAAGGTCGAATCAGCCACGCTTTGTATGTTTCAATAAGCCCAGATCCTTGATTGCTTTATACTGATCTGGTATTTCCATTAAAGCATTTAGTGCAAATGATGCCTCTTGATTAGGAGCGTTGAACATCACCTGTAGAAGTTCTTCACAATAGTGAACAAATTCATTTACAAGTAACCGAAATTTTAAAAAATTTTGGTAAAAATTTATGTATATTTGCCTAAATATTCCGATAAATTTTTGGAGTTGAGGATTCGTAATTTGATAATGTAAATTGAGGATATGAGAATTGAGAGTAATATAAGTTTGGAGTTATCTAATACTTTTTGAGATTTAAATGAGCTTTGATCTTACTTTGTGATAATCAACAAAATGGAAATTATCAAAAATCCTTTTGGGCAACGTTTCGTCAAATCTTGTCATCATTGACCAAGGTCCATCTCCAACTCCAACCCTGAATCATTTCTGCATTATAAGAGTTGTGAAAAAGAATTCCGATGCAAATCGATGCTCCGAGGAGAATCTGAACTTTTTTGAAGCAATATTCTCGTCGTTCGGGAAGATGCTTGTCACATTTTGATAAAAACGTTTAGATTAATAAAAGATTCAAAAATTACATAATAATTGATAGTGGATAGTGCGATGCGGCCGCTATGGCCTTTTGATTAATTTTTTCGTTGGTTACTTGTCCATCAGCGACTATGACGAGAATATGGTATGATTGCTTCTCGCGTACAATATCCACAGCCTATAATTATCTCATAATGCCAGAAAATTATCGAGCTTTTACGTATTTCACGTTTCCAGATCGCAGAATCAATGTCGCGAATTTTGCTTATAAACAATTTATTGAGAGGCAACGATATACTTTCGACTTGTGATCCTTGATAAAAGCCCATCATTAAAAATGAAATTGCTGTAGCGTATTCTTTTACCAACAGCCCTGATGAAGGCATTCCCTCTACTCTAGTCTTTAAGTTAACCGAACCGAAAATATTGTGTATTGTATACCAAAAATTGCAATGGTGGGATGGCATTAGGTTTCGTAGCGAAGAGAAATTAACCACATACGGTACCTCGCTTATTTTTCAAGAATTATATCATTTAGGTGGAATGGACAAGGAAGCATTCCATATTTTTATGCGATTTAAAGAGATAGTAAATTATTCTAAAATGAAAAAATACCTTCTCGATCAAAGGAACAAAATTTGTCGGGCCTGACATTTTGATGAACGGCGTTTTTTCATTATAAATTTTTAAAACCTCTGCAAAAAAAAGCATGAAAAATCTATTTGCAATATAAGAGATATGAAATTTTGATAATAATTTTGGTAATAAAATAAAGCTGTATAATAGTTTAAAATAAAATAATTTAAAGTGATTGGTAAAAAAAATTTTGTTTTAATTTATCATAAAAAGATAGTTAATCACTAAAAAAATGGCGACTTACATATTACTTTTAATAGTAAACACAAATTCAGATCACGTAAAATGATCAAAAAGCTATTAAGAGTTCAACCTTCGAATCCATTGCATTCAGCATCCATGTCATTTCTATTATAAAGGTTGAATATTCCTTGATCAAGCGTTTCTTCATCACCGAATCCATAGGTGGGTATCACACCATCAGCATCAAATGATGATAACGTCTTTCCAACTATGTCGATCACCTTAATGTCTTTGACTACTATTATGCTATAAATTCCGAGTAGCGGCTGCTACGCTGCTATCTCTCTCGTGAAACAATCGTACCCTTTTATTCATCATAAGTTGCCAAGCCAGGAATAGAATAAATATTTTAGAAAAAAAGCACTGGCATAAATGAAGTTTGGTTTGCTCAAAGATTGGGTATGTTAAAATTTCACTAAAAGTTTCACTAAAGGGAACATTCACTTTTTTTTTTACCATTTTATTCTGATAATTATTTTTTGGTTAAAGTTTCATTCAAGGCTTCAACTTTATTCCACAAGAAATCTTTCCTGAAATTGTAGGAAGTTATGAAATTATACTTGTTGATATGGGTTCATTTCTTCAGAATCAAGTGAATGCAAATTTCGCCCATCGAATGTCTTCTCTCCTTGGTAAAAATTCGATCTCGTATAATCGATGCCAAAAATTAGATTTGAATATTCCAAACCTGCCTTTAAATGCGTTTGGTTATTGCCTATCACCTCTTTTATGCATTATGTATGTGTACAAAAATGAAATTTCTAATTGAGCGCTCTGCCAGAATTAACCTTTTTGATTCCTTTTATAACATCTTGTAACGTCTTATAATGTGGAATGTTGTGCGGACTGCTTAGATCCATTGCCAGCAACAAACTGTTACGGCGAATCGGTATGCTTTAAAGAGAAGAAAACAAAAGTATTAATTTGGTTATAATAGTAATTCATATGAAAATTTATATATAATAAGCTTACGTAAAAAATAGGGTCGTTGTTGGGTGCTTGTAACTCATTTTTCATTTGCTAGCAACAAAAACGTATTATATAAATCTACCAAAACCTCGACAGGCCTTAGAAAAAATTGTTGCCGCAGAATTCGCAACAAATTTTAAGATTTTGAAAAATTTTCAGCTACTCATTGAAAATATTGGTTTTTAATTCTTCTACTTGGCTCGTTTCGCTACATTTTTTATTTATCCATTGATTCTATGAATTAGTATTTTGTAAATCTGCGGAAAACTTACAAGGTCGGTGCTTCGTTCATTTTGATAACACCTCGTTTTGACCTATTTTCTTTTTTCATTGGCTTTTTAACAATTGATGGCGCCTCACGTCTTTCAACTGTCATACTCATATCCATCGTCATTGTCCTTTCCATCACTTCAGCAGCAAAACTTACTCTGAAATTCCGATTTTCAATATATTTAATTAAAATATATTTGATTAAAATATTAATTAGGTTAAATGAATTTAGCAATTTGATTATAAGAAAGAAAGCGCCAAATAACGTTGTATACTTACCTTTTGTCGGACTTTTCCTCCTTAGTTTCAGCTCGATATTCGTCTTCATGTCGAAGTGTCACGTGGACCGGTGCTGCACATAATATTTCCTCCCTTTCATGGTTGATCATCGATCGCTTAATGCCCACTTCACCTACATGCCATTCCAAGGAATTCGCAATAATTTCATCAATGCGCACGAAAGTTTCAGCCGCTTGATCTGTTTTTAAAATTATAGGTGTTAATTCTCTAGCAGCTCGTGCAACTATAGTTTCTACAAGCAATCCATTCATTTGTCGCTCAACATTAAATTCAATAAGGTCCGTTTCAGCCAAACTACTTGCTTGCGTATGTAAATGTTCAGGTGCTTCACATCGTGCTTCATGCATTGTCCATGAGAAATTTGCCTGTGCATCCTGCTTTTGGAAACTTATATTGAAATTAAATATTGTTTGTGATGATGCACGTGTTCTGTGCATTAATCCTTCTTCAGTTCTTGGAATGTACAATATTGTTGATGCAGATATTGTTCGTATTTCAGAAGGCGATATCATGTTTGCATCCATCATAAATGACTCCTCAGTGGATCCTTTTATAGACTTATCTTGCTTAGAATCATTGGTAATAACTTTCGTAAAGTTAACTGATAAAGCAGTCGACTTTCTTTCTAGCGCGATTGAACTGAGCTCTATAATCTCTTCACTGATAGCAGAACACTCTAATCGACTAATACCACCATACCTAACTTCTTTCAAGATTTTTTCACAATTTTCCTGTTCGACACTTTTCATCATCGAAATGTTTATTGCTATATATAATTCTATTGATTCAGCAGTATTCAATATTGGTACCAATGTACGAGTTGAATCGCGCAAAATGATTTCCTTTTGCAAAATTTTCAATTTCGTATTTTCGAAATGGTACATCGCAGAAACTGTATTCTCTGACGAGGCTTTACAATACATTTTCGCCGGTTCGATTTCATTCCTCACTTTTTTCGTTTTAAAAACTTCGCCAAAGTCACATTTTCGTATAAATTCTTGAATGATCGTTAAACATATATCTTTAGCAGACATTGTGTTTATTGTAACAATACCTCCAAATCGTTTTTCATTAAGAATTCTGCTAACATCCTCAGTTAATTCATTTTGTTTCATATGAACTGTATTGAATTCTTCCAAGAAAAGTGATTCTTTTGTATGGAATGTTGAAGATTCGCCTTTCAATGATGAACGCAGTTTTGTTGAATAGTTATAAAATCCGGCTGTTTTTTGAAGAGAAGCATTCATCGACGTCCCTTCTTCAGATGCTGCCATACATCTATATGTTGATTGTTCACCCTTATTGGCACATACGAGTACAACTGCAGCGGCAACTTGTCGGATTACGGAGGAAACCAGACTTAGGTAGATTTTTTCATGGATATCTTGCGATGCCAAAGTCGATAAATATATAAAACCGCCTAAACGGGGTATATCAATATTATGTGTTTTAGTAGTGCACTGTGCATGCTTCTCATATTGCAAATTAGTAGTCTCATTAATGAGCGTTGCTTCTTGAATATCTATTTTAACACTCTCACCCTTATTTGCAGTTTCGACTTCTAATAGCGTTTGCTGTAAAGCTGAAGCTTTGCTTAAGCTAGATGAATAAGTAAGTATTGATTCGATAGCATATTTAGTTGATAAAGTAGGATTTATCGTTAAATTGGCGATTGCTATTACAAATTCGCATTGCTTAAGTTCTCTTGATGCAGCTATCAAAGCGCATGGTATCGTTGTTTCTTCTTGATGAGCATAGTTCGTTGCAAACAATATGCATCCGCCAAAGCGCTTTTCTTCGATAGTGTCTGAAAGAGCTGCAGATTGCTCAACTTTATGCCAAGAAATATTTAAGCATTCGTCGAAGAAGCTGGTTTCAGTTGTTACATAACTGAGATATGCAGTTATAGAAGATTTCCAGATAGTACCAACTGCTTGCAAATCAGATCCTCGCTTAAATGAGATAGTTGTAGTAATTTCATTTAACATTGATGAGGTACAATTCAACTGGATTTTCTCTACAGGAATTACCTTAATTATTAAATATGCTGCTGCAGTGGATGGTTTTTCAGATTGGAGAGAAATATTGCTATCCGTTGATAAATCAGAAGAACAAACTGTATTCAGAACCAAAGAACCACCAAAGTTAGGTTCGCAGAAAATTCTTTCAATTAATTTGCTTGCTTCCAATGCTGCATATTGTGAATAGACAATTTCTTTAACATCAGTTGTTTCGTTAACGCTGAATTCTAATTTTTGCTCATTAGATGAGCGTTTAACTAAGGTACAGCTTTCACAATAGTTTGCTGGTGATTTTTGTTCTTGCATGATACTAACTGATTCTTCTTTGGAATATGCTGATTGCAAATACACTGGTACTTCCTTGTTTTTAATAATAATTGATTGATTCGCACCAAGAACGGTTATTCTAGACTTGTTAAGGTGATATGCCGAGGATTCCTGTTCATTTTTGGTTGCAAGCGTTCCAAAGCTGTAATTACCACCTTGCCGACTAATTTTGAATATAATCTCTGAAAACAAGTTCTCAGAATCTTTATGACAAAAAATATTAACGATCACATCATTCTCAACAGATTCTTTTATTGAACTTGCATATTTTTCATAAATTTTTTCTATACAAATTTTGCTGATTTGCTTTGAATCACAAAGCGAAGAATGCAGATCTGTTGTCAATGTGCATGCATTGATTTCAGAAGCTTTTGCTGATAAAATCATCGGTTTGTTTCTGAGATTTTCTTTGATTACTTGAGAGCAATGTTTGATAAAAAGCCTATTTGATGTTAATTCACGAATAACATTTAGTTCATGATATTCACATGCATCTGTTTTTAGTTTTATGTGTCCTCCGAATCTAATTTCATCAATAATTCGTTCAATTTCATTAAACGATAGTTTTTTCGAATATTCTAAATAGCTTATTTGCTTGATATCTTTGGATTCTTTCATCTTCTTTTCGATACCTTCTCCACGAATCTTACCAACGAATGATCGGCATATGTCTTCCCTTGGACCATATTCTATTAATTCTCTGCATAATGATACCGATTCCTCAGTACAAGCTTTAGTTCGATGATTTAATACGTTGGTTATTGGTGCTAAGATAGTGATCTTCACAGAAGAAAATATTTCATTATTTATGTAATTAAATGATACGCTGGTATCAATTTCTTCAGCACATTCGGTGCAAAGACTTACAGATTCGCCGTAATTCGCTACTTCAACAGTTTTAATTATTCGATCATATTGGTCGTATCTTTTAAAACTAGCATATACTGTATATAAAACGTGGTTCATTTCTCTTAGTTTATGCAATACTGGTTGCGTTGATCGTGGACAAAACCTTGTTATTTCGAAAGAAGAGTGATCCGACGATTTATTAGAATTGAATTCCATGGATATTTCCGCTGATTTATATGCCATTTGATGAAATATTGGTAATGATAAAATTATTTGTTGTTTCAAACGATGTTTTGTCATTTCATTTTGATTACTTTTACTGAATAATAAATCGATATTTCGATATTCCTCTTTAACAAACGACGCTGATAAGTGATAATCCCCGCCAAATCTTGCTTCTCTTATTTTATATATTGTGTTTAATGTTTGATAGTCTTTCGAGAATTGATATCCAATGGTAAGATAGCGATTGATGGGTTCGAAAATCTGCATTAGCAAATTTTCGCCTTTATTTGCTGCTATAATTACAGTAAATAGGTACTCAGTTTGCGAAGGAATTCCTAGTTCACTTAGAATGTCGAGATTTGTTTCCAGTGTACGGAATGTATTTAAAATAAGTGGTTGACATTCTCGAGCTATATTAAATATTAATAAAGTTTCTGCAAAAACCGAATTCGATGATGTAAACTGGATAATTAGAGAAGTGTCATCGTCACCAAATTCTTTGACTTCTCGACCAGTTGGCTCGGCTTTATTAACTTCAGGCCACTTGGTCTCCACTATTTCATTGCTGATATCTTTTCCCTCAATATTTACAATCAATTTAATTTTCTCTTCGCTACATTGTTCGCTACTAAATTCGCAAGGTTCATATCTATTAGCAGCGATCTTTAAGCATTCAGTTGTTGCATCGAGTTCTTTCTTTTGCAATGATATTTCGATGTTAGTAAAATCATTTTCCATAGAGTCATATTGCAGTCGTAATGGTTCCACTGAAACTGTTCGATAAGTTGGCCAAATAGATGGAATCGCATGAATGTGCGGTGATGTATATGTAATCTTGTGTAAATTCACTATAGCATTTAATTTTTCATCTCCACATTCTTTGAATTTATTAGAAATCTTGTTAATTAATTTATCAGCCAATATTTTGAAGATCTTCTCACGTTGCTCATATTTTTCTATGCTTATCTTTAGAGAATCAGCTGTAATGCTAAGCCAACGAATACAGTTTTCATTCATTTTGATAGCAAATATCTTTTCTGTAAATAAATTTATCGCTCTTGATTGCCAAACTTCATGCAATGCGATCTCTTCAAAGGCTGCAGAATCTGTCGCAAATAATTGTCTATCTTTCGTAGCTTCAAGAAATCTGACTTCAGCCTCTAAATCTCTATAAACAATTGTCCAATTTGACAATATTTCAAAGGCACTTGAATTGAATTCCTTCATTTCTTGGCTCGCTCTAATTTTATTTCCGATTCTCTGTATATTTTCCACAATATCATTGCGATCTGTTGTTGTTGCTAATTCAAAATTACTGTCAGCTTTTATTTCCTTCGCATATTCTGTTTTTAAAGTGGCGGATTCTGCCATATTCACAGATTTCTTATCTTCTATATTGCACGACGGACGAGTCACAGTGAATTCAGCACTGATTTCTTCATTAAACATCGTTGCAGATAGAGTTTGAAATGACTGGAATATAGTGATCGGCTGATTAATTGTATGACTCGCACTCATTTGCAATTTCTGTGCTGATCTCTGCATAAGTAAGATTCCTGCATCGACACTAGATTCAGTTATTTCGAGTAATGTTCGATTGATTTGATTATCTTGCACTTTATCTTTAAGAATAATCTCTAGCTGCTCAGCTACTGAATCTTCACGCAGTAATAAATTTTCATGATATTCACTGGCAATATGGAAACATTTATCATGAATAGCTAGAGAAACCAATGGGATTTCTCGTTCGATTGAATATTGCTCATTATCACAAGTGATCAAACTATTGACATCCAGTGATAATTCTTCGGATGCTTTTGTTTTGATGATTGCTCGTTCCAATAAATTTATTGGAATTTCTTTCTCAGTCTCCAATTCATTATCAATAGTTATCCACGAAGCATCGGTTGAGTGTAGTTTTGCTTCATATTCTTTAATTGGATGGCTCATTAGTTCTTCTCGAGGAACATCATTTACTATTATTTCGATTTTATCTTCATTTTGTAGACTGCTTAATTCCATATGAAGTAAAGCTGTGTAGTGAGAAGATGCTTTTGTATGAAAATTCATCGAATCGTTATTGGCTTGTTTTTTAATAATATTTCTCTCATCTGCATGGTAAGGCTTCGTGAAGCTTGTTTCTGATTCTGCTGATTCTTCTCCACTCGCTTCAGTAACAAATATTTCTTTCCATATATAAGGTATTGGAATTATTTTAGTGATTTTTTCTGCAGCCCGTTTAGCGCTTGTTAGTTGAGAAAAACTACCCAAACATTCAGAATCACTCGAATAATATTCTCGAATTTGAGTTATTGCTTTCGTATTTTGTTTTTCTGCTAAAAATATTTCACAAAAATCAAACTGGTCACCACTTTTGAATCTTTTTTTCATCTCTTCTTTCACTTCTGTTCTATTTATTTCCCACTTACGTTTTATAAAATCTCTATGATCTAATGCTAAAATTTTAAAAGTATCTGCTAAACACTCATCAAGCTTCATTTCTTCTGCCAGTTCAATGATTTCATATATACTGGTCTTAGTCTTTAGTAGTTCAGAAGCATGGTGGACATCTGGGTAGACTTTTTCTGCAGAAAGATCTCGATTCAGTGCTGTCCATCCATATGAATAACTTCGTTGTTCGTCGCTTGATTGCTTGATAGTCATAGGATTAATTACAAAGGCTGCATCTCTTCGAATTATTTTTTCGGAATCTTGAATCCAATTTGGTTTTTTCAAATCCACAAATCCATCCGTAGAAACGTCATGGGCTGCTTTTAGATAAGCCACAATCATGTCATTAGTGATATCTTTTAAAAGACAGTCCTTGGCAATAACCGATTCACGCTTTGCTATAAGATTTATACTCAGTTCGATAAATTTTGTGGAAGCATGTGATGTTATAAGTTTTTGTTCAACTCGTCGTTTTTCTTCCATAATTCTATCTACACGTTGATATGGTTGAGTATTTTCGATAAGTGAGAAGCAGGCCGCTGTCTCTATGAAAGAATCGCTAAATTCAGTAGTACTAGCACCAACAACTTCTTTTTTGCTATCCGCCAATGCCAAATTTGCAAATAGTTCGATGGAATCTTTTTCCATTTTTGCTTCAAATCTCTTTATATCGGCGCTGAATTTCTGCAAAACTGCTTCTTTTACTACCAATTTATTAATTATAGGTATCTCGCATGTCGGAGAAATCTTCATTAGACTTATTGCGTGACCTATATTTGAATTTACAGCTTCTACTGTCGAGAAATTCTGCATTTCTCTGTTAGCAATTTGAAAACTCATCTCATTTTCAGCATTTCTTTCTATTTTACTCCAATGAGCTCCGTAAGTTTCATCTTTATTTCCGAATTCTTTGATTGACAAATTTATTTTAGCGTATTTCTTTTCATTTTCTAAAGCTATTGCTGATTCTTCTTTGATTTTCGATTCTAATATAGCATTTTTATCAGTTTCGCTTTCAATAGTGCCTTGCAGATTTAGTTGTTCTGCCATCTTAGGAAATGCAGTGATTGTTTTTTCCGTTATCTTAACTGATTTCAGAGACTCAAGAGTTAATTCCAAATTTGCTTGCACACTTGACTCTATTTCCGTTTCCGTTTCTGAATATGTTTCTGCATTTTGTTCCCACATTCTCGAAATTTTATCAGCAAAGACTGATGCTCGTTCATCTTGAGCAGTCTGCTCACTAGAAACGGTCGACACTATACCGATATCATTCAATTCACTCACGCTTGCCTTCGCCCCGCTTGCTTCATACGCCATTGCCTCACAATTTTCCGAAAAGCCGATTTTGTATTGCCCCAAAGAACTTAATTCTTCCTCTTCGTTTCGCACTTTCTGCCGAATATTTTGCACTACAGAAGTGGACACTTCATTTAATCCCGCTAAATCGTTTTTGTCATATGTAATCTCATCATCGTAGTATGTCGCAATCTGATATTGATCATTCGACAAATTTTTTTCAATAGTTCGATTGGGAACCGGAAATTGCATTGTAAGATCCATATTCGCTGACGTTTTTTCAACTTCATGGACGAATCTTGAATGAATATCGTCTAAATCTAGGTTCAGTAGACTAGATTCAATAATTTTTTGTCGTTTAATCATGTGATGACTTTCTCTGGAGAATGCTTCAACTGAGGATATTCCAGCATAATCATGGATTCCATGTGAAAATTCATTTGCAACATTTTCCACAAATTCAGAATTTGTTTTTGCATGTAGCCATGTAGCTGTTGATTCATACAAATCTTTGCTGGTATCGCGATAGAATTCATTAGGAATTACTGTTTGACCATGGTAGTGATGACAAAATTCCATAGTATTTGAATGCCATCGACTATAATTTGAAGAATTTCTAGAATCATAGTACGAGTAACAGCCAGTGTCATATATTTCTCTATTTTCTTTCCTTGTATCTTCTTCAACCTTATTTTCTTCTTGATTCCATAAAAATGATCCAGTTGGCGTTGATAATAACGTTGTGTCGAGATCGAATCCAGCATTTAACATAGCTACTCGAGTTTCACTTATGTCGATGCCCCAATCTCTTTTGTAATCTTTCATTTTCATTTGTTCACCTTCATTCTCCACGTATAGTTGCTGATTGTTTTTCATGTCGAGGCTCATACCATTTATTTCAATAGTTTTTTCCGTTATTATCGCTTTTTGATCGCCATTTTTAGTATGGGAAATGATAGGCGAATCAGTTTGCTGATGCATCGAGGTTGTTTCTTGCTCTCCTAAAATTTTGAACTTCAACTTAAACTTCCTAATCTATTTCTAAAACTAATTTCATCATCTAAATTATCACAAATATTAACAATTTTGCAAATCATAATATTATAATAATAATAATAACAATGATACTAACGTTAAATAAGCATTAAAATAACTGTATAAATTCCATTGTTTCTTATTCTATTCTAAAAAGTTTCTTGATATTCTAAAATTTCATATATCATTAATATCGATCTAGAATTGAATTGAATAGAAACTCTTCGTTTCATACCATAAAACTGCGTTGCATCTTCACGGTAGGCATCAAAACAAGATTGTTGGAGACTTTGTTGGATGCGAGGCTTTGTTGGATGAACATATTGAATTTCTTGATTTGTTAATATCGGTATTTCTATCACCTTATCTTTTTTGATAATTTCAACATTGGATTTATCAAGTTCTTTGAGTTCTGTGAATTCCTTGAGTCCTCGCTGATCTGAATGCATTTCCTCATCGATTTGTAAGGTGTGCATTACGTGGACTTTACTACCAGATTTATAAAATCTATCTGTTTTTTTCATCTTTATGAAATCATTCGATCTGTCGAAGATGGTTTTTATTTCTCTTGCATATCGCTCACTTTCTTTTAAATATGAATATTTTATTGCATTGTTTATTTCATTTATGGATACTTTTGTACTGAAACCTATATTTGGCTTGTTGAAATAAAACGTATGAGCTATATTGTGTATAGCGTCATCACAAACAGATAAATCTGTATTGGATTTCCGATGCATAATGAAATCCTTCGAACGGTGATAATTTTCGTTGAAGATTATGGACGAAGATGGCTTTTCATAAAAATGTCTAGGCACTGAAGAGCAAACAAATGAAACGCTATATTGCGATGGGGAAGGTAAAGAAAGCATAGCAGTACCATGCAAGGGTAAGAGTGTTTTGAAATTGGAAATGTGCCTATATATGTTAATGTTATTGGTGCTCAAATCAATAAAACCAGTGATAAAGTTAGTAGAAGGTCGAGACCTACCTGTAACAGGTTCACACCATTCACCGGTAGCTTGTTCTTGCATTATTCCTGTATTGCGCATCATTATTGCTATATTTTCCGATTTATCGCTATATTCTTTCAAATTTGCATCATTCCTTTCTTTTGTTTTGGAAATTAATCGAGTATTCGTTGCAGCACTTTTAGCCCCTTTATTTAAAGCGAAATAGGAAGTTCGCTCCACTTCGATAGATGGACAAGTGACTAATTCGAGTCGTTTCATCATTGCCTCTCTTACACAATAATCGAGAAGATATTCGTTGCCATACAGTGGCCGTTTTTTTAGATATAAATCATGTTTGAATTCTTCGATCAACGAGGCCTTCGTAGAAAGTTTATGCCCAAATGATCGGCGTTTATCGATATGATTATAACTCGTCGACATTATCTCATTCGTCGCTGCTCTGTTTTGTAAATATATTACTGTGGAAGCATTTTCTGAGCACATTTCCTGACATGAATGCATTGTACGCGATTCATTTGCTATTTTAAGAATTGTTTGAATCATTTCACAGTTATTGCTCGTGTTTGGCGAATTTATGAAAATTTTTGCAAAAATTTGTTCATCTTCAGCAGCATTTAAGAAATGATTAATTTTAAGAATTGCTCGGTCTCGTAGAATTTCCTCGATTATTTCCGCTTTTTCTTTTATCTCTTTTTGCAAGCAAAACATAATCATTAACTGTTCTTCGATGGTTTCAATAAATCTTGCACTCGTTTTCTCTTGCAATCGGTTACTTAAATTTTTCATAATATTTTGTTGAGAATTCTCGGCAACACTTCGCATAGCAACCATGGCGTTAATTGTTTCTTCATTAAGTTCTTTTCCATTGAAACATTCAGTCCATTTATTCGCGATAGTTACTAATCGATCCGCTAGTGCTGTAGAATGATGTTTTCGAAGGAAAAATATTGCATTAGTCGTCTCGGATTGAATCGACTCTTGAAAAATTACAGGAGATAAGGATGTTTCGTTCGATAGCACCAAAATTACCTCAAATTCACCACGAGAATTCGCTTTATTTAGATCCACGTAAGTTATAATTTTTTGTGCTTCGTCATTAGCATAATCAGAATCCGAAGATATCAGATCTCGTCCCTTCTTTATTAGTGTTTCACCCTTGAAATCTTGACCTTGCACACTCATTTCGTAACTAACAGTGTCCTTTCTAAATTCTCTCAGTTCTTGGATCTTATTGACTTGAACATTAATTTCTTCATCCGATGATTCGCTGAGCTCTACTCGTTTAGCTCTTCGAAAAATTGTTTCACCTTCGAAATGTTGACCTTCTTGCTTAATATTATAGTTACTAATTTCAGTTCCTGTTTTCATACGCTTTTGATTCATGATAATCGCGTCAATAAACATCGATAATGGTACAGCAATAACAACTTGATTCGAGGACGAATCGTAATATCGTTTCAAATCACAATTTAAAAATGTTGATATTTCGTTACGATCCATTTTAGTCTCCGATTCATCCTCTAATTCATAAATTGTCCTCTTTTTAAGCGTTGTTTTATCAGTGAAATATTTTCCTTGCTGTTCCATATCGTAATATGAACTATGTGCATGTTGCTGCATTGTATTTGTATTTTCAAAAACAGTCGACATTTGCCCTGCGTACGAATTGCTCGTCGCTACGCAAACTTCATTTGATGAACAGTCTTCAGTACGCCTCAGACCACATTCAGCCACTTGCATTAAATTAGGTAGAACGCTATCTGACGAAGTTTCAGATTCATATTTTTGCCTCAAAATCAGTTGATCATGACCACTATAACTTTTCCCATACGATTCTAACTGTATATCAAGAACATCAGTGAGTTTTCTTTCTTCGTAATTATACTTTTCTGCAGTAAATTCATCTGATGCATCAATAGCTGCTTGGTCCAATTCAGTCTCAGCTAAACAAGCTTTTTCACCAATTATATAAGTTTTGAGGATTTTCGTTATGTTTTCAATGACTTCAACTTCTACTCGAGTTACAGGTATACTTAATGGGTCATCATTATTAAGTGAAGCCAAATCTGTCAGAAGGCGTTGGCTTATTTCAGTTAGATATTCCATTTTATCCTAAAATAAGAATTATAATTATTGAGTTTCTTATGTGAGCAAGTTGCTCTCTACTTCACTCATTCAGTCTTTATTATTATCTCAGATTTATATAATATATGAATACGATTTGACTGCAAAAGTAGCATTCAGGCTGAAAAATTTTCCGATTCAATAAAATACGATATGAATGGTACTTATTTTCGAAATTTATTCGTATAATAAAACGGCGGAAATGATTCATTAATTTTAAAAATTAAAACTGATGAAGAAAAAATTTGGATAAAAAAGTATATGCCTCACCGTTGATTGTGGTATCTGCAGCCTAACGTCTTGCTCGGATTTTAGAATTCCTTGCTCATAGAGGCTCATTGTAAATTCATCTCTCTGTTCCTTACCATTTACTGCTTGATCTTCTAATAGCAACATTCGCTTGCCGAGGTAAGTTTTTACCTATGAATGAGATATTTAATTAAAGAAATAAAATTTTCTTTCTTCATATTTTTCTTTTTTTTATTTATTTCTTTACAAGATAAAAAAGATTTTCTTTATTGCCAAAATTTTTTACCTTTATTTTTGAAGTTATTTAAATTACTTATAAATTACTGCTAACTTTATAATTCGTAACAACATCTTTAACTATCCATGTGCCATATACACATTGGTCGAATGACGTTAATTCGGCTCCGACAATCTTTTCAGTTTGTAAATCACCCTCTACAACTGTACGAATGACTGGAGGGCCTTGCCTAGAAGGTTCCAACCGATATTTCTCATTCATTTTCATAATATATGGAATAATGGAATATATTTAAGGATTACTGTATTAAAATCGTTAATCCATATCTGTTTTTATAGCCATTTGCTTCTAATGTGCTATATATAGAAATAAAAATTCATGGCCTAACTATAAATCACTTCATCTTTTCTTTTTTCAGTGCCGGATTATAATTTTTTTTTTGCTAGTAAATTTGATACACTACCATTTTCAAATGTTTGCGTTTTTATATATGAAAGACGGGCCTAAGTTGTATAAGTGTACCTGCATTTTACTTCTTCTGCTTCTTCAGCACGATTTATATGATTTATTTCAATAATGTGACTTTTATCAGATATGCAATTGCTCTTCCTTTGATATTCGTCCAATGAGAATTCATTTAATTTTATGCTTCCATCCTGCTAAATATTAAATAATTCTTATAATTAAAAAAAAAGAATCCTCACCATTATTGGTCAAATTCGCTCCACTGGCTTGCACATTGAGCAATATGTCAGCCCTTGGGAGTCCCTTGGCGATAGAAATACAGGCGATCACCCGGATTTTTGCACAGGTTTACTCCTGCGGGGAATCGAACCTCAGCATCGGTGCTCCGAATCGAGAAGCAACCCACTGAACCATTCTATCCCCAATTTTTATTATATATTATAATATTTCTTCTGCATCTTTCATTTGTTTTTTTTTTTATCTTTTTGAAACAAATTTCGCTTGAAATATCATTCACCTTGGTTCGAATCACTTTATTTATTGAATTTGTTGATGATGATTTTTGAATAGAATCAGCAAAAGGTTGTATGTGACTGGTGCTATTATAGGAAATTGTTGCATCTGGCAAAGAAGAAAGGTGCAAAAGATCGAAAGTTGCTTCATCTAATGTATTATGTGATGCTTCTCGACTTTTTTGCACAGGAATCTGAAATTGAGCGGATTTTGCAGCTCCAAGCATAATTATTTTACTAAATGGTGACTCAACTGTATTTCTATCGTCAAGTTAGTAATCTCTGACCAAAGTTGAATCTGATCCGAAAAAAGTGAACTTAACGAGAAATATAGCAAAAAAATTTCACTAATGGCAGATTTAGGCAATTAATCACAGCAGCACTCTTACAGTATTCTCTTTGGTCCTCCTACTTTGAATGTTGTCTTCTTGTGAATAACTTTCTAATTTTTGATCCTTTCCTTCGTAATTAAATTTATAAGTCGTTCGCATCCGAGGAGAATAAGTCGATTGGGGCACCACGCTTTGACCTCGCCGTTCCATTATCTCATCTTTGAATGTTACACTCTTTGTTGGTAATGATGGCATCGACACTAAAAGAGGATGGGCGATTTAAAAATATTTTATAATTTATTATGAAAATAATTTTTATTGGCTGTGGCTTTGGACGTGTCAAATTATTTTGGCTTACAACTTAAATAAATAGGGAATTTTAATCAAAAATAAGCCTTTATAGTAAACATTTTATATTATTTTCTTCATTGAAGTTATTTAATAATCCATATTAGTGGGCTTACTTTCTCGAACCTCCATTATATCGTTTGACCGCCCTTGGCCAGGCCACGTTTTATCGGTATTCATAATATCTTCATCACTTGATTCATATTTAGTCAGAATCCTTTGTTGTTTTGAATTTTCATTTGTTAATGATGGTCGGGAGCCAATCGGTCGGAAGAATCTCTGATTCATTTATCATTTATCATTCGATAATAATAATATCAACTGACTTGATATCAAAAGTTTAAATTTCGATTTTTGCTAAATTTTTTAAGCTTTTTAGCTTGTTCATCATAATTATTTTAATAATGGTCCATTACACAACATAACTATTAAGCAAATAAATAAAACCTGGAAGAATCCGGTTGATTTTCTTTCCGATTCCATTTCCATTAAGTTTGTTTCCTCTTCATCTTGGCTCCTTGAAAAGTAATCATTTTGAAAATTCTAATTATCTCTTTATCTACTTTTTTATTCTAAAAGCAATTATCATTTCTACTTAAGCTTATTTCGCTGGCTTGTCGGATCAGATAAATTTTGCCTAGGGAATTGGTAGGCAATTTAATAATACAGGTGAGTCACCAGCATCATCAAAATTTCTTGAAAGACTCCTGTTCATGCATTCCAACAAGAGCAACAAGAGCAACTGGCACTCACTTCCTTCTCTTTAATATGCCTTTTACTTTAGGAATACAAAAAACTATCAAACACTTTTCTAATTATAATCAAAATAAACCTAGAATGAAATCGCTCTTGAACGAACAATTGTTTGAAACCTTTTTTCATATCGAGTTTGCTCCTAAAACAAGACATATCATCGCCTTCAGCGTCAATAAATTCCATTCCATCTTCTCCAACATTTACTGATTTATTTTCAAGTTGAAGGAGCTCAAAAACAAGAGGCAAAGATGGATTAGCATCATTATAAACAATCTTTTTTACACTTTTTGCAGCTTGAATAATCTTTTCTGTATTCTTAGATAATAAAGGATCAATAGCATTTCGAATATTTCGATCAGATCGGGAATTAAATTTATTATCATCAGCAATATTTATTCTTCTTTCTTGGTTTGATTTAGCAATGGCACTTAAATTAGTTGAATATAAACCAGGTTTTGGACAGCGATCAATTATCGGCATGCAAATTTGGCTACTAATAGAACTATGTTGTTTTCTATGACAATTATCTTTTATTTTAATTTTTCTAAATTTCGAAGAAGCACTTGAAAATTTCTTTCGAGCAAATTTAAGAGAATTATTCAAAATTTTTGAAAAGGCGCTTTTTTTTTCGCCATTGTTTTCATATAAGTTACTGGTCAATAGCTTCAATGAATTTGAGCCATCTACCAAGGAAATCTCTTGAATATTGGTTGCGGTGCGGTATTCATCATCTTCATTTCTTTCCTTTTTTCGCGAGCACACAGTAGCAACTTTTTTTGATCTTTTCTTGCATGCACAACAAGCAAATTTGCATAAAATACATGCAATAATAAGAAATTGCGTCGCTAAAGTCAAAGACTGGTGGCTTTCATCTTTTGACATTGTATTCACAAACACTTTAAGGCAATAAAGGTAAAGTCCTCCACACAACTTGCGTTTCCCACAGACTGAACTAAGACAACAGAGGTTATTGGATGTTATAAGCTTAGATTCCTGAATATAGAATAAATAATGGGATCGCAGTGCAAAAAAGACACCCAACAGCTTTTCTCCAACGAATGAAAATTTTGAACGAAAATCAAGAGGAAGTTGTAGAAAATCTAAATCCAGTTTTCTTAATGATTTTCAAGTATTTAGTGTATGCATTTTGTACTAACTTTATCGAGATTTCACAAACAAACAGTAAGCAGTTACTCGCTGATCACTAAATCATTTTGTTGTATAAATCGATAAGATCTCTGTTATAACTTTAAACTCAATAATTTTAAAGAAAATCCGAAAAGTCAGACAATTAGATATTTGGATTAGCAACTTGAAATGGGTAAACTAGCAGATAAAAAAGAAAGGATTCAAGAAAAGTAATTCAGATTCATTCATGAAACTGACAATGCAGACAAAGATGATTCTGATGGATCTCAGAGGAAAAACCTTTTGGCTATTAATTTTCATTGTGAATTCGTCAATTCAACAAGCCTAGTGGATTCTTCATTTTTTGTTTTCTATTTTTAAACTTAATTAACCGCATTGCCTTTAATTTAACATTTCTGCTTCATTGTCAAAGTTACGCTTATTCGCTAGTGGATGAATCTCCTTCACTACTTGGACTTGATTTTTAACGACAATTCCATCAAAGAAAAGGAACCGAGTCTATTGATCTTAATAGAATCAGCACACAAATCCTGCTTATTACTGATTCATTCATACTGGTTTTTGATTATACTGGCTGATAAAGATTGGTTCTCCTTCATTCTCTTTCGTAATGTTGCTCGAAATATCAAAGTAATGAAAAGACAAAAAAGCTCGAAAGATATAACTGATATAAAATCTGCCAGGTTTTTTAATTTGTCGGCTAAAGATGAAATTTTCTTTTTTTCTTATAGCATTATGGATTTGATTTTCTGATGGATATTTATAAAAATTTTAATGCGTTGTTTAAGAACATTCGTAGAATATTTTTTCTTTTCTTTTTAATAATTTATGTAAGATTTTATAAAAAATGGAAAAAAAGGGGAGAACTGTTGAAAGAAAAACTAATCTAAGTAAATTCTCAATTTTTTGGGTATTTTTTCTTTAAAATTTCGCAACTTGAAAAGTTTGTTTTATTCCAACAGTAAAGTTATACTAAAAGAGAATTATTATATAACTTTCGTCTTTTGTTGATTAATTTTGCTTTTATAACTTTAATATTTTCTTAAATGTACAAAATTTTTGCAATCTATTCATTTCTATCAGATATTCGTACATCAGAAATTATTTTCATATTCATGCACATGAACAGATATCTTTATTTATATTATCTTAGATTCTTGATTTTTAAAGTGAATTTTTTTTAAATTTTTAACTTTTAATTTGGTTGGCCTCGTTTATTAGAAAAGTGATTAGGCGAGAGAAATTATTATCAGCGAGTCCCCGGAAGAGAAATATAAACGACATCACTCTACAGCTCACCTAGACATGGAAACAAAAAAATAAAAAAAGATATTTGAGATTCTTCTCCTTCTAACAGCTCTCATCATTATTGGTTAGGCTGGCTCCAACGGCTACAAGGGTAAGGCGCCAAGCTGCGCGGTCTGATGTTATCGTCGACAGTAATAAAAGCCATTCCTTTTTCAATCGTTTAGGTCCATATATTGCTGGTCCATCCATATGTTGAAAACCTTTTCTGACCGTATCAGTCCAGGTCTTGATTGGCCCACCTCGCTTTTGACGCCAACCGTCACACGATTTAGCAAATAACGAAATATACGTCAACACGTGTGGTGGAGAATGTTCCCTAACCAGCGAAGGTGGCGCTCCATGATAACATTATTTATGCAAGTGGTATTTTAACGAAGATGGATGCGATCTTGTGATATCTTATCCGCTCGACAGACTCGTAAAATACACCTTAGACAAAAGTGACCAAAGGTAGATAGCTTCATTTGAGAAAACCATTAATTCAGAATAACCGATTACAATTGGAAGGAATTTTCTACGACTATTTAGGGTTGAACTATTTAGGGACCTCGATTGTTAAATCTTAAAAGAATTGTGAAATAAGAACTAAATTTACCTTTCCAAAAATATAGTTTCACACAATAATTATACAATTATACAATTAGAATCCAAGAAGCTTTTTTCGACTATTCTGGTTCTATTCACTTCACCATGCTTCCCAAAACCTTAAATATTTTTTATGAAAAAAGTTAAAAAATCGCGACGCAAAATAAAAATGGCTAAATATTGTATAATCTGTAATTAGAAACTATTCTTTCAACTGCTCTTGATGAAATACGATCAAAAGCAACAGTTATAACAGCCGCCAAATTACTTAACAGATTTGATCACTAAATCAAAGAGAATCTTCCACATACAACGAACTGATAATACAAAAGCAAAAATGATATACCTTGGTATTTCAAAATATTAAAATTTATAGCTAAGGGCGGACGATAAGAAGATAAAGCTATTCAGTGAGGCAGTTCTCAAATCTAAGAATAAATTTCGATGTTCGATGTAGGAGTGAGATGATGATGATAAGGAATGCAGATAATATATGAGGAAGTTTAATCATACACCAGAGCGAAAAAGATTTTAAGAAAGAGAGTTTAGCTCCAGCTAAAACGCAACTTTGATTTCTTCAACAGTTGCCATGTGTCTTTCGAATGGATTAATGCATTAAATAAAAAAATATTTTCAAACATCGACATTTTAAATACCAGTTTTGCCAGTTTTTTTCAAATGGAACTTCACCCAGTTTAAATAAATCAAAATCGAATCACCATTGATAATCGCAGGAAACTTGTGGAACAACGCTTTAGAAGGCATAATAATTTTAATAATTCTGTTGATTTTTCTGCTTCAGGAATGAGAGTGAATAAACTATTGTAAAAGAATTGTTCTACCTTAGTTGAACCGATTTTGGTTTATTGTATGCAGTGGTTTACTATAAAATGCAGTCTCAGCCATATCCATTCTTATAATTCTGATAATACGTGAGGAAGTTTAGGAATATGTGCGGTAATAATTTAGGAATAAACTTTTTCTGTTGGTTTTTTTATTTTTTGTTAGAATTTTTTCCTTATTCATTAATAATATTTATTTATAAATTAATTTTGCAATGTAAGAACAATACACAAATTCCTTCAAGCATTATGCTAGTTAGCATGTCTCAATTGCATAAAATAGAACGATTGATAAGAAATTGAAAAGAAACCTCAAAATCCCTCATTAGATATCCGTTTACTCTTTTATAATTTCCACATTATACAAATATGAGCAAAATTTTATCAATCAACGACTACAAAGCAAGCATTGAATATGGGGAAAATTTTTAAATCCAAATCAAAGGAAAGTAGAAATATTTTTCGAGCAATTTTGGAGAAGAATAATTTTTCAAATGATTCCTTTAATTTTAATTTCAGTGTAAATTGTTTTCATAAGATTCGCTACTTTTTACTAAATGATTGAACGATAATTGGAAAAAATATTTATTTTATAATATATTTATTTTACAATATATTTATTCGATCAAAAAAATGCAAAAAAAGGGACAAATGTTTATGTGAAAAATGCTTTCTGAAACAAAAGTAGGAATTTCGGGATTTTGTGATATTAGCAAAACTGAGATTTATTATAAAACGCAATTTCCTTTGAGAAGGTGTCGACAGCGAATATATAGCGAATATTTCAAATAGCTTTTATTATTGTACAAAAGCACCTAAATCTTCGTTGAAATTATGCGAGCTTCCTCTTTTATAATAATTTTTTTACTTAAAATAAGAAATTTCCATCAAAAAATTTTGGACTGATATGATTTCTCATTTCTTTGGAAATTGAAGCATTTATTTCAAAGATAAATTTTTAGACAAATTCATGAGCCATAAATTTCAATAACTATTCATCATCTTTTTGTCTGATCATTTAAAGCCAAAAGTACCAAGTTTATGAAAGGCGATTAAGATATGCGAAAGGAGAAATGAAAGGAGAACACCGTTATTCGTTACGTTAACGCAGCCAAAGGTGTTTTTCCTAGGCAATGAAGACTTTTTTATCTACCCACTTTTATTTCATTATCGCAAAGAAGAAAATGAAAATAATAGTTCAAGAAACAATCGCTAAAGTAAAGCCTTCGCCACGTCTCCAGCAATTTCGTACATACCTCAGCATCACAACGTGGCATAACATATAAATTCTGATAATAAGATGCCGTCTCCACTTTTTTAATTCCTCTTCGATTCGTTTAATGCCTTACGCTATATATTCGAATACTGAAAAAGATTTGCACATTCCCTTGTTTATTGAAATTCATTTTACTTAATCATCACTCTGCTTCTTTATTATTATTTATTTATTTTTATCGATATTTTTATCTGATATTTTTTAATATCCATTTGTGTTATATATTATTATTATTATATATATTATTATTATTATTATCATTTATTTGAGATTTTGTAGTTCTTTGAATGAATAATAAAAATATTTAAATTTATTATAGTAAATCATTAATAATTATAATAATTGAAAAATTTTTGCTATTAAATAAATGACTAAAGTTTAATTTTCAAAAGTGAATAATAAAAGCGAATTGAAAAAATCGAAATTATATTAAATTATATAAAATTATTAAATTATATAAAATTATTTATATAATTAGATTTATTATCAAAATTATTTATGAAAGAAAATGGCCATGAATAAGGAAAGAGCCATTTTATTTTTGGCATTATTAGTAAAATATTTTTACGACAAAAATTTTGGCCAAAAAAAATTTTAATAAATAGGAATTAAAATTATCGTTAAATGATCGGAACTTTTTACAAAATTTCTGATAGATAGGAACTAAATCTTTTTCCAAATATTACTCGCTGGTTTGAAAAATTCTAAATTTTTTTATAATTTACCATTTATTTATGTTTAGTGATAGAAAATATGATCAAATTAATATTTTATTAAGGTGAAACGATTACAATGCATTGAAGGCTAATTGCTAAATTTTTTACAGCAAAAAAAGCAAATTTCAACAAGAAATTAGTTTTTTAAAAATGATTGGATATGAAATATTAATTAATTTCAGAAATGCTACTATTAAAAGAATTTCCTATGCTTTTGGGAATAAAATTAAATTATTTTCAAAAATATCGAAATTTTATTTTTAATAAAATGAGCGAAATTGGTTTGCGGAAAAATTGTTTTTTAAGATGCCTTTGGGAACTAAGATGAATTTATTTTCAGAAGTGTTTGTTCCTATATTGTTTAGTATCTAAGGACAAGCAACTTGGTGGCAGTATACTAAATTCCAAGCTACGGTACTGTGGTACTTTTATTGTTGTTAGTAATATTAAAATCATTTTTTGATGTAATTAAAAGATCCCTCCAATGCTATATTGATAATTCAAATTGCTTACATTAAATCATTCGAAAAATTTGTAGAAAAATGAAAAAAAACTATTCAAAAAATTTAAAAAGAATTGCTAAAAGAATTATAGATTTAATTTTTTGAATTTTTTCAAGGATATTGAAATTTTTTAAAAAATGGCAGTATGAAGATGTATATAATTTAGTTTCGTTCCTATGCTCACTCAAATTATTTATTTAAATGATATAAATTACTGATAATGGCCTGCAACTTATCAGCCATTTAGATAAAAGAAAAGAAAGAAAAGAAGAAATATACAAAATAATATTTAAACATTTAAACTTTTTATCAGCAGATCCATAAGTGAGAAACAACTATATAAAACGATTATTTCTTTTGGATGTTCATTAGATAGACAAACATTAAATGATAAAAAAATATCCATAACTGATTAAAGCAATTTATTTTACTTTTTTTAAGAAATTTATTTTTTTGCATTTTAAATTAGTTTGTTTATTGTTATCAGGATTTACAAAAAAAATACATATAAATCGCATGCTTCAAAAATCAAATTTAAAAAAGCGAGGTGATAAGAAGAGATAACATTAGTTATTAGTTTTCTGATACCCATCATTTCCAAATCATTCTTTGCAACCGACGTAGCTTAAATAAAAATCATTTAATCATTTATATCAATGGTGAAATTTATGTATTTTAGGCAATTATCGAGTAGTATATAATCCAAAACATAGGTGATTTTTTTTACATACTCCCCGCTATCTTCATTATCACTGTGTTCGATTTATCGCATCAACCGTTCATCATTTGTCATAATCAGTGATTTGTTTCAATAGCAAAAGGTTTACCACGTTTTTCATCACCGATAATTTATTCTAGCTCGTAGCACTTACGATTTTATTGGATTTCATCCATTTTGTTTCCCTGTCTTCCATCGCTATGCAGTTATTGGGTTAAGCGAGTACGGTGGATCAAATAATCGGCGAACAGTAATAGATTATGTGAATAGGCAATTAAGGCATGTGAGATGAACGTTCTTCCAGTTGTACTTTCTCTTAGGTATTAAGTGTAAACTAATTCAAGCGTAACTAATTTAGCAATTCAAGTGTTTCATTGCAAGTGAAAAAAATTGCAAATTCAGTGATAAAATATTCGGAATTTAAAGAAATACTTTAAATAAAAGTAAAAGGTGAAAATGAATAAATCACAATTTGGTAATATTAATAAATTAGTTGTTACTTCCGTTGATTTGAAAATAATTAAAGAAATAAATTAAAAAAACTGAAGGAAGAAAGAAATTCAGGAAATCCTTATCATTGACTCAGTTCGATTAAAATGGTTTATTGCTTTCGTTCAACGGCAAAAATGTTAACATAAACAAGGGAAGAATTTTTCTTGTCTTCTTTTTTTAGCACTAAAATTATTTTAGTGTCTGATTTATGGCCAAGTTTTTTTCTAATGATTCTCATATTGAATCCGATTTATCAAAAAATTTCTTTGTAAACTAAAACCAAAGCCCTCTTCTGAATTACTGCCTCACTGGTATTATTTCGATTATTTTCTTTCTGCCAAAGAGTCACGAGAAGGCTACCAGAATGTATATATCAATTTATTCAATTATTATTCTCATTAGTTATTAGTGCAAATATTATTGAAAAACTCGAAAGCAAGAAAAAAATTAAAATGGAGAAAAAATAAAGTAACAAATGGATTTTGATAAATTGATAAACTGATAATTTGCAATATTTATCACAACAAATAAAACCTATAAAACTTTTTCATGTAACTTTTAACTTTTTCATGCAAATAATGCGATTTTCATTTCAAATGATTTCGAATTTTTACAGCATAAATCAATTTGCAAACATTTAAATTTTTAAATAAAGATCACCGAAACTTCAATAAAAACTATTTTTTGACAAAATTTCGCTTAAAACTATTATTTAATTATGCTTTAGCATTTATATGCTGCAAAATTTTCAGGCGAGTAAAACTGTCAACTGTCAAACATTTTCATTTTTTCTTTAACTACGAGCATTTTGCAAACTAAACGGATGTACGTTTTTTTCCGGTCGTTTTACTTCACCCCACCTGTCTTCTTTTTCTTATATAACTTCTAATACTTGCAATATTTCTAACTTCACCAGCGGTTAGGGCAATGTTTCATTTGCTGGAGAGCGGCATAAAAGTTTCGTCTTCACTGGTTGGATTTTATAAATCTATACATATCTAATATGTAAGTTTAATCATATTTCGTCCTAATTTTTTCGAATTAACAGAGTTTTTTTGAAAAATCGCAATTTTTTTTAGCTTTTATTAAAATGGAAAAATGAAAGAATCGGACTATGAATTTTAGATTCATTAAATCATTTCAATTTACCATATAATTTATACAAAATATCAACTTCTCTCTTTTTTTCAGCCTTAATTTTTTGTTTTTCATTTCTCATTTTGTGATTAATTTATGATTCTATCAAATTTTTCAAGAATTATTTGTAAAGTTTATTCTATTTGTTTTTATATTTTTTATAAAATTTGTTTAGATTTTTTAACAATTTAATTATTTATTTTCAAATAAATGGATTATTTTTTCCCTATTTTAATAGATATTAATATTAATGTAATAATTTTTCCAAACACTAATGCTAAAATAAAATTCATGAGAATGAAGAGAGAGAGAGAAAAATTTACTTGTTTTGAGACATTCGCCTTAAATATTTTGCTTCTTCGAAACTTCGCATTTCAAGATCTGAACGTGGGTGCTGTCCACTTATTTCCGTTTGTCGTAAGCGTTTTCTAAAGATAAAGATAAATTATTTTCAAGTTTTGATATTTTAATTGAAAAATAAAATGCTATTAGATATTCTTTCTAAAGCAAAAAAGAATTTTGAAAGGGTAATAGAATTATTAACCTGTAAGCTGGCCTGAATTCAAAAGAAAGCCATATGGCAGCAACGATCAGTGCTGCCAATAAGAAACCAATAGAGGCGAAGAGTATGAGTACCCGAAAACGATAGCTTTCACAGCAACTCATCTCTTCACATTCCCATGTGAATAATTGGGGACAAATGGAGCTACCCATTACACTATAAAATAATTATTATAATTACACAGGCTCAACGTCAGCGAGGAGCAAAAAATTTGAATAAAATAACGAAATTTTTGGCTTCCAACTCCTTTGAAGCATATTAATATTAATGTTTTTTGCAACGCGAGTGATGTATAATCATTTTTTTTTCAATTTTCGTTCAATTCTATCTTTTTATTGCCAATAAAAAATTATTAAAATCCACAGAAAAAAATAATCAATTTTTCGAAAAAAATCTTATAGCAACGAAGAAAAATGAAAAATGTATAAATGAAAACAAAGAAATAAATAAATGATAATTGATATGTTTTAAGACATGTTATTATGAGATTTTATCAATTTTTTAAACGATCATTTTTTAGCCAATTTGTTAAAAAATTTACATATTTAATGTTTGTAAAAATAAATTTTCAAAGGAAAATTACTGAAAAAATTATTAGAAATAAAAAATTTGAATGAAACAGTAAAATAAAATAAATCTCAGAATTTAAAAAGAAAGCTTAAATTCTTTCTTTTTTCATTTCTTGACTTTATTCCTGATGAATGCTGAAAATCAAAATTTACATTCATTAATTTTTATTATTTTCTGCCAGTAAAAAACATACAATGCCGTGTGCGAAATTCATCAAAAAAAATAGTAGCAATGATAGTGTTGATAATGATAATATTAAGAATAATATTAACTAACTGAAGGGATATCTGAGCTAAAAGACTGAAAAGAAAATTCCATAAGAAAATATAAAAAGTTATGAATTTTATAAAATCGGATTTTTGCAATGTTTATTTTATAATTAAGCGTATTCATTCCAAATGTTTTCGAGTTTTTTTAGTTTAATTAATAATTTATTTATTTTAAAAAATATTAATTTTCGCAAAAATTGAATATGAGAAGATATAAGAAAATTTTAAAAAGCACTTTAAAGAAAAGAAGTAATAAATCTAACCAACCAGCAAGCAAAGCGCAATAATGAAAAATTCGAGGATTCATCTGATAAGATCGAAGCAAAAATGCTTCAAAAACTTCGAAACGTAATTCAATTTCAAGAATAAAAATGAAATTTTCCAGTCGATTTACTCATTTCAATAAACAGAATGCTTCATTTTCCACGGATTTAAAGATTGTTTCACAAAGAAAATTAAGAAAGGACGAACTTATCTCTCAGAAAATAATCGAAATTTTCCATAAAAACTTCAATTTTATTTATGCGAATAGAAAATTATGCTTAAGAAACGAGGAAGAATAAATGGCTTTGAATGGTTTAAAAACTTGCACTATCTTAAAATTTTGGCAATAAACTGGGCTTTTTTTTAATAAAAAAATTGCTTTTTAAATTTTCAATTATCACGAAAAAATCATCACAAAATAAATGAGTAAATTCCAAGAATGTCATTCAATTTATAAAACCATTAAATTTAATTGATAATCTTAAAAAGAAATTCAAATAAAACCAATTTAGATTCGCTTTAATTACTTCCAATAGTTTGGAAATGATTTTCAAAACAAAAACGGGAAAAAAAATTTCTGAGAGAATGAATGAATTTCATAAGAAATGAAAATTTTTTCACCAAATAAAAGTATTTGTTTAAATTTAATAATTTTTTATGATAAAGGATATTCAAAAAATAAATAAAGACAGTTTAAAATTTTTTCTTTTTCAAAATAAGAAAAATAGAAAAAAAGACAATGAAACGATTGTTTTAAATGAGTTTCTAAGAGGAAAAATTCGAAGGGAAAGGAGGGAAAAGAAAGAAAATTGTTACAACGTATTTTGATTGATACGTATTTTGTTTGAACCAAAAAGTAAGGCAGAAATAATCGTTGGGAAATGCTCAAACAGTCGCTGAGAGTATATCGAAATAATCGCAAGAAATAATTGGAAACAAAGAAAATTATTTCTAAAATGAATCTCATAATTTTAAAATACTTTATGAAAGACTGGAATTTTTTGATTTTATAAGTTAATAATACAAAAAATCAAATATGCTTTAAGATTTAAGATACAAAATTGGATTTCTTCGAGAGAAAGCTCAAATAGCGATTTTTTAAATTTAATCCATCCAAAATCTTCATTTTGAGCTTAAATTGGCTAATTTTAGGAAATTTATAAGACAACAATGCAACGACGAGTGATAAAGACAATGCTAAGGAAGAACGTTTAAAAAAATTTGGATAAAAATATAAAAAGGGCGATTTTTCTTCGATAATTTTTATAAACTTTTATCAAATAAAATGATAATATTCCCTGCTTGGATGATATTTTGTGTTAAAAAAATATTGAGAATTATCATTCACATTATTTGTGTATCTCATCGTTAGGAAATCTTCAATTAACGTATCGAATATTTAAATACATCTAAACACACCACAGCAAGATATTCTGAAAATCAATAGAGCTATAAATAATTTCAAAATGGAATTGATGGGGGTCATATGGCTCACCAAATGGTTTTACTACCCGGCAGAAGTCTATCTGTCTATCGAGAACTTAGGTGGGTGTTAGCGGCCCACTTGAATTTCTATCGTTCAGTTCCCGTGCGAAAATTTCTAACCTTATTAGCAATCAGTGGAACTATGAATCTCATAAGTAATATTTGGTGAGAAGAATAAAGAAAAAAGTAAAAAGTAATATTTGAGTACAATTTAGTTTTTTCAGGAATGGAAGGCATTCAAGGAAACCAAGGAAGATCTAAATCGATAAAAAGATGAACAATAAGAAATTATATGAAATGATTTCTAAGTCAATTGTTCACAGCTTTTCAATGCTTTTGGTGTTATTTAATAATAAATTTAATATTTAATAATAAATTATATAAATATGCTTCTGCTTATGTTTCTGCTTTGAGCAAAACAGCAAAGAAGCCAAAATATTTTGCAATTGTTAAAAATAACGGATTATTATTTATAATATTATAATTACATTATAATTAAATTATATATATATATATAAATTTTATTAAATATACATCGCAAGAAGTGAGTGAAGGACGAAACCAAGAGACTATGGTACTTATTCATTGTCAAAAACCTTTATGAAAGAGATCAGCCATTTAATACAGATTAGTCAAGGCGAGCGAGCGGTTAATGCTCAATATTTATGAATAGGCTATTACTTCTGCCAGAGAGTGAGTTACTAGAGTGACAGAACTATCGATATGTCATAGAACCATGTAGACTTTTTAGTGGCAATTTTACTTCTGCAATCAAACTTATTATTCTAGATACAAACTGAAGCACCACACTAGTCAATCATATCTGGTGCATGTACATCACTGCCAGCCAGTTAATCCCGGCTAACCAATAATGGTGTAAGCTGTTAAAAGAAGACATAATATTAAGGATCATATAAATAAATGTTTGACTAGATTTTTAAAATATTTCAAATATATTTCAAATATTAATAGATTTATGGATTTGCATCGTTTTAATTATCCAAAAATAGATAATTATAGTTCATTGAAAGCTGATTATGTGACTGAAAATGGAAAATGCGAAAATGGAAATTATTTTGGTGATTCCAATACAAGTTTTTTTTTCTATTCCTTTTAAACGTCTTTTTCCCTTTTCTACAATACAATGCTGTTGCCGTTTCGATTTTTCGAAAAACCAGAAATATCCACTTTGTTAGCAATAAATCTGAGAAGGTAGTTGGATTTTAAATTATGTGCGAAGTTCTAACAGTTCTGCACCATTTCTAATTTCTTTGATCCTACTGATTATTAATGAGGATAGAATGGAATAGTTGAATGGGCAATTAGGAACCATTTGGCTGCAAAATGCATGTTTCATTAAAAATATTCAGATATCCATATCTCAATCGCTTCTCGAGTTCTTTCATATATCTCTGGTTAAAATGTTATGAAAGGTCGATAGATATTAAATATATTTTGATTGCTAATTTAGGAATATGCAAAATAATTCTCATTTTTTCAAAAATAATTAAGTGATTAAGTGACAAAAATTAAAAGTATTGATTTGTGTAAAAATATTAAAGTGTTTTGGTTCATTGAATAGTATTATTAGAGTGGATCCGAGGTACGCCTGTATCGTCACATCGAGCGTCTCATTAATCTCAAATCATCCATAAATTTCATACGTTCGAGCCAATCGATTATTATAGGTGATCATTGTTATTATTTTGCATTTCGTTCTATCATAGTTAAAAAATAATACATTTTATATTTTTAATTATTTTCTATTAAAACGGATCTTATATATATATTAAACGGGTCTTTTTATTACCAGAATTAATAGAAAAGTGTCAGAAAATAAAAATTTTGATGTTTCAGCAAATTTTTTACTAAAAAGAGTATTCTACAGTAATTTTTCATGATTTTATATATAGAAAAATAAATGATTGATGATAACTGTGATGGTGGTCGAAAATAAAGCAAACCATTGTTTAATAGCACGCAGAAGAGCACTTTCACAAATATTCTTCAGTAAAGCTAAATGCTTAGACAATGACCACTACAGCCAATATGGTGATAAAACTGTAGTTAGGTATCCTCGTCTAAGACGACGTTTTCTAGCCGAAATATATTCTTCATGCATAAATTTATTTAGATATAAATATTTTGCCCGCAAAAATTCGAAATTCTTGTTATCTAAAATCTAGTTTATATTGAATGTATTGTCGTGGTTTCATTCATTAGACAGACTCCTTTCCTTCTTCTATTCCGATTCGCTAAACTACACTTTCCTATTTGTCTTGAAATCCTTCAAATAATTCCATATTATGGGTAAGGAGTGTTTGTTATCAGAGAATTTTGTTTATTTTATTCTCAGCTGAACAATGATATTCATATTTATTCATATTTTAATAATAATAATATTTCTAATTTTGAGAAAACAAATATACTAAAATGTCAAATACTTCGGAATATTTCAGAACGAATATATATATAAATATACCTGGTTTCCCTCGTTAAATTCGTCCAAACAAATCATTTGTAAATTTGTAAATTTTATGTATTCCTTCCTGTTTGGATTAAATTGTAAAATTTGACTGCGCAATTCTACTGAGCGAATGTTATATAGAAAATATTTGATATTTTAACCTGAATATGAGAATTCGTTGAGGAATGAGTTTCTGATTTTTCTCGTTTTTCTTTCTCTTTGATATTCTGAATTCGAATAGTTATTCTGAAATCATCAAAATTTGAAAATTCTTTGATGTAAGTGTAAAGTGTTACAAAAAACTATAAAAAATATGATGAAATGAAAGGTTAGCGTTAGTAACTATTGAAAAATTACGTTTTAGTTATTACGTTTCAACGTTGTGAAATCCATAACCTGATTTTTCTTTCAAAAGCGATCATTTTCTTTTTTTAATTCAATTAATTCAGTTGCTTTAATTTTAATAATAAAAAAATAAAGTTCACTGTTTTGAAATTTGTCATCGGTTCAATTAATTTGGTTGGAAAAATAAATGAAACTGCGGTTAGAACGATTTGATTAAATAAATCAAGATAAAGTGGTTTTTAATGAACTTTTTTTGATATTTTTGATCGCTTCGCTTCAAAAAAATGAAAAAGAAGAAAACGATTTTGCATTTTGTAGTTGCAAAAGAAGTTCGTAAAAGTCAATAAATTTTCGAAATATTATTTTTAATTTTAAAATGAAACAGTTTTGTGAATTATCCTTGACCTAATTAATCCTTTTTTTCTTTTTTTAGACGTTACACTTGATTGGTTTCACATCTCCTTCTTTGCTTTTTTAATCACTTCAAATGATAAAATATTGCGCATAATTTCATAAATCTCAAAAATTTCTGAAACTAGTTTCATCCGTTAATAAATGTATTTGCTTCTTAAAAATTTACAAATTTTCTTGATCGTTCTAATGGTTATATTCGATTACTAACTAAACACGAATTACTTTGCATATCTAAATTGACTGGAAAAGTACGCATTTTGCACAGAGTCGATGGAACTAGGCCAAAAATTTCTTGCAAATTTCATGATATGTGTGCTGGCAGTAGATAGTTCAGGTTGACATGGTCAATTGTGTAATAATCATTGTCGGCGACAAGCAATGACGATGAAAAGAGTGCGGTTGATGAACGAAGGCAAGTCTATAAAGGACATCGAAATGAGTTGTTATGAATTGTATTAACTTTGAATATTGGGTCATCTTGTTTTATTTCACCAAATTTTCAAGTCGTCTAAATTTATTTTTCACACCGAATTATTTTTTTCTCAGACATTTACATTTTTGTTGAATTATAATTGCCAAATCCTGGTATTATATATTTAATATTTGCATTAATATTTTGTCAAAATTATTTAATTATTAGTTATATAAGAATGAATAGTGAAAATAGTATTTATGAAAAAAAAAATCTTTGCTTATCTTTCATTTTCATCAATAACGCATTTTAATCCATAATAATGATGTTTGATTTTACATATATATATATCCTTTAATGATTTTTAATTTAATCCGTGATCGATATTTTTCAAAGGAATCATTTTTGGTCGATTAATCCGAATCAGTGGTTCTCATATTTTTCACTTGGAGATCACGCGTTAAATTCTTAAATTCTTAAAAATTATTGAGGATGCATCTTAAGAGCTTTTATATGGGTTATACCATCTGATTTTTATCCTATTTGAAAATCTACTACCTCGAGATTCATTGATACATTGAATCATTAGTGAGCAAATTACAATGAATGATTGATTAGGCATTTTCCTTATTTCTGGTTGGCTCTTTTGGCTGCCAATATAATTCGAAATTTTCGCCAGGCAGTTGAATGATGATAGAAGTATCGCCAGTGTCCTCCGCATTTTTAATGGCAGTTTTACTTCCGAAGAGGACCAGGATCTGAATCCTTGCCTCTCAGTACAACGATAATCCAGAATGACTATCGACTTAGTTCTTTTGAACAATTGGTAAAAAATAACGAAATAAATAAATTATTCGATTATATTATGACAATTGCTTTTTTTATAGCTATTTTATTAATATAAGCGCTTTTAATATTTGTAGTGTTTAATTTGATTTATTAAATAGGCCAAATATTATTGCAAGCAATATTATTTGATCAGTGAAGAAAATTTAATCATTCTCCTCCATTATTCCCTATTTCAATTATATTAATTTTGAGACTATTATTATTATTAATATTGTTATCACTTTTATTATTATCAATATAATTATTTCTCATAAGAAAATTGCTATTATTATTAATATTGTTATCACTTTTATTATTATCAATATAATTAATGCTCATAAGAAAATTGTTGCCATGAATTTTATTTTCAGAGTGCAACCTCCATTTAGCGATCGTTCACTAATTATTTCGTTTTATGAGATTAAATTAGCTGATAAGTCAGCAAAACGAAAGATTAAAAACATTTATTTTATTCTTGCATAATTACTTCAATGGGCGCTGAATTGCGCATACGAACTTCTCAGGATTTCTCTATATCTCAAGAAACTTGCAAGTTAAATGGCACAGGCAATGTCACCAATTTAAGCGAATTAAATCATCATCTACTCTGGAAATTAATACCAATCAAATTATATAGATGGTGGTGCTACTGGATTTACTTATTTTGGTTTGTCATGGGCATTCTTGTATTACGAAAAACGCGAAATGCAGTTGCAGCTGTGAGTTATGTAAAAATGCATGGCCACACAGTCTCAGACGAAGCAATAATGAAATCGTCAGCATTCAGCAATTTATTATGGTCATTAGAACACAAATTTGAAAAGCCACCGGCTATTTTCTTTCTGAACCAATATGCGTTAAATATGACATTTAATTTTTTATGTAACACGCGTTATATGCAAAACGCACACGAACGATTTATATTTGTAACACTGGATGATGTAGCTCGAGATGTTTTGCGAGAATATTGGCCGAATGTCGAACAGATTTACTGGCCTACTCCAAGTTTATATGTTAGTACCTCTTTTTTGTTAATTTCACGATTTATTTGGGGTAGGTGTGATATTTGCTAAGGAATCGTTTGTCTGATATTTTAATTCACCACTTAATTAATCATCTATCGGTTCGGGATTAAAAATTGAACACTGAGCATTTAAAGCAGTAATTAGACTGAAATTTTTGAATTTGTGGTTCTCTATTTTCCACCATTTTCATTATCCATTAGTAACGAAGCAGTCTTTAAAAATTGCCACCAACAGTGCGCGTAAACGATCTGAAATTGAATCAAATTTCAGAGACCTTTTAGTTTCGCAGAAGGTGCATACCAAACATTATATTTATTACGGGCAAATTTAGCTGTCTCATTATTGAAACATGGCAAATCATTTTGGATGATGCAACAAGACACGTTTTGGAGGAAAAATTTATTCGAATTAAATTTGGAAGAAAACAAAGATTTCGATGCTTTATTTGATCAAATTGGGGATGACCAGAATTCAGAAAGAGCTGAATGGGTTAACGGTATTCTTTATTATTGCCTTTCTCGACTCCACTATAGAAGATTTTTAACGTAGCCAGTGGAGTAAACCTTGTCAATAATGACGCAAGGAGATTTTTGAATTAAGCATTTGAAAACCTGGTTCCAAGTCCAAAAATAATATCAAAGTAATATAATAATAATAACAATAATAATAATAATTAATAACGAACGATTTAGAATATTTAATTACGAATTAATTTTTTTGAAACTTTTGTTTTTTTTTACTAACTGTTCCCGAATGGTTTTTATGTTGAAAATAGATGGTTAAAGAATAGCGATTCTTCTTATATGATCCATAAAAGTAAAGTTTTGAGAGTGAGGAAATAATGGTAGAAAAGCATGCATCATCTGTCATAATATTCTTCATAAAATATATTTTATTAAGGCCTGCTGGCCTATGATGTCTATCAATACTTCCACTCCCAGATGAAAAGGTTCTCAGTGGAACTCATCCATCATAAAAATAGCACTTTAGAAAGGGAAAAAGACAAATTTTACAAATTTTACATGATATAAATATTATTTTATAACTTATTTTACAACTTATTAATTAAATAATTAAAAAGTTATGTAAAGTTTATTCAGCAATAACTTGAATTATCAAAAATTCACTCAAAACATTTTTCATCAAATTTTCGAGATTTTTTTTGCTATTTTGAACGGCAAATATCCACAAAAAATTTGTTAAAGAATTTATTAAAAATATTATTAATTTATTAAAAATATTTTAGTAGTTTTATTAAAAATTTTTATTGTGAATTTATCATTCTCTTAATAATGTTTCATTTTAATAGAATAATGAAGTGCTTGCAGGTGCAAATTTCTTTGTTCATGCCAATAATGATACATTGAAATTTTTTGAAGCCATAGCCAGAAAATTAGCTCATTGGTATACGCCAGATATGGGCATTATGATCCATCAGTGTCACACTTGGGATAAACCAAAATGCCAATATATTCCACATAAGTAAGCTCTTGACATCTTTGCAAATCACACTATATGCCAAGTCAAAATTTGCAAATTTGCAAATTTTACAAAAATCTCTTCTTTCATCGAATTTTCGATTTTGTTTTGTAGCAATTTTTGAATTTTTTTAAATAAGATTTTAAAATGCATTTCAGAAATCTATAATCAAGAAATCTCTATTAATTTCATATTTTTTATTTCTCGCAAAAAAATTTTAAAAACTAAATTTTTAAATCTTCAATCAGTAAATATTTTATTAAGTTCGCCTTTTTTGAGAATTCGATATTGTTTAGTTCTACTTTCTAAATTCTCGACTTGTGAATAAATGCTACATAGACAATAGGCAATACAGATGCACTGAAGGAAAAGTACCAAATTTTAATAAAAAATAAGTAGGAATATACGGACGATGCTTAAAAATTTATTCACACGAACCCTAACTGCTTCCTTTAATAAATAAAAGCTTAAAAGCACGAAATTTTCCTCCTTTTTATTACTAACTAAAATATATATTTTTCAGCACTGAAAATTGAGAATGAAATCTGTTCGCCCTATATATGAAAAATCGAAACCATTATTGGCTTTTAAAAATTTAAATTTGTTCATTATTTGAAAAAATAAAGACTGTATTTTTTAAGAGGAAAAATTATATTTAGAAAATTCGATTCGATTTTTAGAAGAATAATTGCGCTGATTGAATCAAAACAGCATATTAGCAATTTGCAACGTTTCTTTTTTTCAGAACAGCTCATTCATGGGAATGGTTGTACACGGATCAAAAAGATCCTCCATATATACTTCAGCTGGATTGTGAAACAGATGGTGGTTCAAAATTGATGCAACTCGCTAAATTTGGCTTTTATTTTGTAGAGAATGATAATCACCGTCTATGTAACGCCACTGCAGTAGAAGTAATGCAAAAAAGAATGGATGAGGGAAAGATTGAGGTGTCTCGAGCAAAATTAAGTTGGGGAAGATTTCAATTTAAAGCTTATTGGTGGATCGTTGATAATATGCTTTCAACGCCATATATTGGGCCTATTATGAAACCATACCTCCCATTAATTGGATTTTTTTTGCTGATCACTATTTAATTAAGATAGTTAAATAGGTAAAATAACAAAGACAAGAATTGTTTTGAAATTTAGCTTAGCAATGATAATGATGAATACTGATAAACTGAATAAAAACGATAAAGGATGATAGATAAGAACAATGATAAATGATTAGGTGGAATTTTTATATCTATTTGAAGTTCACTTTTTAGTTCACCTTTCACTTGCATTAAGGCAAAACTCACTTGTCACCCTTATTTTTCTGGATTCTTTATAAATATAACTTCATGCTAATGCAATTAATAGCTATCAACGATTGTTCGAAGGCAACCCTTCAAAGTTCTATGATTTCAGAATTTTTCCCATTTGATAAATATAAAGAAAGGGAAGAAGGATAAAAAGCTATTTAATGTTAAAATTTTATTAATTAATTAGTCAAAAAAATGAACCAATATTATTATTTCGAATATATAATAAAAAAAATTTGACAAATAACAAATAATAAATTCAAAAAAATTTGACAAATAACAAATAATAAATTCTTTTATATAAAATAATTTGCAGTCGTTTTTTCCAAAATGTTTTTAATTTTTAGCTTTAAACTAATTTTAATTTTCTTTTATTTAATTTTATCGAATTTTCCATTATTTCCAATGATTTCCATACAATAAAGTCGTATTTCTGATGAAAGAAAGAATTAATTATTAATTAACTAATTAATAAGTTAATTAATTATTAGTTAGTAACAATTATAATTATTAATAATCAATAATTTATCAATTATAATATTAATAGTAAATATTTATAATAATAATATATAATAATCTTGCAATATCTATGAAATGGAAATAAGAGAAATCTCTCCAATTTTTTAATAATCTTTTCCAATTTTAGTATAAATGGCGCATTTGAAATTTGTTAAAAGATAGCAAAGAAGAAATAAAAATATTTATTGCGAGAATATTACTTTAGGAATATTTTATAGATCTCTGCATTATTATAAGTGATAGTATTTTATAAATAATTGCTATTATACAAATGTTCAAGAAATTCATAATGTTTGGAGAGATTTTATAAATGTGAAAAAATAAAATAAAAAGGTTATTTATTACAACCTTGTTGATTACTGCAATTAACTTTGCATGTTTTTTGTATTTATTTCAGATTTACGTCAATTTCTTTCTATTTTTTTTCAGTTCTTTTATTGTACAGAAACATTACTCTACAAATTTATAACTATTTCTTCCGCATAATTTTCTTGACAAGCAGTATGCGATGTGCCAGGCTGCAGTTAGCCTTCTCTAATTTCCGAGTACGCGTTGGATCACACTTATGGTCATTAGGCAGATTGCAAGAAGTATGCTAGTAAGATTAACTCCAGCAAGACCAACACTGCTTGTCATAGTGGTGCCATTTTATATTTGGCTAAAAAAGAATTATATATTTAAACTAATGTTTAACATTTCAACAGGTTTATTTTTGGTGAAAATTGCGAAATGCTATTTTGATGGCCATTTTTGAATTTTTTTGCACATTTTCGACAATGTGTCACAATGATCCCTATCACACGACATCTTATCAGTGTTGTATTATTATTATTATTATTATAATGATTTTATTCGTGTCATTCAGCTATTGATTTAACTATCTTTTCGTAAAATTTTAAAATTAGTGAAGTGCCAGATCATTTGTTAAAGAATTTGTTTGAAGTCCCATACATTAAATTTATTTGATAAATTCAATTTAAGAATTATAAGAATCATAATAAATTGAAAAATATTTTTTTTTAGCATGCTCATAGGTATCAATTAACTATTAACACATTAATCGTTTAAGCCAAGAATAAAAATCAGTAAATTCGAATTTTGGCAAAAACATCCGATTCATTCGAGTTCTGAATTCTTAGTATTCCTTTTCTAAAAGCTCGTTTCGTCACTGGCCACTGGTTTCGCTTCATTGATTGCAAAGATAAGTCGTTTTCAATCCACTTGATCCAATGCCATATCTGAAAATCGTAGATTTAAGCATTTTTATGGGAATGTTGAATTATAGCTGTCAGATATTTTTTTACAGATTTACAGAAATTTTATCAAGGAATCAAATATTATTAAAAAAAATGGCGCATCCAAATGCAAACTACTCTTCATCCTTTTAGCGTAATAAATAATTTCATTATCTACTTATCTTCGTTTGGTGCATTGGTGCAAATTTAGCCGAAGATTTTTAAGAATACTCAAAATTCTATCGCGATAGCGTTATTTATATGACAAATTCATGTATGAGCTTAGTAGTTTTGCAGATTATTATTTCTTTTTTTTTTAATTCCTGAACACATGAAGATATTAGCATCGTTGCTGTAGATCGGGCAAAATATTCGCTAGCGCTTTCTACAATGTTAAAATATTCGCTAGCGCTTTCTACAATGTTCCTATGAGTATTTCAGAATATCATATACATATATTAAATGTACAATGCACAAATTTTTATGTAGTATTGAATCAATTTCGCTTTTTTTGATTCAGTTCATTTTTCTGGGAGTGCTTGCAGCCTCCAACTCCTTGATAAATTTGGATTTGATGAGTTATTGCCAGCTTGGCTATACTGCTCTTTCGTACAATTTATATGGTTGCTACTGTGGAATTGGTGGTTCAGGAAAACCAATTGATGGAATTGATGAGTAGGTGCTGATCAAATTATTCTCAAAATTTATAAGATAATGTACCATTGAGCTTAATCCATCAAAATGTCAAAATATTTGCAATGAAACAACTGATGGCTCTTTATCGCAAATTGACAAATATGAAATATGAATGAATAGAATCAGTGGACCTAAATTTAGTTAATTTATATTAACCAGTCGTTCTCAAATTAAATGGTTGAAAATGGCTGTGATTTTAGAAAAAATTAGAAGCAAAGCAGAAATTTTCGAAGATCTCTGAAGAAATTTAGATGTTGTATGAATCACGATGGCTGCTACCATAAAGCTGACCAGGTTTGTAATAACACAATTGAAGAATATTTCAAGGATTACTCTTGGTATTGCGAACATCATCGTCCAATATGTCATAAAGGTTGTTATCATTATCAATTACTTGAGTTACAATTTTTAATTCTAAAACGATTAAATAAAAGTTGCATTTATTTGCATTTGTTGAGATGCATTTATAGATCTGCAACGAATAATTTATCAGATTTGATTACAATAAGTTTTTTCAACATTGCTCATTTAAAAAAACTGAAGGTGAAACGAGCGACTGTGGTGTCGTTTTATGTGAATGTGATAAAAATGTCGTTGAATGCTGGAGTAAATATCCTGAACCACCGATAATAAAGCCACAATGCGAATCAAAGTGATAACATACGAGATATCTTTGATTTACTTAATTCTATTGATACATAATTAAGATATTTCGTGTTTTCTATTTGGTTCCACTTGCACATAACAATTACTGAAAAGAAATAGCAAAGCATGATTTCAATTATCAAATAATTTTTGAACATGGCGAAAGTTATCAGTAAGATAAGTAGCAGTTATCTTTTATACTCATCCATCTTCGTTCACATCTCTCATTCATCTCCACACAACACACATACCCCCTTCCACCCATTTCCACTCCACTTGTCCACAATTTTCCTCCCTAAAGTCCCTCTTGTTAATGACCTTCGATAACAACGAAGGCATCGAATGCGAAATCGCTCAAAAATCATCTCATTTGAACACAGCTTTGATGCATTTAGTATTTTCAACTGCCATAGGCAATATTTAGTAATAGGCGAGTAAAAATAATAAATAAAATCTATATCTGTATAATAATAAAATTTCTCTTTTTGATTTTAATTAATGCTTTTAAATTCTTTTTATTATATTTCTTGGTGATGAAAAAAGCCATTTTAATGTATCGCAGCAACGATTTGTTTGGTTGGTTCATTTTATTCTATTTCGTAAAATATTGCATTTTAATAATGCTAAGCAAATATTTCAAGCATCTTCTCATAATAATCGGCTTATCTCATTCGCTTGGTTCGTTTTTTTTTTGATAGAGAAAATATAATGGAACTTATAATAATGATAAATTTAGGACATTTCCATAAAAAAAAAGTGACTGTGTATTTCGAAGCGGCAATTAAACGAAACGCAGTTAGGGTTACATGCGAAATAAATTTGGTACCCCTCTAAATTTAAACAATAAGGCAACTGCTGTGAAATGGCACATAAACTCGAGTAAAGGGCCATAGAATTAGGAAAGAACGTTTCATTTGACCGGTAGAAACCCATATTGAATTTTTCCTCTGAATAATCACCACAATGTCTATCGTCGTCTAAAACACTCTAAGAGGATCTGCCACATTGTTCTACTGCGTAAAATAAAATAGTGCAAGAAATATTTTACGGTAGCAGAAGAGAGGGAAAACATAAAATCGCCATAAATCGCAATTAGTGGATTGAAGAAAAGCTACGATTGGCTTTGCTGAAATGAACTATCAGTGAACCGAATGAATATAGGAAAAGGATGAAATGAGTTTAAAAGAAGTCTGATTTTCAGTTGCATTAAAGTGTTATAACTGCGTTCAAATTCAAAATATACCAATGGTAGTAGTTCACGCGATTAAGAACCTCGGCATTCGCAATGACGACGCTGTAATTGAAAAGCAATGTGATTCGAATTCATCATGCGATGCTAATTACTGTACTAATGATATAAGTAAATTACCGTTGTGCTTTCTTATCACTCAGCCTTTATCAGTCGAAATTACTCAATTTGATAACAAAGACCGATTTTTTTGTTGAATTATTTTTATTTTTGCTTCTGAAATGATGGAATTTATCTGCTATTTTTCAATTCGTCATTAATTCATTGACTATTGAATGATTCCTTTTTGCTCATCATCCAATTTGTTCAAACGCATCCTTGTTGCCTTTTTGCCATTCACTTAAACCTATTCCTCCCCCCCCCCCCCCACTGCAAAGTCTTTTTATAATGGGGGACAAAATTCCCTCCGATTGAAATTTGAATACGTTATGAAAGCAATATTATCACGAAATAAATTGGATGGTTGTTTTTTAGGAACATATAAAGTAACAGTTCGCGGAATTGGTTACCAATGGATACAGTGGGAAAAATGTTGGTTTTTGAATTTCAAAATAACGTATACATCAGTGAAGAAATTAATGCATTTTTCCATATTTTCCTTAAAACTTAAGAAAATAAAAATTTAAAAAATATGATTAAAAATAAAAGTTAAAATATGATCCAAAAAGCCTGTATAAGCCTGTATTGTACTTTCTATTATCATATGGATGAAAATCTGACGATCCGCCTAATTTTTCCAATAGTAAAATTGACGAAAAACAGAAGAAATGGAATAAATGAAAAAAGAAATCATAAAGATGTTGTAGCTAAGTCCTCTGCTGCTTTGGCAGAGGACATTAAAATCCATTTTTTTCCACCAATATCAATTTATCATGAAAGGGTAAAGTGTGGTAGCCATTGAGAACCCGCCCCCATTTTAATCTCCAGGTGATTCTCTGATGAACTTTTCCAAAATAATCTTGTTAATCTTGTTAACAAACAATGGAACCAAAAAACTGTTCCTAGAAGAAAAATTTTCTTGAGAAATTTACTTGACTTCAAGAATATTCCAAATATTTGCTCCGTTACAGTTTCATGGGTATTTTAATTTTACAAATAAAAAATAAATTTTACCACACAATATACAATATAATAGCAAATACAGATATGACACAATCATGCTCAATATTTTCTTCAATTTCTCCAGTAGTCTCCGTCAGCAACAAGCAAAAATCGGAAATGGTAAGTTGATTGTTGAAGATACTCATATTGGCAAACGACGCGAGGACGAAACTATCTATTCAAATGACTAACTGTCAAGTGCTTGCTTCTATGGATTTGTGATACCACAATAAGTGGTTTATGATAAAAATTATCAAATGTTTATTTCATTAATCTGCATTCAAGTATCAGACTTAACTAAATACCAAAAATTTCAGACTGCTCGAACGATGTATTCAACGATACGGAAATGATAACAGATCATAATAATTGTTTTACTATAAATTCCAACGAAACGTCCACATCCATTTGGCCTTATCATTTAAACAGAAAAATCTGCCAATGTGATGATAAGAATTATTGCAATTCTTCGATAATGAATAATAGTTTGAATTTTTCATTTTTATTTCTTATATATTCCTTTAAATTATTTTAAAACTTAACAAGTACAATGCAATGATAAATCAAAATGGATCAATTATTTTATTTATTTAGTTATTTTATTTTAAAACTTGATAAAGCTTGATATATATTTGATATTTTTATATAAAAAAAATTAAAAAAAGAAACTTTTTATTACAAATAGCAAATCTTACACTTCAGTACTTCGAAAACAATATAATTTTTGGACTTTGAACGCAATATCAATTGATTGAATGCAAATTTATACTGCTTCAGCATTTTTTCCTTAAAAATTGAAAGGATAAAGGCCAACTATTAGTTTTGTTTTGATTTAAATTGAAGCTGGAAAACCATCTGCCGCTGGACAGATAACGTGCCATAAAATATATATTTTCTTTTTCTAATAGCTCTCACTATACTGGTTAAACTGGCTCCGCTGACTACAAGGTTAAAACGTCTCCAAGATGCTCGGACAGGTGCAATCGCTAGTAGTAATAAAAGCCATTCCTTTTTCCATAAGTCCATTATATATGTTCAAAATCTTTCCTGTATCAGTCCAGGTCTTGATTGACCCTGCCTACTTGACACCATCACAGGGTTCGGTAGCAAAATATGCATCAACTTCTGTGCTGGAGAACCAGCCTTAACCAGCGACGGAGAACCAGCTTTAACCAGCGAAAACGAGGCTCTGTTTATTAATACAGGTGGTATCTGAGCGAAGATGAATACAATCATGTGCGATTTTATCCGCTCGACGGATCCGTAAAATGTATCGTAGACACTTGTGGTTAAAGGCTGATAATTTTTTATATCTATCTTCTACTCTCATTGACCATGTTTCGCAGCCATATAACAAGATCGAAAGAAAGCTATATTGACGCGGATCTTCATGGCGATTTCGGTTTCATAAAGGTTTCGTTAACCGGGAAACACATTTCCAGTTGTCGTTATCCAGATTATTTCATCCTTTGCCTGGCCATTTGGGATTAGAGTGCATCCAAGGTATTTAAAGTCAAGCACCCCTCCGACAATGAATTGATAAAAAATTTATTTCGAATTGATTTTTATAAGGTTTTACTGTTTTGGCATATTTTTAGACAAATTAGTTAACTAATTCAAACAAAGAGTACCTTGATTTCTTCCGATTTTGCTGATTTTTGTCTGCTGTCAATTCCACGCTTCCAAAGCATTGCGGCTTCCGCAGGATTTTGAGGTAATCGTACATCAAAAAATTTCTAAAAAAATTCACATCCACAATTATAGATTTGTAGAATGGTAAAAATTTTTCAATGATAAAAATGGTAAAAAAAAGAATTTGCTGTTAACTATTGAAAAAAAAATAGAAAAAATTAAAACTATTAAGAAAAAATCAATCAATCCTCACCAAAAGAGAAAGCGAAAATAAAAAATATAAATCACCAAAACCATCAACCTGAAATCAAAACAAACCATTCAAGTTTTAAAAAAATAATCGCCTAAATAGTTACGAAATTTAATAGTGCCATGAAAACAATTAATTCATACCTTTGAAGAGAACGGGAAAAAACATTTGAGTACCAAACATTGCTGTTCTCCATCTGAACATAAATATTAAAAAAAACTGAGAATCTTTTTGAAAAATATGAAATGTAATAGAAAATCAAAAAAAATTTAGAGTTTTTTGAGATATCTTAAAGATATTTGTGAGAATTTCGTAAATTAAAAAAATTAAATATTAAACCAACAGAAAAAAATCCTTACTTTTGAAGCATGAAGGACAAATACGATAATTATGCAAAAAAAATAAATTTTCCAACTGCACAGTGTAAAAAGTGAAGCATTTTTTACATTGTAAAGAGAATATTGGATAAAAATCATCGAAACTAAGTGAAATTGTCCAACTACAATAATATTTATAACATGAAAGTAGCCCAAAATATTTAATACGACAGAAAATGAAAATGAAAAAATCTTAATAAGTAAAGGAAGAATATTAAACTTGAAAAAAAGAACAGTGACTAAGAAACTACGAAATGAACGATACCTTTTGGAACTGAAAGTACTCCCCACTGGAATATTTTCCATGAAAAACAATGGCCATTGACATCGATTCATCATACTGCAAGAATAAATTTTTTCGCAATTCGATTGATCTAAAGCCTTGATGGCATACTGAAAAATTCTTCAAATAAGTAGTCAATACAATCAAATTAATCTTCACATAAATTAATACCTATTATACAATAAAGAACAAACTTATGATAGAAAAGACGAATCAGGAGTTTTGCGTCGAAACCATAAAATGAATGGCGAAAAACTCAAGCGGGAATTAAAATTTAATTTGAATAGCTTACAGCGGATTTTCCGGTTCCTTCATAATTATTAATGCAATTGACAAATGAGTGCACGAATAAATGTTTGATTTGCATGGCCGATAATTTTTTCATAATTTTTTCTAAAAATGGTTGGATAAAACGAATATATCAGATGAAAAAATAGTTAAACTTTTCTCAAAAAAGCAATAATTCTCGAATTTGAACGAGACTGAAATAAATTTGAACTATTTAAACGAAAAAAAGTAAAGAAAAACTAAAATCAGAAAACCAAAAATAATATACCTGAATAAATGAATTTATAGAAACGTTTAAGGAGAAGTCGAACCAAATATCTAATCCTAGTTGAAATAATCTGATTAACACTATTATTTGAAAAATAATCAAATGTATTAATTGCGAAAATGATGGCATGGAATTGAAAAAGCTCAATCAAACGATGTCGAAATTCATGACTACCTTCATTAGCAGTTATCTATGAAGTAAAAATGAAGTTATTTTAATTAATTAAATTAAAATTATTAATTAATTGAATAAAAATTTCCTTCAGTTTTTCAATTCCAAAAAAATTTTTGAGCAAAAAAATTTTTCTGAAATCACAATTATAAGGGAAAATAAATAAAAAACATAATTCGAAATACAAAATTTGTTTGAAAAGTTTAAAAAATTATAAGAATATTTACAAGCAACTTTGAAATGGTAGGAAATGGTTCTTGAGTTTCTGAGATGGTGATTTCATGAGATTCTGAAACTTCATGAGATTCTATAACTTCATGAGATTCTGTAGATATTTCACTTGGTCCTTCGTTTGTGTTTAGCTGATTCTTGATAATATTTTCCACTGCACTGAAAATTCCTAGTCGAAAATGAAAAATTAATACTAAATCACAAGGAAGAGTAAATTTAGGTACAGTACTTTTAAGATGCTTAGAAATGATATACTTCACGATGGATTTTTTAAATTCTGAATGGTCAGATAGCACTGAAAATCCCCTATCGAAATTCCCACGTCCATCATGTATAACCAGCGAAGACGACATAGAAGAAATATAATAATGCAGATTTTTCATCACTATAACATCTCCACTCTGCAAAATTATGGTTAAAATTATTACTGCGGAAATGAAGCAAAAAATTAATTACAGATTTTTTAATAAGAGAATAAATAAATGAGAAAAATTTAATTTATATCTTTACATATTATTAAATTAACCAGTAAAATCTGAATGGCAAGAGTTCCATATTCTCCATATAAAATCACATCATAATTACGCCCTTCCGACAACTTTTCCAGTGCTTCATCAGTAAAAATAATTTTTGATATCGATTCACCAGTAAATTGAAAAGGTTTTCCACTAAACGGTCTTTTTTAATAGCTCGAAAATCAATAATATGAAAAAATAATATGAAAAAAATTATAATAATATGAAAAAAATTATAATAATATATAATAATATAATGTCAAATTAATAATAAACGATTTAGGAAAACATGCCAGCTCAAAAAACGATTGGAGCTTGTAATATATTAGGATATTCAAAAAATTCAAAAAATACCCACTGTATTTTCGTTGTATCCCAACACCGCAAAACTACATTACCACGATCAGATATGAAAATCGATATTACCTAAAAAAAAAAATCGGCTGAGCCTAGAAATTATCCAATTAAATTTGAATATCAAATACAAATAAGCACTTGAACAACGATATTATGATAAGAGAATCGTTTAAATTGTTCGAAGCGAGCCAAATGCATTAAAACGCCAGCCGGCAACTGATCGACAACGAAATTCGAACGACCCCTTATTCTGCATTCGTTCAAATTTTCCTGGTCAATTTCCTTATGCATTTTGTTTTTATAAGCTTCCCAGCTCGCATATAAATTTTCCACCTAAATACTAAAAGTTTAATGGGGTTTAATATAACCTTCAAACAATTCAATTAATCAAATATCAATGTTATACAACAAGGAACTTACGATTTTTTGATAATTTTTATCAGTTGTATAATTATTTGATGAACTATACAATACTTTATAACCGTCACCACTTTTCTCACCATAAATTAAAGCAGATAAACCAAAAGAATTCAAGCGTCCTTGCAAAAAACATGGTTCATTCCCTACACATGAACCATCTAATTTGTTTCGCACCTAATAAAATATGAAAAATTTTCTGTCTGAAACTTATCAGTAAAAAAAACTGAAAAACTTAAAATTTCAAAAGAAAATTTTTGATTATTCGAAAATTAAATAAAACAAAAAGCTTACTTCAATACGATGTAATCTGATGATATTTCCTTCTTTTATATAATTTACTATACTATCACTTATATCAGTGAATAAAGTACATTTGATAAAATCATCCGGTCGGAGCCCCATTAAAGTAAACCTTAGAACCAGCTGAACTGAAAAATTAAATATATAATTTGTTACGTAAAGAACTTAAAGATTTCAAGGCAATTTTCAACAAAATGAATATTGAAAACGAATTTCTATTCTTCAATTTTTTTCAATTTTTTTGTATTAAATTTGCCAATTTTAGAACGAATTTGATACTACCAAATTTGCTGCTTACACTGTCTTTCAAAATTTGCGTTTTATAAATTTTCTCATAAAATTGTAGATTCATAAATCATAAATGGCAAAATACCACAAAAATCATTAAATTATGCATGTAAATCCGAAAATATTTTTTAAAATTACCACTGATTTCATCATTTCTTCGTTGATGACATTTGCAATCGACAATTATCCCATATAAATGTATCTAAAAATATGAAAATAATGAAAAATGTAAAAATTTTTTAGATTTTTAATTTGAATTTAATTTTAATTTGATTTTAATCAAACCAAAACATAAATTATAAAATAAAAAATACAAATGAAAACATAAAACCATAAAATTCATTGATATAGTAATTTGATTTTTAATCTTTAAGCGATTAGAAAATATCAGTGATTAAATTTATCAGTATATGAATCAATCAATGAATCAATTATCAACAGATGAAATCATCGGAATATTTCCCTATCAATAATTTATAAAAGACGAAACAGACGAATAAGAAAGAAGTAATTACTCGTTGCCCATGGGTGCACTTTCTGCCAATATTTCCGATTTCCCAGTATTTATAAGCCTTCATTATCGTAAATTTGCATTGCTCTGAAATTCTTATCGCAAATTTACCAAAAATGAAGAAAACAGCAGACAGATTCTCTCTTCCTCCTACTTCCAAATAAACGGAATTCTACAGCGTTCCAACAATCGTGTTAAGACCAAAACTTATAAATTTTTTCTTTTAAATTTGGCCATAAATTCAGAAGATTTGTTGATTTATCGTGCAAATGTCAACTGTCAGTCGCTTCTAAATGTGGTGTAAAATAGGGGGAATGGAGTGATTTGAGTTGATTTTAGGTCTGATGTCGGGTCATGGAACGCACCGGCAATGGCAAACAGTGGAACAATGGTTAAAGAAAATTTTTTACGCGAGAATTTATATAATCGCTGAAGGGCGCATGAATTCCCCTTCCGGATGACCACTTGGAAGCCAGTTGCACAGTTGATCTAATGACAGCTGATTCTTTGGTAAAATCGCGTTAGCGAAATAGCCACTGAATGCAACCAAACGAGAAATATGTTAATGAAAATGTGTTAATAAAAATATTTCTCAATAAGAAAGGTAAAAATTACATTAATGAAATAATATTTTGAAACAATATAGGAAAAACATAGGATTTCCTATAAATGCAGTAATTGCGCATCAATTTCAACTATCACTTATTTATCAGTTATCATTTCTTGTTAAAAATGAATTATTAATTATTAAATTTCACGAAATAATTTATTTTTTATATTGTTTATATAATAAAAATTTAATGAAAATAAACTATTTTTATTTGTTTCTTTCATTTTATTAAACTAAATGTTAATTTTTTATATTAATTTTATATAATATAATATGTAATATTAAATATTTTTAAAAAGATTTATATAAATAATTATTGTTTTACTGGAAATGAGTTGCATATCTAAGATGAAATATCTAAACGATGAACTATGATATGAATTGCAAATTTTTGGATCAAATTATCCTCGTTTGCAACATTTACAAGTCACGTTAAATACACATTTCAGTACTCGTAATATCGCATTATTCAGCACAATTTTCTTTTTTTTGCAATCTGCCTTCTCTCCCATTTTGCATTATTTATGTTTTAAAACCTTTACAATGTGCCTTAATAGCCAAAGGCTTGGCTTGCTGGCCTTGCTTTTGCATTATTATTTTTGCCACAGAATTTTCCTCGTATGAAACAGCACAAATCATCACAGAGTTTATTCCATAATTTCTTGATATTTGCGATTTACTTCGAAATCTTTGCCACATCTTTGTAAGTTCTAGCCTATTCCATAATTCTCTCATTCGCTTTCTTAATATGCAAAAATGGAAAGCCAAAAGAGGCTTTTTACCTCTCCGAAATCCTATTATTTCACTTTTTCTATCGCCAACGTTCTCTCAACTGTTATTAATCCTGTTGAATCCTCTACAATCATATTTGAACTCTCGGCATATTTTCCTAAGAATCCTTAAAATCTGCTGTCCTTTCTCCACACTCTTCGGAAGTTCTTTGAATTCTCTTAACGCTCCATCAAACCTTAAACTTTCGGCTTTGAAATATGCTAAATAAATAGTTTCTGATAAATAGTTTTGAATATGTAATAAGATAAATCCCAAAGACTAAGCAAATTGGTATATAAAATTATATATATAAAATTCAAAAATCTATATTATATATATTGTATATAAAATTCAAAAATCTAAATTTTTCAGGTGAAAAAGGTAAGTACATGAATGTTGGAATTGATATCACTGTGCCTCTTCGATCTTATCGTTTTATCGTCCACTTTATCTAATAGTTTGTCTTATTTTTTTCCCGCACTTTTTCAACAAAACTTTTTGAAGGTTTTTTGATAAATCTGGAAATGGTCGATCTTACTGAATATAATGATAAAAAAATTAAATCTCCAATAAAAGCTGATGTTTTCTTATAAATTTGAGTTATTTATATCAGCTTTTATCAATGTATGGTAAGGGAATAACAGGTACAAATATATAAAATCCCTATTTCATAGCAATTTTTTCCAGGTTGTTTGAGACCAAATACATCAGCTGATAACGCTAACAATAGTCTTTTAGATATAAGAAGTAAGTTTTTCATTCGCATTATTAACTTTGTAATACAATATAATCAAATAAAACGATTATCATTAATAATCATTAATGTAATAACATAGTTTATTTCAATGCCTACTTTTCTATATTATATATTATTATTAGTTTTTTCATACAATTTATTTTTTTTTTAATTTACTATTGAAGCTATTAAGTTATTAGTGCAAGTATTTAAAAAAAAGGTTTCAAAGAAGCTTTTATATGCAAATAAAAAAACAACCAAATTTGGAATTTTAATAAAAAATTATCGGTTGAAGAAGAGTTTTAATAAAAATGAAAGCAAAAATAAATACTCAATTTAATGAATGGTTTTGAATCCTTTAGCTTTAATTCGACAATTCTTCAGGTAATTTGATAAAATTTATATATAAATGAAAACAAATTTTTATTCGTTTTTGTTTTTCAGGATTTTTGGGAGGAAGTACTGAAATCGATATTTTATGGTTTCCCATTATTAAATTGCGTTAGTACTTTTTTACAATTTTTCTCCTCTTAAACAATTTTTTATTCATTCGAACTGAACGATTTGATCATCCAAGTAGGACCTTAGCATTAGCCATGTCCTGAAAAGAAAAATGAAAACAGGACGAAATCCGTGGAGGCAAAAAAAGCTATCATATTTTATAAAGAACCTTTCCAAACTACACCACTCTTATCATTATTTCCAGGACCCCTCGTTAATTCTTTGCCGTAATCAATTGATAATATAGTTTTAAATCCTTTCTTGCTTTAACACTCTCTTATTCTCTCAGATTTAATGCCAGCCAGCCTTATTTTATTAACGGACTTGAGGGAATAACGGATTTTATTAATATAACATTGCACCAAACCTAGTAGTAACTTTCGCTATAACCGGCGAATTGGAAAAGGTAAAATTATATAGATGGATAGAAGGTAAAAGGTAGAAAAGTAGAATTAAATAGATGAATCGAAAGAGTATAAAGGTAATTTGAGGGAAAATCTAAAGCAAATTATTAAAGCAGGAATTGAATATTGTTAAAGGAACGCAACGGATTTGAGGGAATAAACAAGGGGTATGGCAAGTCATTTGGCGATAAAAGTATATGACCAAAATTTTTGAGAGAAGTTTGCCGGTCCGTAAGACATTTTTAATAATCTTTTAATAATTACCTTTCATTAATTCGATATTCATTAATCATATCAATTAACATTTTTGTTCAGACGAGTTCTTTTTATATATATATACATATATATTATTTATTTATTGTTGCTACTATTCTATGAATAAATTTAATGATATGTTTAATATATTAAAGAATAAAGTCTACGATTCATCGACTTAGTACGATTTATAAATTTTAGAAATAAATGGATAAATTATTTTTTAATCATTAATGATTACTTTTAGCAAGCATGCTGGGGCAAATTATGATAACTAATTCGAGTGATCTATGCTGCAATACATTTGATGCATTATTTACAAAACCATGTCGATGGAGAAATGAATGGTCAATCTGTGAGATCGGTGGTGATCAGATGGATTGGATTAGAGCAAAAAATTCTTGGGGAGACGAAAAAGGATATTTGATTTTCGGTACTGAAGAAAAAGCAAGTAAGGGGAATATTTCAAGCATAAAAATTTTATATGATTATTTAACAATAATGAAACAATAAAATTAAAATTTTTTTTCTAACAGCGCTCACCATTTCTGCTTAGATTTGCTTCGTAAGCTTTTCGGACTCGACAAAATTTATCAAATTTTGCGGTGATTCGTCAGTTGGCCAGGATTCTTAGAAGAAAAAGTTTTATTTATTCCTACTGGGAAAAAACCCCTAAGGTCTGAAATGAAAATGACAATCTACTGAACCATTCCAAATCGTTCAATCAAAATATTATTTGATGATTTCTTTTTAAATACTTAACATATAATTTTGAATTATTTGCTGAAATCTACAATTTTTCAGGAGATTATTTTATTATTGCTGGTTCACATAAAAAATTGCATTCAGAAGAATCAGCAATGCTTGTTAGTGATCCAGCACAATGTCAAGAAGGTTTGTTCCACTGGTTATCTAAATTTAGAATGAGTTCCTTTCGCCAATTTCCGATTTTTTCTTCAAAATTTTTTTTTTCTTATTTCTACTTGTGAAAAGGAATAGAATCCATGCCTCAGTAATAGCAGTTTGCCATTTGACAGAGTGCTCTTTCCTTGATTCGTGTAGGTGAAGGCTAAAATATTTTTAGAAATTCATCCATATATGTAAATCCGTATGTTGTACGATTTAATTTAATAAATTCACCAATTTAATTTCATACTTTTATTTCATAATCATTTTTCTTGAAATCGCTAAATCCTAACATGGAAATTAACGCCAGAAAGCATCAAAAAAATATTAACAATGGCTGAAAATTTTTAATCAGGTGATGGACTACTAACTTTTCGCTACTGGACAAGTCCGAAAGTAAAAATTCGTGCATGCATTAGACGACCAAATCAAGGGAGAGCATATAATTGGTGTAGCAAAGATTATATAGGTGGGGATCCAGGACCAGCAAATATTACGATTCCTGGCTCAATTTTACATACTTTTGAGGTTATTTTTTACTTATTTTAACTATCAGTTTTTTTCTCGCAACATAATTTTGGTTTCTTTCTTATTATAAAATCACTTGTCATTAATAATATAATATTTGAGTGTCGTGCACATTCATTAAGTTCCCTCCGCTGCATGCTTTAATTTCATTAAAAATAAAATTATTAATATGAAAAAATATTTCGAATTTCGACCAAATAATTGAAAAAGACTGAAATTGCGTGAAATTCGGCTATAGCAATTTACAAAAATTGCAGATCGTGATCGAAGCTAGAAATTTTAATTTTGACGCATTTGGTTTACAAGGAGGTTTATGTATAGTGGACGAAATAACATATAGTGCGATCGCTGTTCATCACTGTAAATTAGGTGCGTTGTGAAATTTTCTATAAAAGTTGCTTTGAAACATGCAAATATTATGAAAATTAATAAAGAAAGGCAATAAATATAAAAATCTTTTATATTTTTTTATGTTCAAACAAATTGTTATTGTTGAACTAATGGCAGTTTGATGTAACTAAGATAATACATATTTTGCAGTTCCTCACATCGAGCCACCGATACCTATGCCAAAGGAAACATGTAGAACGATCGTTTGTAGTTTTGACAATGGCAAATGCCTAGACTCATTGCGAGGATCCGGATGGAAATTAGCGATGGGAGCAGTAGGAAATCGTCATACGGGAATTCGAAAATCTCTAAGTTATTTTTAGCTTTTGAAATTTATATTTCAAAGTTGAAATGGTCAGAAAATTATTAGAAACTTTTGGTAGTAAGAAAAAACATTCCAAAAACTTTTTTATATTTTTAGAGTCTAATTATGCTTACGCCAGAGGACCTGGCACAAAAACTATCTCATTTGATGAATTTGATATAACTCGCGAAGCTCAACTTGAATTTTGTTATTACAGGTATTCCTTTAATTATTATTTATTAGTTATTATTTAATTTAGGGCGAAGATCTAAAATCTGAACATTCCTTAACATCCCTCGTTTCTCTAATTTTTATTTTCCATTTCTTCCGTTGTTACGATCTGAAATATCAAAGGGCAAGTCATAATGCACAGCTGAGCATATATCTGACCCGAAAAAGCGAAAAAAACCGTAAAAAGATTTTTACAAGTCAACCAATCGATGCATATCCTCATCACTGGATATGTGAAGGAATTCGTATTGATGCAGGAATTTATGCTGAGGTATGGCTAAGCTTTTTTATGGGAAATTGCGTGGTTTTTTTTTACTCATGAGTTCAATCATTTTATTTACGAAAAGATGAAATCCTATAAGTTTACAAAATACTTCAGATTTTCTAGAAAAAACAAGGCTAAATGGCTAACAGTGGCGATTTTATCATTATTTTTTCATTCTATCCTCCCTTTCAGATATAAAGTTATTTCCTTAATTTCACCATTTTTGTTTTTTATATGTTGTTGAAAAGGAAATTTTAAATGATTTTAGATTGATTTTGTCGCTGAAAAACTCAAAAATGAGAATAATTTCGTTGGAATCGATCAAATTGGTTTAACCGATCCGAAAACCGGCATTTCGATGTGTAAAAAATGAATGATAGCTTGAATATGCTTTTGCTCACTGATAATTGCTTTATAACTTTTTTATAACTTTCGTTTTTCTGTGCGACGTTTTTTTAAACGAATAGTTTGCCAAGTTTTGTAGATTTTTAAATTGCAAAAATGCAAAGAAATAGAAGAAATTTCTTAAAGTACTAATGAAATACTAATTGTTTTTCAGAACAGTTAATTTATCTTAAATTCGAAATGCTCAAACAGCAGCGATCGAAATTTTTATTGAAATACTAAAAATATCAAAAAAAAGCATAGAATGGATCGTATTAAAGAAAATTAAATTCTGTTGCTGCAAAAAAAGTTATCAGATATCATTATCATCATTATTATCAGTTATCATAACGAAAAATACGAAAAACTCATTTTGTGAAATTTCGTAGAAGGTTTATAGAAAAAGATCACATAACCACGACAAAATAATATATAATAATATATAATATATACAATAATAATATACGTATGTGAATTATGAGTTGTCCAGTGGTTATAATGAATATCGTGGAGTACATAATATTACATAACAGTAATCGTAAATATGATAGCAGAATAATTGGTCGGATGGATATAGCACAGCTGGATTATGACGGCATTCGTAACGAGTTGTTCTGAGAGTTATAGCTATTACTATGACGTGCTAACAAGCTTCTGTGGGTGATATGGGACATTCTTAAGGGTCTTCCACCAGGGTCGTGGGAGCTTCAGCGCAATATCTCGATTTATTTTTGGACTTTTCACTCTCTGGTTCCCCCAAGTGTTTCTACTTTCTCGAATTTTTTCTTTTGGTAGAAATTGTCAGAGCTCTATTCTGACCTTCAAGCACATTGTCTAGTGGTACTTGAACGATCTTGAAAGAGCAGAAATAAATATCTCCAGTTCAGAGAGCAATTTCCTTTTGTCTATGTAAAGACACAGGGTATCAACTACTTTTCATTTATGGAATGCACAATTCCTTTAAACGTTTCCTATCTTATTAGGTCTACTGTTTAGTGATAGGTTTATTGTTGTAGACCTATTGCAGTTCTTTTCTATTACTCGTTAGATTTGCTCCGCTGGTCTTACTAGGCAAAATATGCTAGAGAGTCCCTTGGCAACAAGTGAGTCTCCAGCATAACCCGGATTTTTGGGCAAGTTTACTCCCGCGAGAACCTTAGCACCTATTTGCAGTAATATTAAGAATTCCGTTTTATCGCACCAATTTCATATTTATTGGTTCAGCGAAAGAAAACATAATTGAAGAATGGTTTACCATCGATAAATATAACGAAACCCGTGCTCCCTATTAATATACATGAAAAAATGCGTCCTCGTGCATTATAGCAGATACTGATAAAATAAATGCTACCGGTTTTCACAAATTCATCATCAATTGAGGAAGTGTTAGATTTTGGACATCCAGTTTGTACTAAATGGGGAAAACGAAACTCCGACCTAGATTACCACAAATTTGAACGCTTCGGTTTGGTGAAAACTTTTTAGAACCGTTATCAGCAGATTAAAAGCTGACTGACTGACAGTCTTTAGTTGCACTCTATAATATCCAGTTTAAAAGCGTAATACTGCTAAGAGTGAAGTGTAAGTGGACTTTTTATAACTGAATATCTTACTCCTTTTTATTCCTGCCAGGAGATGAACTCGAAGCCAATTACACTATGGTACTGCAGTTTAGTGTTCATAGCTGCTATAAAGTGAAAGTAATAATTATCAAAAAATTTAGAGAAATTTATTAAAATAATCATTTATTATTGTTGTAAAATTATAAAATTAAAAAAATCATAAAAAACAAAATTGCAAATCGTAATTTTTAATAAAATTAATCGAAATCTTTCTGCAGTAAATTTTCTTTTGATAAATAATACAATAAGGAAATAAATTTAAAGGAAAAGAAGGAAATATTTCGGAGAAAACGAGGGGCATTCTTTCTTTCGAATCCTGGAAAAGCGAATCGAATGGTTCGTTCGCTAACTTTTTAGCCAATTTCAGCCAATACTTCAGTTACCGCTATACTTCAGTTTAACTTTAAAGAAAGCAAAAACCCGGATTTCTCGAATTTACGAATCTTTCGTGGATTCCACTCGGTCGCCTGAATTCGATGGTTATTTACCATATTGTTGCAAGTTTTTTGTTCGAGCAAAACTCGTTATAGTCACTGAATTCGTTGATGAGTAGCAGTGACGAGCGAGTAGTCGAGTAAGTTATTCTGGCTGAGAGCAAGCTGAATGCATTCTGGCTCGTTGCAAGTAAACTTGTCTCTTAAGCGATAACCGACTGGTTTCTGCGAAGCAGCTTTATCTTTACCTCTAAATGACACTCTGGTGAAAGTAAATCACGGAGAAAGGAAGGATCATTTAAGGGTCAAAGGTCACTTTGCTGAAGCAATTAAAGAAACCAAGCAGATCAAGAAAAGGTTCATAAATCCGCAACTCTTATTTTACGGATCTGTTATTTTTCGTACATTCTTCAAGCGACCTACAAGTATTACAAAAAAACTTGAAATCTCTAATTCATTTATTAGCGATTAATTCTCCGCATCGTACCAGTAAATGGTTGGCGCACACCAAACTCCGGTTTGATTCGCATTGCCGGCTACTACGGTTAGAAATTTTCGCCAGGAGAGGCATTTTGACTTTTTTAATGGTCTGTTGGAGGATCGCTGCCTTTCGACGTGATAATCTCAGCAGTCGGCTATCCTCCCCCCCCCCCCCCCCCCCCCCCCCCCCCTCCCCCCATTTTCACGGTGGGTATGCGCTGGACTTGAATAGTTTTTCCGAACCTCCTTGCAAGAGATGTATGAGTTTTGAGCCAATGGCAAGTTTAAGAAAAGTACCGCTTCGGCAGCCGCCAACCTCTTCACTTTGCCAGTCTTCCCCGTCCTCTCATATCCCCATCGTGTCTTTGCACCGTCCACATCCCCTCCGAAGTCGTGTCTTTTCGCGAGGTCAAATGAAGGCCGCTGACCCCATCTTTAACGGTCACTTCCATCATTTATCCATTCTTTGTAGCATTCATAAATATTTCACGTGCAAAACATTTGAACGAATTTATTCGACGATCAATAAATTATTTTTTTTATATTAAAAATAGATTTTTCGAGTGTTTAGCGAGTATTTTTCGTTATGACTTTCTCATGTAAAGTTTCTTTTCTATTTTTAATTTTATTGGCCTTCAGAGGAAACTCCTCTAAGAAACTTCCCATATTATCTCACGGAGAGGGATTTTCTCGGACCGCGTCATGTAAAGAGGAATTGTCTGGGATCGCGTCGAGGGAAGAGGAATTGTCTGGGATCGCGTCGAAGGAAGAGGAATTGTCTGGGATCATGTCGGGGAAAGAGGAATTGTCTCGGACCGTTTCGAGGGAAGAGGAATTGTCTGGGATCATGTCGGGGAAAGAGGAATTGTCTCGGACCGTTTCGAGGGAAGAGGAATTATCTCGGGTCGCGTCGAGGGAAGAGGAATTGTCTGGGATCGCGTCGAGGGAAGAGGAATTATCTCGGGTCGCGTCGAGGGAAGAGGAATTGTCTCGGACCGTTTCGAGGGAAGAGGAATTATCTCGGGTTGCGTCGAGGGAAGAGGAATTGTCTGGGATCGCGTCGAGGGAAGAGGAATTGTCTCGGACCGTTTCGAGGGAAGAGGAATTATCTCGGGTCGCGTCGAGGGAAGAGGAATTGTCTGGGATCGCGTCGAGGGAAGAGGAATTATCTCGGGTCGCGTCGAGGGAAGAGGAATTGTCTGGGATCGCGTCGAGGGAAGAGGAATTGTCTCGGACCGTTTCGAGGGAAGAGGAATTGTCTCGGGTCGCGTCGAGAGAAGAGGAATTGTCTGGGATCGCGTCGGGGGAAGAGGAATTGTCTGGGATCGCGTCGAGGGAGGAGGAATTGTCTCGGACCGTTTCGAGGGAAGAGGAATTGTCTGGGATCATGTCGGGGAAAGAGGAATTGTCTCGGACCGTTTCGAGGGAAGAGGAATTGTCTCGGACCGTTTCGAGGGAAGAGGAATTGTCTCGGACCGTTTCGAGGGAAGAGGAATTGTCTCGGATCGCAACTGCGTCATGTAAAGAGGAATTTTTTCGGATCGCATCGCGTCGAGGGAAGGGGATTTGTTACAGTTTCAAGTACAGTTAAAAAGTGCGGAAAATAAAAGACTTTTGTTTCTTTAATTTTTACTATAAAAATTAAAACTAATGGAATATTTGATGTTATTTTTGTAAAACCGGTGTCGGTGTCGATGTCTGATTCAGTGGTCGAAATAAAATCTCTATGAATTTTCAGATTTATACGGAGGGCCGCACTACTGGTTTTCTTGGGCCGCGCGTCTTCTATTCATTTTTTAAAATAAGAAAAATTATTTTTGTAATAAATAAGCAAAATAAATATAATGAGAAGCAAGTATACATTATTTCTGGTGTGGCTCGTTTCATTGGCTCTATAAGAGCTATTTGTGGTTAGAAGTGTGGACGAGGTTTCTTCCAATAATCGGTGCTAGAAGCCGAGCCAGGGAACAATCCTTGTGGAAATGGAACCATCCCAATTTAAAATTATTTCTCTTTACATCATTTATGCGTCGTGCACTATTTCTGCTTTTATTGTTTTCTGGGAAAGTTTCATTTCACTAGAGAATCATAGAAAAGGGACAAATATTGGGATGGATGGTGGATTTTTAGTGATTATTCGTTGTTCCGTTTATTGATAGGTTTATTTCCCTCGGAGCGATAGAAATCGAAATTGTTGTATTGCTAGCTTTCGGCCAAAACATTCGCCACTTCCGTACTATTCGATTTCATTCTTTTTTTTATTTATGAAATAATTAATATTAATAATTATTGTCAGTAACGAAATAAATTTACAAGAAGTGAATCACTTGAAGAAGTAAAAAAACCTGTAGAAATTTTCATTTTCTTATTACTAATTGCTAATTTTTAGTGTAAAAAATTTACAAAAGCATTAGAGAATTATATGCAAATCTCGGAGATTGAGTGCGCCGACTGAACCAGTGCATTAGCAGTTCTTAGTGTAAATTTGCAAATGCAGTAGAGAGGGTTGTGCGAACCTCGAAAGTTATGCGAGTCTCGAAGGCGTCTCGAAACTTGTGCGAACCTCGAAAGTGCCAGTATATGCCAGTTGAAGCAGTCCACGGCCAATTTTTAGTTTAAAAAGCATTAGAGGATGTGAGATTATTGCGAGTCTGGAAGGAGTCCCGAAAGAAAGAAATGCGGACCAACCGAGCCAGTAGATTACTAATAGAGGTTGTAAAGTTATACGAATCTCGAAATTTTACAATAAGAAAATGAAAATTTTTTCGTTTCCGCAGAAAGAAAATAAATTTGTTTTGCTGATTCGTAAATGAGAAAATTTTATTTATCGGGCGCTTTTAACATAAAAAATAATAAATTTTTTTTTGCAAAGGTTTGAAAGAGAAGAAATTTGATTGATTATTGTTATCAGTTATCAGTCAATTTTACTTCGTCTTTTTTTTGCTGGTGTTTATTGTTTTTGATTTGAATAAATTTTAGCAATGCATGCACTAAATCAGTTGATTGTACGTTCTCGTTTTCCAAGTCATTATCATTTATCAAAACTTTTATTATCGATCGACAACAATCGACAAGAGCAAATAGTTTGATTTTACCACTACTTTAAGATATATTTTATATATTATGAATGGTGTACGATCTATGTTTCGAAAAAACGTGAAATTTGTCATTTTCCATATCAAAGGAATGAAAGAGCACATAAAATTTATATGTTTAGAATGCATGTTTATTTAATAATAAATATGATTCAGCTGATGGGTTCAGTCATTTAGGCTATAATACGGGAAATCACTTATCTCAGTATTGCAACATCTTTTATTAACTTGTTAATTTATTAACTTAAAATTTTGCAAATATAAATTTGTAAAAAACGTATACTTTTACAATATATATTTTTTTATAACGTTAACTTCATGAAATTTGAAAAAGTTTATTGTTCACCTCGGTTTCATTTGAGATAAATCTTAACATAAGTAACTCTTCAATTGTGGGCACTGAGTGCCATAAATTAACAAAATTCAATTTTTCCACTTATCTTTTCATCTTTTTGGATCAGTTTTTTTAAAGCATATCTTTTTAAAACATTAAATGTTTAATTAATTCGAATAAAGAAATAAGCACAGAACATAGACAGAAATATTCAAAATAATCAATGAATAAATATTTGAATAAAAAATCATAAAAGTGAATTTGAGAAAAGATAGTAATGTTTTCTAAAATTAAGGTACCACCTCAAAGTAATCAAATTCCTCAACACATAACAAAGCAGCAGATGCAGTACAGAAAAAGTGAAAAGAATGCACAAAATGATTTGGGTAAGTTTTTTATTGTTATGCGTCTGAGTTCTCATCTTATGAGTATTTCTTATCAATAACTGCCAATTAACTAATCAATCAGAGTTTTTATCAATCGTTGTCATCATCGTTTCTTTTTCTTTTGAGAAAATTTGTTTCAGGAAATGGGATAAAGCCAACAAAATGGCAGCGACGTGCTCTTATTTTAACTTTTTTATATAGTAATGATAAAGCAATTCCGGAATATGTGCCGTAAGCTTAAGAATTTTCTTTTTTAAGTGTGGCATGAGATTATTTTTGCTTTCTATTGAATATTTAATTCTCTTTTTATTCAAACTTTTTACTGCGTTTTGCATACGAGATTACTTTAAGATAGAAGTTTATTTTTCTACCTTTTTTAGCAAATACCAATTTGATCCTTGTCTTTTTATATGACGAAATGTGTCATTGAAAATGTAGTGCAGATAGCTACTAGGACTGTTTGGTATCCTTATCTTTATTGCTCTTTGGTTAGCGGGAATTCATCCTAATGGTTAAAGCATCCAGTGAAACATAGAAGGAGAAGCGTAAAATTTATGACATTACTTCAACTGTAGATAAATTATAGAAAAACTGTAATGCGAAGTCTACGAAATCGTCTTCGTGTAACATTCATAATGATGGGAATTTTTTGGTTTTACGTGATAACATTCGCAATGGAACGCAGTATGGTTGCATCTATTTTTCCGAATAAAGCTTCCGAACAATAAGAAAATATCAAATTATGTAACGAAACCATTTCAACCCGGCATTTTTTATTTTCTGGCAATGAAAAGAGAATATTCATTTTGACAAATTTTTCTTGTGTTTACGCTATGCTTTTTTGTGGTACTTGGTTGGAAAGTTTAAAGGAAATATCTTCCAAAAGCTCCAAAGTTAGCTGTATTTTTTGCTGAAAATCGAGTTTTATGGAAGAAAAAGTTTGTTAATTTGTTTTAAATTAATGAGAAATATTTTCCTATTCAAGTTCATACAGGTTGAATTTCATTGAAGGATTATAGATAAAAGTATCCAGAATAAGGCACCAGTTTATGAAATCGTCTTTCTATAGCATTAAATAGTATATGGTCAGCCTACTTCTGGTTAGATTAACTCCACTCCACTGGTTAGGGAGTCACTTGGCGATAGAAATACAGGTGGGTTATTCAGCACAAGACATATTACTGTTACTTCTTTGGAGGCAGAAGTCGTGCTTTTGCCTCTTGCTGAGGTAGTTTAATCCACTTTCGCTATGTTATCCTTCCCAGTTATTATATATTGAGTGGAGAGTTGAATGAATGAACTTACATGGTGCAAGTTCATTTTCTTGAAAATAGTTGGTTGGAAAATTGCTCATAATCTCCGTTTTTTTTTTGTTACTTTAGGTTATTTTGTTTGTTTTTAATATTTAGTGAACTTATATTAAGTTTTTCATTTTTAAAAGTTAAATGTTCTATGGTTTCATTTTTTAGTTATTCACTTTGCAAATCAAAATTTTCTATATTTCATTTCAATTTTTATTTAAGTTTTTTTTCGAATTTTTTACTATTTTTGCTTCTAAAGAGAAGAAAACTTGTAAATTTCTTTTTTTAAAATTGCATTTTGCATTGAAATTTCGCAAACTATTTTTGATTTATTAATAATTCATTTGAAAAAAGAAAAATATTTTCTTCAAAATAGTTTATTCAACGAAATTTTTTGTTGTGTTTTTCTTTCCATTTGCCATTTTTTCTAAATTTGTGAAGAAAAGTTGATTTTATCTTTTTAAAAATTTAAAATTCAATATTTTCATTGAAATTTATTTTACAATGAAATTTTCATTGACAACGATTAATTGAATTTTTCAACTTTGCAGTTATTTCGAATAAAATTTAAATATTATATCGTATTTTGAGAATTTCTATGATTATTTTCATATTAATATTGCATTTACAACAATTCGCTTTTATTTTTTCTTTAAATCATAAGAACATTTCAAATTTTAAATTGCTTTAATTGAAGAAAGACTATTTTCTTTCAGATTCACTTAGAGGGAAGAAATATTTAAATGAAATTTTTGACTTTTGAAGTAAGGAAGAAAAAAATTTGAATAAAGGTTGTCGGCTAAGCGTTAATTTATTGATAATTTGCCGATAGTCTCTTAATGAATCGTTGTGTTAGGGTACTTGCAAAGGGGAATGTAATTTTTTTGCAGAACTATTAAAGTAATGGGATTCTTTCGTCAAGTTTTTATGCAAGCAGCTATAAATGAGGTAAATTTATTCCCTCATTTTTATTATTTTCTAGTTTAAATGTTTTTTGCTGGTTTCCATTTTTTACTTTTTTTCGTTGAAATAATCAAATATTCATTTTCTGCATTAAATAAATTATTCCCTTTTTCTTAATTAATAATTAATATATATTTTAAATATTTCCCAACGGGAAAACAATAGCGAAGTTCATAATAGGTCGATTGTTGTAAGCGAGGATTCGATTTACGCTTCCGGCAAATCTATCTTCAAAAATATTCTTAACTGTAAAGCGTTTTTCGATTTATGATTTAAAATATTTAAAAGTATTCATTTATTTTAATTTAATTTAATAATGAAACTCAAGAATATAGTAATTAACCTTATTTTAACCAATTTAGTTCAAATATTTGAACGAAAAAAATAAATATTTATTTAAGGAACATAAAACTCATATGACAAAAGATTCCTTGGCGATTCCATCAAAGCACAAATCATCTTTTGCAAGTTTTTTTTATTTTCTATTTTTACTTTGCAAAAACGACATAATTTTATATAAAAAATAAACCTTCGTACGATAAGATTTTTAATCATATTTATATTTGTTTAATCTTAAGTTCCATTTGAAGCGGTATTTTGTTTCAATTTCTTGTTCAGCATTTTTATATATTTCGTTCATTTTTCATTTTTTATATATTTCGTTTAGTCGCCTAATAGTTCTGCAAAAACTGAAGAATCTGAAGCAGCTGACCCCACATTATTTCAACATGCGGCCAATAATCCCGCTGTTATATTGGGTCTTGGCCTTACAAGCGCAGCTATTTTCGGGATGATCAAAGCTACATTTAGTGGTGATAGACCCAAAGCACAAAAATACATGCGGTAATATTTCATTTATTATGTTTCTAGTTAAAAGCTATTTATTGCTGTCCATTTTTTAATCAATTTGATTATCAGTTATCAATCTTTGCAAAAATAAAATATTCTTTGAAGTGTTTGTTAATTAACATGAAGTAGTTGCGTATGTTTTTTCGACTGAGCTTAATCTAGAGTGATTTCCGGTTGGAAATGGAAATCTTTCATTAAAATTGAAAGTTGTGTATGCTTTGTGCCTTCTATTCCCATCGACTTTATCCTAGTAATTGCGATTGTTGGATGGATTAGAATTCGAAGAAAATTTTTTTATTTTTAGCTTTTTATTTTTGATTTGCATTATAGATACCGTATTATTGCGCAGTTTTTCACAGTAACAGCGTTAGCTGCGGGTTTCGCACTATTCAGTACAACTCTCATGAAAAGTAAAAGTCAGCATTGATCATAATTTTGCGGAATTTGCTTTATACTTTTCATTCTTATCAGTCAGTTTAGCACTAAAAAGATTCGCGTTATTTGGCAGTCTATTTTTATTAATCTTAATTTGTCACTTGCTATATTTTACTCTTTTCTTTCTTCCTTAATTCACTCTTCAATGTTTCATCCATCGTCCATCTTATTTTAAAAATAATTCATTACAAATATTCAAATTCTGATTGTACGTTGATCATTTTTATTCTGTATTTCTTCAGTTTTCTTGGTTTTTTTTAATTGATGAAATTTGGCAAAATTTGGCATTTTTAAACATTTTTTAATAATCTTTTACAAATATTTGCAAATAAATATATTTTTACGAAAGTTTTGGATTCTTCTGTTATCCACTTAGTATTTGACAAAATTGCAAATCTTCCTCTTTTCTTCTCTCATTAAAATCCTCCGAATCCTCATTAAAACACAGCAATTTTTTTATTTGCATTTTCGATTGGCATATATTCGTGCAACTGAATTAACCTAGGAAGACCATTTTTCCCAAGACCATATAAATTTCATTCTAATGGTGGAAATTGAAAACGACAAATAAGTCGAATTTGGTTCATCGAAAAAAAATGGAATAATAAGAAATTGTTGAATAGGCTGTTTAGTACCACGGAGTTGTGGGCAGATCGCGAGGGTTTTTTTTGCGACGGATATATTATGAAGCCAAATCCTTTTCTCTCAATATTTTCATCTGAATACATTTCCCATACAGCTATCGCGCAGTACGCCGTGTGCCAATAATAGGTTAAGCTTGTTGCTAAAGAGTAAATAAAATGAAGTGGTAGTGATTGTTAAAAACCCTTCTGCACCTTTATCCCCAATTGGCTAGTGAAATGGTTATAAAAGCTCCTAAATTCGAGTGCTCGACCAGCCAAAGCAGAAATGTCGTTTACTGTCCTTAAAAGAAATATTCGTAGCTTCAGCTTTTTTTGCATATTTTATTTAATATTTATTATTAAAAAAGAATTTAAATGATTTTCATTTTTAGCTATTCACTTGTCATTTATATTGCGATAGAAATTATGCCGAATAATAAGAAAAAAATTATCCAATAAAAATCGAATTTTTTATTAAATAATACGTTTGACAAAATTCGGTCGTTCTAGAAAAATTGAGAGCAAAAGAATTGCTGCATAGCTCCAGCAAATGGCTGTTGCTGTAATGGATTTTGGCCTTATAAGTGGGGCCTTGGAATGGTCAAAGTTATATTTAGGAGAGCCACATCCGCTACGTGTATGTGTGCATACAAAGGGAAATGTCAAATCAGAAATGATACTTGCCATTCGCTGGATTCGAAGAATATTCGTTGATCAGCATTATTTTTTTCACTTCACTACTTTTTGGAACTTATATCGCAATTTTCCGCAGCTCGAGCTGCCAGTTTTCTGTTATTATTCTGTAAAACTCTCATGAAAAATAGAGATCAGCAGCGATGATAACGCTTTTGTGGAATTCTCTTTATATTATTTAATTCTCATCAACAAGTTTAGCAGTGAATAGAGACATTCGTGTTGATTTCTTTTTAAGAGAGTTCACCACTGCTGGTTAGACTCGCTCCGCTGGCTTTTCGGACTGGGCAAATGCGCCACGGGGTCCCTTTGGGCCCCTTAGAAGGTGAGCCACATCTATACAGTAATGCGTTCTTTTGCTTGGTAATATTTAAATATCCATTTTAACAAGTTTTTTTAAAAAATATTTATTTATATTTAACCCTTTGAACACAGAAATATTGTTCGTATTATTGTTTTCCATATTTTTTCTCGCACATCAATTTACCATTTGCATTTGTATTATTTGCATTTTAGGTAATTATGAATTTTTTTTTTTAAAGGGCTTTCACCATTAAACTCGCTCGGCGATCGAAATACATCATCCGCATTTTTGGACCGCTTTACTTCTGCCGGGAACAGAACCTCAGCATCTGCGCTCCCAGTTGGGCAACAACCCACTGAGCCATCCTGTCCTATCACTAGGCGATTTTGATCACATTGAATTGATTCGAAATTGATGGAAATTGGTTTTTCGAATTAATATTTTTTGTGGAAATCAAAAGCGACAAATAAGCCGTTTTAGAAAAAGTTTGTTCATTCGATTTTCAATGGAGTCGATAGAATTTATAATTTCATTTATAATTTCAAATTGCTACTAAAAAGAAGTTTAAATTTGCATCATTTATTTCCAAACTGAATTGCATTTGTCGGTTGTTTTTTTAATTTTTATGGAACCGAAACTTTGCATAATTGCCAAATAAAAAATTTTTTTCCAAACGCTTTGAATTGAAGTTGAACGCATTGCTGCAAAAAATTAGAAATTGGAACTTGGAGGAGTTTGTCAGAGCAGATGGATGAAGCGAATTTACCTCAGACTCATCCTAAAACAGGTTTATCGAAGGTCGAAGAGCAAAGACGCGAATTAGATGAGGTGAAAATTAAAATAACAGACAAATTTTTGAAATTAATCTCTCATAATCATTACAGATTTCTGACAATCGTACAGAAAATAACAACAATTTTTTTAAGGCTAAAAATTTTTTGGATTCCTTATTTTATCGGCATTTATAAAAATGCAAAATCACCGGTTAAACTCGCTCCACTGGCTTGTCGCATTGGGCAGCATGCCAGGGAGCCGCTTGACGATAGAGATACAGCTGAGTCGCCAGCATCACCCGGAATTTTGCAGAGGTTCGCTCCAGCGAGGAATCGAACCTCAATCTCCACGCTCCAAATTTAGCAAGGACCCACTGAGCCATTCTATCCCATTTCACTGTCATTGAAATGTTAAAATTTAAGGTTATCCAGATAATGAAGGCAGACATTGGCAAAATATTAGAACGAGGCAACCAAATCAGCAAACTTTCAAGTCGAGCAGGTTTGCTTAACGAATTTCAGACCATCCACTGCCAACTTATAATGCTAAGTAATTCCGAATAATATAAAATACATTCCAATTTTTTAAAATCATCAAAAATCTTATCTAATAGAAATTATGGAAAGCAAATCGCAAGAATTCACTCGGAAAGCTGCTGAAATTCAGAAAAGTGCTTGGAAAAAGACGAGGAAAACGCTTTGGGGTATTATCACTGCTATCACATTTATTTTTGTATGCTTAGTTGGTAAATCTCTTCATTTTTTTATTTTTATTGTTTATAAATTTTTTTGAAATTTTTACTAATTTCCACATAATTTTTGTGTTCCTCTTTACGCTTACGCGTGAGCACCTTATGGCTCCGTGGCTCACCTAATAGAGAACAAATCGCTGGAGTGATTGAAAAAAAAGGAAAAGTGGAAAAGATGAGGAATGAAAAAGAAAAGAACTAAAACATTTTCCACATTTTTTTTAAAAATCGCTGTGAAGTCACTTTTATTTAAATAGAAATATTTTAATAAATCTTAAATGTTTCATTTCAGTATTCTTCGTTCGTTAATCGAAATTTTCAGTGGAAAAAGTGGAAATTATTCGTGGTGCAATAAATTTTGATTTCTTATTAATATTTTATAAAAATAAAAATATTTTAATTAGAAAATTGCAACTGAAACGAATTTTTCAAAATTAAATTTCTGTGAATTTTCCGAATTCATTTTAGCCAATTTTTTTTATTTTCAAATCGTCAAAATTTTATGAATTTTAAATATTTCATATAATTTTGAATATTCGCCCTTTTTGTCATTTTCCGCTCGTTTTTTATAAAAAATTCTATTTGTTTTTCAAATTATAAAAAATTGAAAAAATCGAATGAAAATGATGATTCTTTATTATTTAAAGAAAATAGAATAAAAGAAATTACGAGAAAGAGTGATTTAAAAAAATTTTTCATTTCATAAAAGAAAAAATAAATAAATTTTTGTAAATTATATAGTGAAAAAAAAATAATATAAATGGATCAAAATAATCTGATATTTTTTAATAGTAAAATTTTAGAAAATTATTTTCAATCAGAATTTAGACCACAATTTTTAGGCTCTCATTAATACTTATATTTTCCACTTTTTGCTTCACGTGAGTCCTGTGGTTCACCTAATATTCCCAGCGGACCCTCTTTGCAAAAACTGGCAATTATATTCAAACCACTTCCAATAGACTCTCATCACCTCCACCAATTCCTTTAAATGCAGATTCTACTATTAAACAGGAATATAGAGGGATAATCAGGAATGCGGCTGGCAACCCTGCAACCAAAGACTGCGCTGAAGTATATGGATTTTTAAATGTCGAAGCAGATTTTATGACAGTTCTATCGTCTCTATTAATCAAATTCAAAATAACATTTTCTTTTTTGATATTGTACTGCAAAAATTGATACTGGATGGGTATGCTAGGGAGTTCCTTAGCGATGAAAATATAGGTGAGTCGCGAGCATCATCCTGATAAACAGGTTTACTCATATTGGGAGCGGAACCTCAGCGCCCGAACTGAGCGACAACCCACGGAGCCATTTGTTTTGCTCCTTTAGGCGACACTGGCGCTAGACGAAGCTGTAGCCGGATTTGAACCTCGATTCTCGGTGACTTCCACTCGCAGTTGATTAGAGGTTAAGATTTTATTGTTTATATTTTTATTTGTTTCATTTTTCGCGGAAAAAAATTTCTTGTTTTTTGCTTTACACCAGAAAATCCCATTTAATATTCTTGTCATTGCCTGTATCGCCTATACTTTTACTAAAGTATGGCAATGACGCATGCTTATTATTAGCTGAAACCTATAGGTGCGAGACCTCGGCTTACCCCGGTGATGATACTTCATGTCTTATAAAACTTTTGCGAACTTTATAATTTTAGCTGTTATACCAAAGTACCGCAACATTCTGCAATTATTTAAGTTAGCCTGCAAGCCCAATAATCGCGTGATACTCGCCAATATTTTAATATTTTGTTCACTTAGTGATATTTTATTGTTAGAGGTTTTAAAGGTTTTAGATTTTGTAAGTTTGCAACCACAATATATTTTTTCTTCTTCTAAAGCTGTCATCATTACTGGGTGGGATGACTACAGTTGGCCGTTGGCTGCAGTGATCTTCAGGCTATTCGCCTTCGCTGATAGAATAGAAGCCGTTCTTTTTCAGCTGTCTATCACTGATCTCCTATTTGTTCAAAATCTTTCCTGATTGTATCAGTTCAGGTTATGATTGGCCTTTCTCGCTTTTGATGCCATGCATAAGTTATAGCAGATAAAATGTGTCAACTCCTGTGGTGGGCGACGAAGAACACCAGCGAAGTTGAAGCTCTGTTATGGTACTATTAATGCAAGCGATATGGATGCAGTCATATGATATTTTAGTATAATAGATTTTCGAAAATTTTTTATTAATTCTTTTTAATATTGGCGGTAATTTAAACTAAATTTTGCTAACTTTTATGATTAATAATTTTTGTGATTTATTAATTTTTCGTACGTTTTAATAAAATTTTTTTATAATTTCTGTAAAAGATTTTCTTTTCATTAATTTCAGATATTTATTTATGAAGAAAGTTTCAGCGGTTCGTTATGGAATTTCCGAAGAGGATTTGTGAGTTTTTCTTTATATTTTTTGTATGAATTATAAAAGTTTTTAAAAGTTTTTGTTTAACAATCTGTTGAAGTGGATAGCGTTCATTATTTCTGGTTGAATTTGAATTTCTGGCTTCATTAATTAACCTAATTAGAAATTTTTTATGAGAAAATCATTTGAGGTTAGAAGTAGAGGTGATACCTCACTAGCAGTTTGATTTTTTAACGACCTGTCGGTCCACTCATGGCTCACTGAAAAATGTTCCAAGAAAATATTAAAAAATCGCTTTAAAATCATTTCAATTTTTTAAATTTTCTATTTTATATATTAATTTTAATAACAAAGAAAATTTTGAAATTGTTCATTCGAATTGTTCATTTGTTTACTGAAATTGTTTATATTTTTTTTGAAAAAAGGATATAGGAATAAAAATTTTATTCATTATTGCTTTCAAAAAATTTGATAATTTGATAATTGAAAATTTGTGCTGAAAAATATTTAAAATATATTTTAAATTTATAAAAATTTTATAACATCATTAATTTTAATTCAAAAGTTTAATTGAATTTCAGAGAATTATCGGAAGCGGAAGAATTTAATGGTTCTTGTGGAAAATCGGAAATATTGAATGGATGCTATGGTTCGGCGAAATCGTTCATAGATTCTTTACAAAATGCGCAATTTTGCAAAATGGAGAATCTTATTTCGACGAAAAAAAGTTTTGATGAAATTTTAATCGAAAAGCAAATGCGCGAATTTGATAAGAAAAAAGCGATTTTTATGAAAAGTTTTGTTCATTTGGTTAATTTTTCTTCCCATTTTTTCAATATTTCTTTTTGTCATTTTTAATTTCATTCTAAAAATTATTTTAAAATTTTAATATTTTTAAATTTTCGATTAATCTTATTTTACTTTGTATTTTTGGTTACTCCTTTTTTATAATTTTAACTGATTTTAATAATCTATTTTATCTGTTTCTTATCTTATTCTTTTCTTATCTTATTCTTATCTTATTCTATTTTTAATCTATTTATCTATTGATCTATTTTTAATAATATTTGGTTCATTTGATTTTTCCAGCAAAATACTCCATCAGTTTTCGAAAAGATTAATAAAATAAAAGAAAATCGCGATTTTATTGAATCAATCCATTAGTTAGTTAATTTTTTATTACAGTTCTATTGCGGTTTATAAATTCATTACTATAATTCATCCATTTTTTTATAAGTGCATTTTTCACTATATTTTTGAATATTTTAAAATATTTTAGTAGATAAAAATATTTTTTATTTCATTATAAATTCTTCTTTAGTCGAATATCGAAAGATCAAAGTACTAAAAGCACCAGTGAAACTCTTCGGGAGTTAGAAAAAGTAATTTTTTGCGTTTTATGTAAAAAATTTAATTTTAATTCAATTTAATTTTAACTTTCTTAAATTTTCGATTAATCTTATATTTACTTTTGTTTGTACTTTTGAAAATATTTGAAATTTTTTTTATTGTGACAAAACAGCAAAATCAAGAAGTAATGCACAAGGTGAAAATGGTCAGACAATTGTAATCTCGAAGGATTCTGGATTTCCGTATGCTTTTTATTTGTTATTTATTATTTACTTTTTTAGATTTTACTTTACTTTTTTCTACCATTTTGATATTTGTATGAATTTTTCGATATTATTTCAGTATTAATTTATGTTCAGATTTAGTATACATAGTTACAATTTCCAAGAAATCCCTTTGCAGAAGTGGTACTGACGGTGAAATTCTTTTTGAGACATCGGAGTCATCTTCTGCAATATCGAATAATAGTACCAGTGATTTTAATAAATGTTCAAGTATTGATCACTTTAATGTGGATAAAATTTCAAATGAAATTGCTGTCAGCAATTTGCCACATGTTAATAATAGTGCTGAATGTATTTCATATGTTGATGTTTCCAAATCTTTTTTTATTGAACCATTGGATAACAGTGCAACCAAGAAACCATACAGCTCCACGCCTTTAAATAAAGTCAGTCACCTTCTCTTAGCAAGAACTGATTCTCATTTTATTTCAAAAACATCAACAGTTAATTTCGATTCCGATGTGTCATCGATTAAAATTGCAGGTATTCATAATTTAATATATTAGTTTGTAAAATCAGGGGAAGTAAGCTGAGTGGTATGTTATTTTGACTAAGATCCAATTCTTTGATAGGAATAAGCCTTTCATATTGGGGTGATACAGGACACTTTTGTTTTTACTGCTAAGCGACTTCAGATGGCGAACCCCTAGTGATTCATGAGATCAGCCAAACTAAAAACAGTGATTGTTAGGAAAAGAACTCATAAAATTATGATTGAACTGTGAATCACACTTCGTGCAAATAAATTAAATAAATTTATAAGTAAAAAATTTAAATTTACTTCAAATTTAATATTTTATAGGGTTTAGTGGATTCTATTTTATATCTCATCCATGAAATATCCATTTTCTGAAAGCCTTCCAATTCTACATTTTAGATATTGAAAACGAAAATACTTCAGAAATTATTGACAGGAAAACAGAATTTTATGAATATAGTCCATTGCTAATTTTCTGCACCAATGTATATTCAAAAGAAATGATAGAATATTTTGAAAATTTTGTCCAAAATTTCGAAGAAATGCCCAAGGTTTGTTATTACCCAATTTTTCCATTTATTCCTCCAATTCCTTTATTTTATTCTTTTTTTTTTTATTCCGAATCAAATTGAATACATTGATTATAAATTATATTAGGGAAGGATTAAATTCGATTCCTTTCCTCTTTCAAAAAATTCGATATTTATTATTTTATTTCATTTTTTATTATTTTTTTATTAAAAGCAAAATTCGAATAAATTAAATATGGAGTAGAATTTGTACATTTATATATTTGTACATTTATTTGTACATTTGAGTACATCAAAGAATTGATTAAACAACAAAAAATTGTTAATATTCAGTTTTCAAACTGAAAGATTCTGATAGTTTTTGCTACTCCTATCAAAAAAATTTAATCCTTTATTTTCTGTTATGTTCTGTTTTGCAGTTGTAATGTAATAACTACGGAATGTAAAATTTTGGTTTAATTTTTTTATTTAATTTTTATCTTTTTAGCTCATCCATTATTAAATCGTTATTAATTTTTATTAACTTTATTATTAACTTTTTAACTATTTTTATTAACTTTTTAAGTAATTTTCATTTTCAGAATTCATCTCGTATGGAATTAAAACGTACGATTAATGAAAAAATTGCGGTTGTATCTAAAAAATTGGCAACTGATGATGAAATTATGCGTGCAGTCATGTATTTTTCCAATTTACTTTCCGGTTTGGCTGTTACCGGTTTTAATGATAAAATAATTAATTTATCAAATGATTCAACAGCAGTTCGTTGGGCGATATCGCATATTATTTCTACTTTTATTGTTCGTTTCTGTTTTTTTAATTTATTACTGATTGCTGGAGAGAGGCTCTCTCGTTTTTGTTCCATACTCGGAGCTAAACTAGTCCACTCTTTTCCGCTTTCCTTTTAAGTTGATATATCGCTAAGCTTAAAATTTTTTTTATTTAATTTTTGTTTCATTCTTAATTTGCCATTAATTTTAAATTAAATTAATTTACCATTAATTTTCAGGATATTGTCTTGCAAGATCAACTTGTTATTCACGTTGTTTGCAAAATTTTAGTAAAAATTTCGAATAAATTCAAGGAATTTGAAACCTTATTATGGATGAAACTCATATTATCATCATTATTGCTCCGAAAAGATTATAATTTATGGTATTTCTATTTTTTATATTTGTTCATTGGTCCGAATTTTTTTATGAACTTTATTTTAGGAAGTGGTGAATGAATGACGATTGCAAAAATTCGAAAAAAAATTTAAAATTTTCTATTGTTTTTAAATAATATAATATTTCTGAAATTTTTTTGAAAAAAATTTGGAAAAAAATAAACACTACAAAAGCAAATTGGTGCTATTATATAGTCAAATTGCAGTTAGCGAACTCTTTTTCAATAAGCATCAAGACAGATGATCACGCACATAGCACCAATAAACTTGGTTACCGTTGATGTTTTTGAGTAATATTTGTGTTAAATATAATTATGCTACCCTATTTAATTTTATTTTCTTCTCTCTCATAGTACGAAAATGGTGGAATATTTGCACAAACAGGGTGAGGATGTTAGTGGAACGATAAATGCATGGAAAACACGTGAAATAGTTATTATCCGATTATTTGTCTTGCTATTAAGCAGTAAATCATCTGTTGATAACAGTTATTGTTATTCGTCGGCGCTTTGGAATATTACTGCTACCGCAGTTAACGAAATATCACCTTTTGCATCAGCTATATTAAATGAAATCCTTCAAGTAAAAATTATATCTTTCTCGTCTTGAATAGTTCTTTTTCTTAATATTATTTTTTAAAATTGTAATTGCTATCACAATGAAGCCCTTCTCATTATTTATTGGATAATCAGATACTCGTAAATTAAGGTGCCTTAAGTATTTTTTTTTTTAGCATGGTTCTAAATCGTTAAAAGAAATTTATGGTTCACAATTCAACAAGATATTAAAATTAGTCGAAAAGAAAGTGTTGCCAAGGTGGAAAGCTGAAACAGATCGAACATTTCACGAGAGTGTTGTTCGTCCTTTGTTTGAGCATTTTACTTCTGTCTGTAAATTAACTCTTGAAATCTAACGATTTTATTTTCTGCTGTTATTTCTCCTTCTTTGCTTAATTTTACTGCACATTTTCCGTTTGTTATGAGATTTTACTGTATTCTGCTAAAAATTTTTAGATAATGTCGAAAAGAAAAATAAATATTTTTGAAAAATATTTCCATTTGTCAATCTTACGATGAAAACGCAAATTTTAGAACTCAATTACTTTTCTGTTCTACGCTTTTGTTCTACGGAGACCTAATACAAATTTATTCGGAATAATGATAGCTGTTAATCTAACACAATTTGACAAGATATTAAAATTAGTCGAAGAGAAAGTGAACTAATAATTATTTATGTAGACAATGTTGGAGAAAGAGGTTTATTCCATAAATGGTAATAATTGGGTTGGTTCGATGTTGGACTTATTGGCAAATGGTGAGAATTATAATTCAGTCGAAAGTTTAAAACTGAACTATGGCAAACGCACAATTAAGAGGTAATTTGCTCACAAAAATCTTTAAATAATGGCTCTGAATCGACGGCTTATGGTCACTTTTCAGGATTAATTGATTTGCAATGTTGCATAGGCAAATGATTTACTCGTTAAAGGTCGTTTAATCTTTTCTGGATAGTTTCCTGATGAAGAGCAAATAAGCTTATTTAAATTAACACTGGTGATGATGATAGATGAGCCGATAGTGACTTTTTGATTTCTATTGTCTGTCACTGCGTTCAACTATCATTGCTCGTTAACAGATTTTTGGCTTTTATCCTTTAGCTATTGTCTTTAATGTTTCATGAAGTTTAGGCAATTCCAAGTTTAGGTGATTTGCTATTGAAGATATTTGCAATTCTTTGTATCGTGGTTTTTTTAAATAAATATTTATAAATAAATATTTTGTTTTGTGTAGAATATCCAGCTTTGGTGGAATTTCGATTTTGGTACTACATCGGACTTCGGTAGGATATCCGATTGGTTGTGTTCCAGAATGTTAATGATCTAACCGAAGCGAAGTTTGGCAACAATAAAAATGAATATGGTTTGAAAGAAGTTTATTTCTTTCTTCTACTAATTCAAGATTATGTATTCAAATATTCGCGTATTTATCAATATATAGCGATGAAACGACATGGTGACATCTCCAAGTTTAATAGCAGTTAACACTAATAATACTGTTAAAGATTATGAGCAAACTTATACTGATAATGAATCGTTTTGAAAAAGATTTTCTGAAATTCGCCTATTCCTTCTCAAAAATATTTTTAACTGCGTTAATACTTATTTAGTACAATGAACGGAATAAAATTATAAATATATTATAAATTATGAATAAATTATAAATATATAATTATCTAATATATCAAATAATTAAATAATTTTAGCAGTACAAAACTTTCGAAATCGCGAAATCGAATTCACGGAATTACGAATGCATCGAATCTATGGAGTAGAATTGGAAGACAGTCTCCATTAAAAGATTGACTTAATTGATAAAAAGTCCTCTTCTTTATCGTTTTGAGAAATTATTTGCATGATGTTAGTCGATTTTGGAAAAATGTCAAAAAAGTTATTAAAAACTGCTAATATCTGTGCTAAAATTGAATATCTGTGCTAAAATTGAAATAAAATAAATTAAAATTAAATCAATTAAATCAAATCAAATCAATTAAATTATAATTATATATATATATATATATATATGTATTTTTTTTTTAAATTTCATTGTCCATTTTATTATTTTCTTCAAATTTAATTTTTTTGTCTTTGGCAGGAGTTAACCTGCTATTATGTCAAAAATCCGAGTGGCTAATGGGGACCCACCTGTAACTCTATCCCCAAGTGACTCTATGGTGAAAGGGTCAGATACACTTCATACGGCATCCGCGTCTCCCGACGCGCATGATACTTCTCGGGTTGCGAAATCGCGTAAAATGTTAACTTTTGCATATTCGAATTAATTAATCCATCCAACTGATTTCTAAATTCTTATAAGTTATTCCAAATTTTTATAAATAAATAAACAAAATTTAAAAAATTAGTAAAAGTTTCCATTTTTAAATTAAGAAATTCGTTTCGAAAAAAACTAAGAAAATGTATACCGGTGGTACATGCGATAAGTATATATGCGATAAGTAATCCGGGCATAAAGCGATCCCAATGCTGGTGAATAAAATATGCTCTCAAGCCAGGGTAATTGCTCGAAATCTATCAAGAAGAGGAACAGCCCTCTGCATGCGCGGCGAGGTATTAGCTGTATCAGCGTGAAACGTCAAAACGCTTATGGACGTTGCAAGCCAAGCGATCACTATCCACTCCCTGTCTAAGTATCGTGTGGATATCGCTTGCTTATCGGAGGTCCGTCTTCCTCACTTTGGGTCTCGAGCAATTATCAATCTTGGTTCAGAGCAGAGATACTGGCTATATCACTGCGAATAACTCAGGACGAAATGGCGTAGCGATTGTCAGACAAGGCCCATTCTGCTTTTATTGGGTGGAAACCAGTAAACGACCGTATGGCCTATATCCGTTTTAAGGGTTCTAAGTTCTACAATATCTCGGTCATCAGTGTCTGTGCTTCAACCGGCAGATGACCGTGATAAATACAAGTTCTATGCGGAACTTCAACTTCTGACAAAGTTTCTACCGAAATATGACATGATCATAATCGGGGGAGACTGGAATGCTCACATAGGTTATAATGCAGCTGCGATGATCTCAACATTGGCAAATATTGCAAATATCGGAGACCGGTGTGCCAATGGGGAACGTCTTCGTTATTACTAATTTTTACTAATACTTGCTTCCGGCATCATAGAAAATATCTAGTCACGTGGAACTCCCCGGATAACCAAAACTTCAATCAGATTGATTATATTTCACTTAGTCGCCACTGGAAGAGTTACTAGATAGTTGTTCCTATTGTGACGCTGGAACGGGCAATCTTCATGGATCTGACCATATTATGGTTTGAGCCAAGATCCGCATAAAATTGACAACTCGCAGAAAACAGCATCTCCCAAAATCCTTCAACTATCTCAAACTAAAAAATTCAAGGATAGTGCATTTCGAACTGAATTATTGAAGCACCTCAATGATGGAAATATTAGTGATTTTTCTGGTACGGCAAATGAATACTAAAAGAATGTCTCCGAAATTCAATCGCTAAGCTAGGGCATATTAGCAGGAAGTGTGCTAGTAAGTATCGGAAGCAATTGTCCGACTGCCTGAAAAAAACTGCCAAAGCACGAATATTGGGTGATCCTGACTACCGAGTGTTTCAAAGATCTCTAATGGAGTGACATGGCCTCAATAATGGAGGCGGCGGCTCGATTAGGCGACAATAGAAAACTATTCTGTCTTCTTCATAAAGCAATTATAATCGGAGAACGATTAGTGAAATGCTAAAAGACAGCAATGGCGTACTAATCAAAAGTATTAAGGATCGCCTCATAAGATGGAAAGAATCCTTTGAGACCAAATTTAACCATGAAGCGCCATCTGTTGCCCCTGATATAGCTGATACGTTTGCAATTGCGAGCCTAGAGCAGAAGAAGAAATAATTTTAGTCAACCATAAGGCCAACAAACTCCAGGAGAAGATGGTCTTCGGGCTGGGTTTTTCAAATGTTGTCCATCGTCCTTCATAACGCACCTTCAACAAATGTACTCTTTAGTATGGAAAGAAGAAATATTACTAGATGATCAAAGCAATTCTCAAGAAAAATGATAGGACATACGGCGACAATTATCGAAGTATCAACCTATTAGACCTCTCAGCAAAAATTTTTGCTTCCCTGCTACTCAAGAGATTTATGGAAGTACGGGACAACAGGATGCGCCCTAATCCTGGTTTCAGACCATGGCGCGGTTATACTGACAAGATATTCACGTTAAGAAGGGTGTTCGAACATCGCTTCAAATATTTGCAACCCACTGTTTCATCGACTTTGCGGATGCCTTTGATTCAATTGATAGAGCGGTGCTTTGAAAGGTGATGGAATGAACAGTGGTCCAAAGAAAATCATTCGACTCATAAAGGCATTATATGAACTCACGTCGGCGCAGGTCTATGGGGAATTGATAGATTTATTCGAAATATAAACAGATCTTGAATACGCTGTAGTCCTCTTTGCTGGTGCTGAGAGTTATAACGAAATGCAAGTAATATAAATAACATTTCAGAAACTGCACCAAGAATCGTACTCAAGATGTAAATAAAACGAAAGTCTTTTCGACTTACTTGCAAGAAACTGATAAAAAAGCGGCTTCGCTTCTTTTTATAAATTCATTGCCTGATTTCAAATACCTTGGGTCCACTCTAACACCTAATGGAAAGGCAAAAGATGATATTATAACTCGGATCACGACAGCTAGAAATGCATTCTTCCGATTGACGAAATCTTTATGGAATCGTTGTGAAATCACCATAAAAACGAAAGTCCGCATCTATATTGCCGTGATCCGTTCGATCTTATTATATGGTTCTGAGACATGGCCAATGAGAATAGAGGATATTACGAAGTTATCTGCCTTTGACCACTCTTGTTTAAGGTACATATTACGAATCCGTCGAGCGAATAAGATATCACAAGACGCATCCATATTCGTTAAAATACCACTTGCACAAATAATGTATCACGGAGCGCCACTTTCGCTGGTTAGGGCACATTCTCCGTCTCCACCACACGAGTTGACGCATATTTCGTTATTTGCTAAATCGTGTGACGGTTGGAGTCAAAAGCGATGTATGCCAATCAAGATCTGGACTGATACGGTGAGAAAAGATTTTGAACGTATAGGTGGACCAGCAATATATGGACTTAGACGATGGAAAAAGAAATGGCTTCCATTACTGTCGACGATGGCATCATACCGCGTCGGCGTCTTATAGTCGTCTTATAGTTGCCCCTTGTAGTCGTTGGAGCCAGCCTAACCAGTAATGGTGAGAAGCTGTTAGAAGAAGAAGAAGAAATGTCAAGGACGGGCAGAAATTTCTTTGAACCAAAGCTGTATCAGTAGCTTCTTTGAACCATTTCCTTAACATCCCATATAATCCTCCTCTACGGTTTTCATAAGCTCCCGCTGGTCCAAAATCCTCCTCCCTCCATGATTCTTCCTCATCCATCGTCCGATATGCCTGCTATACGATCATCCCATATCAGTCAATTTCAAGCTATCCTTTGCGACTTTACAACAAATATGGCAAAGCTCGAACAGCTCCAAGGAATATTAGAAGCTAGATTAGCGTTTTGGGGAAACGGGAATTTTATTAGATATGGTTGGATCTAAAGCGAGGACGAGTTTGTACGGTTTGTTGATAAAAAATACGGTCGGCTCTCAGCAATTCGGGTTAATCTCGCTGCACTGGCTTTAGGCCGAGCATTACTTGGCCAACGAACTGCTTCTGAGGAGAAAACCGAGGCCATTCAGCAAGGTTTTTTGACAGAGGAACTATATACGCTGACATACTGCACAGATTCATCTGCAATACCTATAAGACTTTTCTATTTTATTCAGATTTTTCGTGCCACACTAAATATTTCAACAATCCCTTCTCAACCTCAGGAACTGCCCTCCCTTCACGCCGAAACTCTCTCACATTTCCCTTGCACATAGTTATTTGCAACGCGGCCGCCATATTGTCTGGCTGAAGCTGACGGTTAGTTTATCGCAGAAACTCTTTTCAGGTAGTGATTTCTAGCTATTAATTCCAAACTGCTTCATTTCCATCCGTGTTGAACGATATTGCGCGAAAATTTGCTCATACAAGCATTTCTCCTCGCTTTCCACGCTTTCATCACTTATTTATCAGTTTTATCAGTTTTCATTTAGAATTTCTCGTAAAATCGATGAAAGGAAGGGAAGCATTTATATTTGGTAATATATGTGAATAGGCGTCGGTGCAGTCGGAGAATGCCCGCTAGCCAGCAGGACGACATCGTTGAAGAAGATGCCACTGAGCTGAAATTCCCCAAAGGCACTCGGATTTTTCCATTATTTTTTGCAGATAAAGACTTCTTTCTTTTATTTTTATTTATTTTCTATTATTTAATGGCTCTATTAATCATTTTAAATTTGTCCAAATGGTCGAATAAATTGATTTTGTTGAATTTATCGCCGATTTTTACAGAATTTGAAAATGCAGATACGCTTCTTGTCTCGGAAGTGTTTCTTTTATTAGACCATCGGCGAGAACAAACTGAGCACAAGGTTTATTTCAAATTCTCCCTTTTTCTTAGTTTTTAGTGCTTTTTTCTGTTTTTCATAATAATGGCTGCCAGGAATTTTATATTTTGCTGTCTCTTTCTTGCCTGAAGTTTAGAAATCTTAAGGGTTTTAAAATATCTTTTTTTTCAGACTTGTAAAGAAATTAAGAACTCCATTTTTATTTTTTTCATATTTTCATCACAATGATTCAGGAAGAGATCGATGAAGTGAATGAAGTTTTTGTTAAAACTTTGAATTACACGAGGAGAATGGCGCGCTTCAAAAATCGGGAAACAATTCGAGCTGTTCGGACGTATGTGACCTACATTTCATTTTTGCTATAATAATTTATTTTTGTGGCAGTGAAATTATTTTTACTTTCTATTATACTTAAGTTCACATGCTTTAATGCTTATTTTATATTGTTGCTTTGAAATGAAACGTTTTTTAATATTTCAGTTTATTAAATGGAAAGCAATTACATAGATTTGAAGTAGCACAGATTGCCAATCTTTGTCCAGAAGCTGCTGAAGAAGCTAAAGCACTTATTCCAAGGTTTTTAATTATATGTATTTCTTGATTTGGCAGTGCGCAACTTGTGGATAAAGGTTTATATAATGGTCCCCCGCATTCATTTTATTTCTTGATGGAGCTGGTTTACTCTCCACCTCCTTGCATATAAATGTTTTTCGATAGGCTCTTTTACGGAAGATACAAATTTCTTAACTTTTTTCCAATATTTTCTTGATCTCCTAATTTGAATTAAATTGTTATAAATTATAGCAGAATCGCTTAAATTGTTCATTCTTTTTTAGTTTGGAAAATAAAATGGAGGATGATGAGTTGGATGAATTGTTAAAAGATATACAAAGCAAGAAGACCTTTCAGTAATTTTGCATACTTTTTTGTAGACGAGTTATTTACTTTTACTTTTTTAATCGAATTGGAAGTCATTTTTCTTCTTCTTTGCCCTTTTGTCCTTGTTTATTATCCATTTTCATTCAGTTTAGAATTTCTTTCTTTGTTGCTACTTTTTCAAAATTTGATCTCACATTTAAAATTTCAATTCATGAAAATTTTTTATTTTACTGTTGAAATAATAATTTGCGAAATATTGAGTATTAAGGATTTATTGCTTCGAAGCGATGGTGAATTCTTTATTATTATTATTACTTTTTTTTAATGGATTTTTATCGGGCAAATAAAATGATTGATAAATTATTGGTAAATTGGTAAATTATTGGTAAATTTAAATACTATTCAAAGGCGGAATCAGTTGATAATTTAGTCGATGGAATTCGTAAAACTTGATCATTATGGTAGATTAGAGGTAAAAAATAGCTTTGAAAACTCTTTTTAAGAGCCCTCACCATTACTGGTTAAACTCGCTCCGCTGTCTTGTCAGATATGCCAAAGAGTCCATTGCCGATAGAAGTGCAGGTGAGTCATATATCACCCGGTAAACTTTGGATGATTTAAAAACGAATTATGATCAGCGCATATTTTACATGAAACTGTTTCTTTTTTAGCTTTTTATCGATTTGTAATATGAATAAATTATAAGGATTTAAATGATCATACGAATCAAAATAATAAATAGATTTATAAGATATTGGATTGTAACTTGGATTATGCTTGACGAGAAATCTATTTGTGCGGGAAAGGTTTTGCTGAGGTTTGTATTTTCTTTAAATCAGACAAAATTATCATATTTCGCAGCGAATATTATGGTTATCGATAATGCATTATTATTCTCCATTCTAATAAATAAAATTGTTTTTTAAAATTTGATTATACGAGGTTGAAATTTTTACGGTCGTCGTAAAATGAAGATGCGATAAGAGATGTTTACTGGCTCGACGATATTATCTTTCCTTTATTTCTTTCATAGATTTTATAATTTCTCGTATTTCTCTTTTAATTGTTTAATTTATTGCATTTTTGAAATAAAAACTGCATTTATCCCAAATATTTTAAATTTCTCGCATTAGTTGAATAAAGAAAATTGTCGACAAGGAAACGATGGATTCCAGTCAGTCAGAAGCAATTCGTTTTGCAAGCGAGGTTAAGCAAATTTTGCATGTAATTTAGGAGCGTTGGCCAGGCAGTGAGCAATGCGCAACAATCAAATTTATTAGGAAGAGATACACTGAAAACATGGTTTCCGTAAATTTTCGCCATTTTATCACTGCTAACCAGTTAATATATATTCGTCGAAAGGGCGGCGAAGTGGAATCGCACGCCACACTAAATAAGTTGGAAAATATTTTTCGTGGTAGCACTGGCCATTTATGGTTTCGTTTAGTTTACTTATTTGAAGTATGAGAAGCCATCGCAGAGAGTCGTTACGAGAGAGATTTATAGATTACGCAGCATAACTCGGATTTTTCACTTTCAGTGAGATCTGATGACTGAAATTTCCCGATTCCTTCTCCTTTAGCCTATTATATTTCGTTTAAAATCGTTTCTGAAATATTCTAATACAGTTCTATTTTAGAATAACTCACTGATAATATTTGATAAGTATTTTCCCAAAATTCGTGGTCCATTGTTGCGAACCATTTTCTGTTGATTTGGTGTGGGCTTAACTTAAATTATTGTGTGGGGTTTGGAAAGGCTTTTGTAGAATATAACAGGTAGAGATTTATAACAAGGAGTTTGTCCGTCTATCCATTTGATAAATCCTATTCTATAAAAGTCCAACTTACGATTAAAACTTAACTTTTTAAAAAAAAATAGAAAATAAGCGATAAAATTAAAATTGATCAAAGCGTAAATTATCGATGAATTATTTGAAATGACATCCAATTTCGATCAAGGAAAAAGCTTTTAAATTTCATTATGCAGTGATAAAATAATTTTGAAAGTGCAAATTGAAATTTAAAATTTGAAAATAAATTCAAAGACCGTTTCGAAATATAATGTAAATAAATAATTTAAAATATAAAATATAAATAACTCGAATAAACTGCAGAAATATTTGATTTGCATTTATAAAAAATCTGCAAAAAATATAAATAAAAATCGAGTTAGCAGACTTCTTCGAGCAACACTGACGACTGACGGCTCCCTTGTGCTTCTATCGCCAAGCGACTCGCTGATAAAATTTTTCTGATTTGACAAGTCAGCCTAACCAGCAGTGGCGAATGAAAGAGTGAGTTCTTAGGAAACGTAATATTACATAACATATTCATATTCATTGCAATTTTTGAGTGGGAAAAACATCACTTTTTTGCAAAAAATTTCCGTCTGACACTTTTACATGTAAATTATTTTTTAATAATATATATAAAGAAATATTACTGCTAAGAAATTTTTGAATCTGAAAAATTATCACCATTTTTTAGTAAAATTCGGCGATTTCAAAATCATCTTATAACTTTTATGTTTAAAATTTCATTCGAAAAATGTTTTTCTATTTTTATCGCTTTTATCAATTATCAAAACTCGACTTTAACGAAATTTAAATCATTTAAATGACATTTTAAACAAATTAAAACTATTTAAAGATTTTAAGTATTTTCCATTCAATTAGCGAAAAAAGAAGACTGATATATGAATGATAAGAAGACTGATATATGAATGATAATGATGGCTGTATATTAAATGGAAATAATATTTGAAATAATTTATTAATTTGTCAAGTTTATTTCTATTTTGTAATTAATGAAGAAAATTTAAGAAAATTTTTTTTTAAATTGACTTATTCAAATGTTAAATAAAACAATTTGAATGCAATTTGCTAGTATCTCAAAGATAGAACCAATATAAAGCGATAAAATTTATTAAAATTAAAATTTACAAATTATACTCGAAATAAAAAAGCACATAAAGTTTATATATTCTATATTCGAAAATATGTGGACGCATTAAAAGAATAAAATTTGTGATTATTGGAGCCAAATTTGAGCCGTCGAATGAAAAAAAATTGCAAGATTAATAATAATAATAATTTAAATAGTGATAGTGGTAATAATAACAATAATAATAGTAATAATGGCAATGATTATAATAATTTCAACTACAAAATTTTTAATCAAACTTTTTAAATTCCTCCAAAAATTTAATTTAAAAAATATTGCGTTAGTTTTAGTTTAAATTTAAGAATTCTTTCAATTTCTTCAGTATAAAAATATTGATATGTGAATTTTTCAATAGAAACTTTCCAATTTTTGCGTCCAACATTCCCCAGGAGATATTATTTTAAATTTATAGTTGTTGATAAACTTGAAAAGATAAACAGATTTCATAGGATTTTCTTTTCCTACTTTGTGCTATTTCGTCTAATATTTCAATAAATCCATAATTTACTCGAAAGCTAACAATTCTTCCATTCATATTTTTAACTTATAGTTTAATACTGATAGTGGCGGAATTTTTCCAGTCGTACGGCACAATTCTTTCTTTTCTCCACTGCGAACATTCAGAAAGAGCGAAATCATGATATATCCTACGGATATGGATTTTATGGCTATATTTCTATGGGATTCCATATATTTAAATTTTCTTTAAGCTTTCTTCTGGTTCATTCGCTAGATTCAATTGCTAGAAAAAGAATTTATGAGAATTCGATTCAAGTTATTAAGAGCGAATTTGAATGATTGCCCGCAGCCCCTCTAACTTAAGTGGCACTATCGCGAAAGAATTCCCAGCCAATGGAAGAAAGGGAACAAAAAATTTGTGCGCAATGTTAGAAAATGAATACGGTTGCATGACTATATTTTAATGGAATTTATGTTGAATTTATATTATTATATTCAGCAATTTTCAATTAATACGATCGTTGATGAGCGAAAAATTTCAATAATTAGGGATTTGAATAAAATTAGGCGAAATAAACTATTCAGCGAGAATGCCAAAAGAAAAATAAGCAACGGAAATTTGAACAAAATTTGCAAAATTTGTCGCGAATAAAAGCGATTGGAATAAAATAAAGCAAAATAAAATCGAAAAATTTTAAGAAATTCTACAATAGAATTACAAACCTTCTTAGCATTTGCTCGATTATGTATTTCAATATTTTTGCGAATTCCATGAAATCATTCGCATAAAAGGGTTATTTCCAACTTTTTTTGCAGTTTTCGAAGCTTTGAGAATCTTTTTTTGCGATCGCAGTGAACTTGCATTTTTCCTAAGAGCGCTCATTATTCCTGGAGCCGTTTCGCTGACTCGTCGACTGACAATTCTACTCTTAGAAAAAAATTTTACAACAGAAATATCGCCAGCATCACGTGGATTTTTGAAAAAAATATATTTCTGTTTCTGAAACATTGTATCTATTGTTGTTCTCTATCAAAACATTCCTATTTCTTGCGGAATAAGTAAGAAAATCATAGAAAAATCTCAATATGCACTAAGGCTCCGTGGAAAAAGTGAGCCGATGAAAACAGGTTGCGACTAAGTCAAATCGCAATACCTGCCCTCCGAAATAACAGTAACGATAGGCTCAGTGATCCTCCTTCTTGTTACTATGATCTATGAAGATAGTAGTACTTTTTAAATATATATTTATGTCTAACGAAGATCGATACTAAAATTAAGCGAAGCGTATCCGCAAATCGACTTATTTCAGTCTTTTAGCATCTCATTGCCTTTTTCCTTTAATTTTTGAATAAAACTATTAAAATAATGGAGAGAAAAAAAAACTTTGTTTGGTCATTATATTTCATTAATTAATCACGAATTTTTTTATTGAATGCATTATTTATTGGCGAATACATGCAAAAAAGCTGTTTGAGAACCATTTTTATAACGATGAAAACCTTATTTTTTCCTTAGCACATATTAAAATTTGCCATTTTATTAGAAATACACTCGCGAATCTTTTCCTGGTTTTTAGATTTTATTTCAGAAATTGAGCCTTCCATGGCCGTTTAAATAAATCCAAATCG